GGACGCGAGTACGTGATGTCTCTGGACGCGAGCGGGACAGTGGCGGGCCTCCAATGGCGACGGAAGAACTTGCGCCCGTCGCCCCTAAAACCCTTCCACGTTCCCGCCTCGGCGGGTGGTCTGCCGACCGTCCGGGACGGCCCGGCTGCCCGTACTCGCTCGAAATCCTCACGTTTCGTTAAAATTGTATTGTGTTGTGTTCTGGTTATATTGTTGTTGCATGCTTCGTGTCTTTTTACGTGTTGGCCCTTTACACCCGCATTTCTTGTCAGGTTGCAATTCAGCCGAGGTCGGCTGGATTTTCTTTATGGGGGAGGGTGATGTAATGCGAGCGTAAACGGCCCTCCGGAGGTGACGTCAGGAGGGGAGGAGTTAGGTCACGTGGGGGGTGAGGGGTTAGGCTATAGAAGGAGGGGAACCGGAAGAGGACGGGAGTGACGGGGAACCAGGAACAGAGAGAGGCCACGAAGGGCGAAGCGGAGGGTGGCGAGATCGCCACGAACACGGGGGAGCGAGGATCGGCACCGTTGGCCAGCGGTGACCGACCCGAAGCAGCGAGGAGGCTGCAGTCAGCAGCGGGGCTGCACAGAGAGTCAGCAGCGGGGCTGCATACAGAGTCAGCAGCGGGTCTGCATACGGTAGCAGCCAGAGGGTCTGCACATAGGGGTAGCAGCGGGAGTCTGCATAGAGGTAGCAGCGAGTCTGCAGGGAGGAGGTTACAGTAGATGAAGCAGAGAGTCAGAGGGAAGAAGAAAGCTATAATAGCAGTGAATAGCCGGGGCTACAAATACAGAGTTATAACAGAGTGCCGTGTGGGTGAAGACGAGAACCCAATAAAAGACACGAAGACAGAAGGAAGTGTCCGAGTCCTTTATTACACTTGTATTGAGCAAAGGTTGCAGCTCGAAATCTTTATTTCAATGAGAGAATGACATCTTTCACATGTTCTGTCGTCGCCACCGATATCCTAAGATTCGATGATCGAGTGCGCCGTTTTTGTGTGTAACTTGCAACACCACTAACGATTGTTGCTTTAAAGGTCTGATTGAAAAATATTGACTTGGAAATAATGGGTAAGTGGTTATGTGCCCGAGGGCGCTAAGACACACAATCAGTGCCGAGCCACTGGTTCAGGTGTCCTGAGTGGAAGCTGTGGATTCTTACTCAATTGGTTCTCTTCCTCGCCAAGTATGATGTGCTCAGCCCCAATCACCAGTGACCGCATCAGGAATACATATTTTAAATGGACAATTTTTTGATAGCTATTTACTGCACATAGCTTTTACTCAATGGAGCATGATTGCAAATCGTTGTGATTGAATTCAATGTCATTATTGGATGGCGATTGGCGACATGGCCAAATTCATAGCGATGGTTTCCTGCCAGTTATTGTTATTTTCTATAAATAAAAGCACGCATTTCATTGTGATGTCTCGAAATCACACACTCGCTCTAGAGCACTGCAATCCATTGAGAATTCTTTGTGACGATCATTGGTGGTAGTGTTATCCATTTCCGCGTGCGCTATCCGCACGAAATTCTCTTCACTTCCAATCTTTGCCACTTTCTCTGCTGTTGTTATTATTAGATCCTTCCACTATGTCTTCCCGTTTGGTGCTGTGTGTTGGTTTCCACAGCATCAGTTTTCCCACCGCCGTGGGATGCCACGGTGGCGAGATGTTATTTACCTCGCCCGGTATTTGAGGGAGGTCGTGGTGTCGATCCCGACCCTGACGCCTGTATATTTAGAGCTTTTGAAAAATAGTTTTAAAATCTTTAGTTTTTGAGGTATCCGTAAAAGAGTAGATGCCCGAGCCATTGCAGTCGCAGCAAATACAAATCTAATGTGTTAATTGAACTTCCTAACGGTTTATACTTTCAGTTTATTACTCGACCGATAAGAAAATAAGTGGAAGGCGTAGGAGGAGTGAGATATATGGGTGGAGTTGCAAATATGAAGGTGCTTCATTGTCATGGAAAGGGCAAGCCGAGCGTGACCTGATTTAATGTTGCACGCTCGCTGCACTGGATAATTATCCCCTGAATTGGACAAATCAGGCCTGAGGCTTGCCATTGATTACATACGAAGGAGCCACCATTTTTAATTGGAATTTGGAGGCATCTTGACATTGATGCAAAACATACCCATAGCCGTTACGCAACCGCCGCAGTTTTAAGCACGTACCAATAGTCGAGGTACAACTGAAATGTAATTGTTTCGATTTAAAGCTTTCGTGACTGCAGGATTCATATTCTTGGTTTTTTCGGTAAAGTCACGTAGAAGGGAATAATAAAATAATGTGTTATTTCCTGTTTTATTTTATTGTGTTTTATTTGTATTATTTATTATTTTCTTCTACGTGACTTTACCGAAAGAACCAGAATATGAAATGTAATGTATTTGTTTTTTTGTGCACCGCATTTAACGCTTATATGCACAAGTGGTGACCAGGTGTCTCAGAGTTCAGAGCACTGAGTTGGCACCACTGACGACTAGGTTAATACTCTTAGTTTTTTCGGTAAAGTCACGTAGGTAAAAATAATACACTACAGTTATTTTGGCTGTGCCTTTTTACACCTGATGAAGGAAGCTTGTGTTGCCTCCGAAACGTCGTGATTTATTATTTTATTTCTATTATTATTATTCTATTATTTGTATTACTTATTTTTTCCTACGTGACTTTACCGAAAAAAAACCTAAGAGTATAAATCCTTGCCGTCACGAAAGCTTCAAATCTAGAATTAACTTAGGTTAATACCGGATTCTCAAGTTGAGTGAGCTTTTTCAACTCGGTCACCAATGATCGCACAAAATCTCATCGCATTAAAACATTTTTTTATCTTTTATTTGTCTATATTCCAGCTCTGATAATTAAACTAATTTATTTGCCTGCCATATGATGAAGTGAGAGAGTGCTGCCCTCTACCGTGTGGACCAGAGGTCACTTGAGGGGCTCTCAAAGGCACCTCTGTGATATCCATTCCCGTGCATCGTTCTCGAATGCCAAGGCTTGCATTGCTCTGCTAGAGATCTGCATGGACACATTATCCCAAAACCAATGGCACAATTAGGATGAAATTGGGGAAAAGACACAAACGCACAAGCAAAATCAAATCACGCATAAAGTACCCTATTTTATGAAGTGTGCTGCTGTGTGTGATCTTCGAGGTGTGCGACTGACGCTAGGTGTGACGAGCCTGAACTGCGAAGACACTTGCAGCTTTCTGCGTGTGTTTGTTTCTCTCTGTAACGCATATAATTTGGGGCAAAGTCTGTGGAGTGTTGCCATAAAACGTTCTCAATATGCCATACTCCTCATGCCTGGTCTCGCATGATGCCGCATAGCACCAGTGCTCGACTGCCCGCACCGGCGGTGCTCACCGCAGCGCCGCTACAATGCAACCTCTGTTACACTAAAGTTATTGGCTGAAAAGGGGCTTGAGACAAGACGTCCATTCACCGCCGCATGCATGATGATTTTATCGCCTGATGTTTTGTCAGTGTGCTCTTTGAGATTTGTTTTTATCTTCCCTCTGGATTTGGGACTGCAGGACTGTGAGACCTAACGGCAGACGTTCTTCACGAGACGACCGTTATTTCTGCAGCGTTTTGCGATCTGGCCGCCGGCGCAGCGCTCTAGAGTGAATTAACCGTGCGCCTTCGGAGGTGGACTGATGTCTGTCAGCCGTGTCCACCGGCCACCGGAAGCGCTTTGACTTTCAAAGACTCCCACGCACCACCGCGTGGCGTTGCCAGGGCGTGATTGTGGTCCAGAGGCGGCTCGTCTCCACGGAGCCACGTGGCGCCGTTTAAATAACAAGCGAATAACGATTAAACAAACCTCCTACGCATTTCACAAGTAGTACTAATCGCATATCTGCATTTCCCATAAATATGCTAAATTCCTCTTGATATGCAAATTATTTTGTCAAGCCGCTCTTCGCCCCTCCGTCCCAGCATAAATAGTCGCTCCAAGCCTGGGGCGTGCCATTCCACCTGAAGACGGCTGCTTGCGTTGTGGCCGAAACGTCGTGAGAATTATTTTATTATGTTTATTTTTATTATTTTATTATTTTCCTTCTACGTGACTTTACCGAAAGAACCAAGAAGATTAAAGCAACTTTTGAGCACGCCATTGATAACTGGGGATAACGCGTTGACGCATCCGCACTGACAGTTGACGTTTCGTGCGCGCGGCTGCATCTGTTAGAGAAGAAGCCGGGTGTAAATGCTGTTACCGGCGTTATCATTTGCAACAACGACACAAAACAAGAACTGCCGGGGCAAGGCGGTGCATTTCAATTAAGATCGCGGCGATAGTTGTGCGTCTCCCAAAGCTGAACACATTAACATAAATGTACGCACGAGCCGCATTGCATTCGGGTATAGCACAGAGGACGCATGCGGAGATTTTCTTAATAGCTACGCAACATCGGATGCACGTGCGGCAGCACCGGTGCGTGAGTCAATGCCCAGGAAGCGGATCTGCACGTAAAGCAATGTAGCCGTCGCAGTTTTAGTCATGGTAAATAATTATTTAGTTAAAAATCTTTCCACTGATAAGAAGGGACCGTTTATCCCCGTTTTATTGGGCCTATCTCCTCCACGATATGGCATTGACCGCTGGTGACGAGGCACGTTCACGATTAATCCGGTCAACTCGGCGGTTCCATGGGGAATTTATTCGGATGGTGCCACCGGACAGGATGGGTGCGAAGCTTGTACCCAGAACACATGCCCCATTGGCCCGGCGCTGAAACCCGGCGCCTGACAGTGCCACTCTATGCCCCGCTGCGCACACTCTCTATCGATTCCCACAGCTGGAGATTAATGGTTGCATTGTCCGCGCCCCGCCATCATTAGTGAGTGTGTGGCGCTGATAAATGAGTGGCATTCACCAAATTCTTCATTTACCACATGTGCAGAGCTTTCCTTTTTTTGTCCTCCCCAAAATTTCGAAAAAAAACATCGAAATTAGATCAAATGTTTACTGTCGTTCATTAAAACTCGGGTACATAAATAACGCCTGTGGGATGTGCATGTGGTCTTCCAGAGGAGCTATTGCATTGTGGGTAGAACTGCACTAATATTTATTAAATTCAATACCTGGCCCATTGGAATCAATATCTGCACCTTGCCTGAACCTGCACTTTAGTGTGACATAAGCATCTGATGTTTTGCATTAAAATCAGTACAGCAGATAATGTCTTCACATCCAGTTTCTTCTATGATATTCATGCTGATCTGTAGTACCATACTCATCACTGTCACTTCCTCCCATCAAACAGTGGAGCGGACAAACGGGAGACAAGACTCGAGCACATTTTATCTTTTAAAACTTGGTTCTCTCATTGATTGTGCATATCGTCTGCATTGCGTTGTTTTTGACATTTGATTTTTGGTCTGCAATCACTTCCTTCCCGAGTAATCATCTCAAACACCACTTTTTCTCCGTCGACTCTACAAGTGCTGCATGGGTGGTGCAGTGGAAATAATAAATGATGATGATGAAACACCGAGAAGGAGGTTGCCCGCGGATCTGAAACCATGCAATGTTGTGTCGCAGGAGAAATATGTGGGAGAGCCCCCGGCCTAGACTGGACCACGTGGTCCTGACAGCTCGCGATAGCCGCCACGCTGTGGGCGCGGGGGCTCGGAACGAGCACCAGCAAGCCCCGGTGCACGAGCAGGAGCCAGGAGAGACAGGCAGGTTGGCGACGGCCGTGCATTCCAAGATTGCGGTGACGCTGCCCGACCGAGCTGCCCGCTGAGCCCGAGCAAGGTGGGGGAGGAGTGCCGCTGTTTTGCATACACTTCTCTGAATAATGATGAATGATACAAATGTAGATATGTAACGCCAACTTGCGACGCGCCACCGAACAGTATTCGCTCACTCTCGGATAGAAAGAACGACTCGGAGGTGTGAGGAACAGCAGGCAAGCGGGGAGGCGGCCACACGGTGAGCTGGTGCCAATAGTTGTCCAAGCTCTGCAGTCCTCTATATATTATTGTGGTTTTGGCCTAATTAATGAGTGTTTACGTGCGAGAGGAAATTGTAGCACCCTGGAAAAAATCCACGTGTGTGAAAGGGAAAGAAATGATAATTTACAGCCTTTTGTCAAGGCCATGCTGCATGAAGCGCTCCCCAATGTCGTGTTAGTCGTGGGCGTTCTTTGACCATACTGCATCACACTGGTCAGTGTGAGTTCATGAAGGGGTGGTTACAACCGTCTCAGCTCTCACTCTGCACTTGATGTTGGGTGTGGCCAGGAACTGAAATTTGGTTGTCGAATTCATAGTGCAATGCACTCACCACTGCCCGCTGCTCCGCGCTGTAAAGTCACGTAGAAGGGAAATAATGAAATATGTTGTATTGCTTCAACATTTTTATTATTTTATTATTTCCCTTCTACGTGAGTTTACCGAAAGAAACAAGAATATGAATCCCTGCAGTCACGAAAGCTTTAAATCAAAAAGAAAAATAATAGGCTGATGTTTCAGGGAGTGACCGTTCATTTGAGCAGAAGGCCAGTACCTGGAACGTCCTCATTATATATTTGTTTATTTCTAATATAACGCGGTGTTAATAGAAAATGTGGTGAGCTCTGATGCTGAAGGACACTGGGCACTAAGGGGCGGTGCCTCAACGTCCCTCATTCAGACTCGGCTTGAAACCCCGGAGCAGATGGTTCGTGTGCTGTAATTACATCTACCTCGTGCGGACAGCTGCTGTCAGTTAACCCTGCAGTTGTTTATCTCTGTTGGTCAGTTTATTTTTGCTGATACAGATGCTTTCGAGATGATCTGCCCGATTTCTCTTGGGTTGGTGATTGTGCGAATTTATATATTTTTTGGGAGAAAATGTGCTGATGTTTCCATGAACGTTATTGATTGGGCTGGGTATGTTGTGGGTTTTAAAAAATTGTTTGGTTTTTTCTCAGTGACACCATAAATAGAACCCACTCATACAGATATTTATGAAAGAAAATTGTGAATTGGTTTTAAAGAACACGTGTGATTTATTGTTTGAGCTCCAGAGTACTCACGCGAAAAAAACGGTGCCCCCACAGTGCATTGTGGGCTGTTACGCAGTCGAGTAGACACGCACGCTCAACAGCGACGACTGCTTATAGAATGCTTTATTAAAAATTCCTCTTTGCACTTTATTTCGAAAGTACCAGGTGTTCCAGACGCCAAGTTAACAATAATGTCGTCGCATAAAATCGCCTTTTACTGGATGTTTGGGAAATTTCAGAGTCATTTTATTGAGAGGCGTTTCAGGATGAGAGGCGAGCGATGCTGTGATGGCGAGCTCCCGTGAAGGAAAACGGCCTTTGGTTAAAAAACTAAAATTCTCCACATTTTAAATAACAAAACGGTTGCGAATTTAGTCGCATTCAATTGATAAGTAGCATAGCTTGCTGAACACCCAGACAGATGGTGGGCAGGTAGACCATAGTCAACCTTTGGCTGGTGTAATAGAATTAGTTTTCGTGTCATTTACTTGAAAAGGTACCTTTAAACGAGATGTAATTATTTTCCTTCGCGTATTCCGCCGGAAGTAACCGAAGCTCTGGTGAAATAGCATTTTGAAAATTCTGACGCATGGGGCATTAATGTGCGAGGGCTTTCATCCGGGCGACGAGTGCAATTCCCGATGTTAGGGGCTTTTAAAATTCTAATCGTGTCGAAACAAAAAACAATCAAATCAGCGTATTTAAAGATAGGGCTATGACGTGCGCCTAAATGAAAACATGCAATTTAAGCCCACGTTGCAAATTGACCATGCTTTTATGATTAACTTCGTTTCAGAGCCCTCTGTAGTCAAGGACCTAATAATGAATGGAGATTACAACAAATTATAACTGTGCACGGTTCGTGGTGCAAAGGGTAAAATCGGCTCAGAATGAACATGCAAATTATAAATGCGACGTATAATGTGTAACGAGTATAAGGTTAATGAAATGCCTTTGGTTATTTTTTTAAACGAATATATAATGGCCCAATGACCTTTTGGTGCTCGTCTTTTTTGGGTGAATGGGAAATCCTTTGATCCACATTGCTCAAGTCGTTATTCTTGTACTCCCACCGTCCTGTAGGAACAATTAAACAATTAACTGTGCTTGTTGCTGGACCCTAGGCTGCCATGGGCCATCGGCAATTCATTGTTGCGTTACATCGATTTGCATCGGCTTCTATAGATTTTCCACACCATGGTCTCGCATGAGCCTCCATTGTTCTACAAGTTAAATGAATGTTCTGCACAGACCACAGCTGTCCCTACTACCATCTCCCTGTGTCCCGTATGTCCAACGCAAAAGCTGCTGCTGCTGCTGCCGCTTCTGCCACTGCTACCGATGTGACCTGACGTGTCACGTGGTTTCCGAATGGGGTGGTGCGTGTTGTTGCGATCGTGCACCCCTGGAACAGTTTTTGTCCCTGCGCACGCAGTCTTGGTGGCAACGGCAAGAGAGAATCGTTGTTTCTCGTTTGTGCCTCTGTTGGCTACTTGAACATCTTATGCATGCATCTTTGTTCATGGATGAGGTCCGTTAAAGCAAGATGCTGGAGAGGCAGCCTCTATCTCACACTGAGCCCTCAAGGAACCGCTTGCCTGCTCACTTCTACGCTTCTTTGCCTGCCCGCTGTCATTCGAATCCACCGTGAATTGTGTATTATTTCGCAGTCCTAATCAGTGCAAATTAGTGTCGTCTTCAGAGATGTTGTACGCACGCTATGCGATGTATCTCGGCAGGGACAGTGCACGTGCAGTGTCGTCTCACAGGCGAATGCAGCTACCTGAGCAAGTAGCAGTCAACGCGTGTGTCGCCGTGGAAAGGCACGTCTTTCGTGTCAAGGGTCCCACGGTCCCCTTTCTGAACCGGTTGCCAGTGAGACAGCAACATGACAGATTCTTGAGAAGGTCACCAAATATCAAATGGCATCCACATCTTCTATTTAGTCCGTCACCACCCCCGCTACTAATTTAATCCCGATAATGCTTTATGCGTTGAGAGATAAATAATCCATCCACTACTCTCCCACAGCAGTGCAACCATCAGTTAGGGTATCGCAGAACTCTTTCCGAAATCTCTTCAAGTCACCGCTTTTCAACGGAGAGCTGTCGTTTAGCCAAATTTAAGTGCAAAACCGTTTTAAAGCACAATCGTTGGTGGGCTGGGACTATAACCTCACTCCACGTGAGAGCCCGGCTTGTTCATGGGTGGCTGCCTCTGGATTCAAACCCAGCATCTCAGATGCGTCAGCCAAGCACTCTGGCCTCCGAACCACCCGGCCACCTTAACGAGCGCATCTTTGACCGTGTGATGCATGTTCTTGGTTTGGCGGGACACAAGTATGTGGCTGCTGTGTGCGCGTCGTCTGTTTGCAGGGGGACGTCGCACTGACGACACGAGCGCCGGCGTCCGCCAGGGTGCTGTGCACCAGGAACGTCCACCCGCTGGCGTCTCCCCTCGGCAACCCGCTCACCGTCCTGTAAGCAGAGGCAGTGGGACAGTGGGTGCGGCCGCTGCGCAAGGCGGTGTTGTCAAGTCGCACTAAGATCGGGCACACGCGGCAGTCGAGCAGCACACGTCCGGTCCGGCACAGTCGAATACCACGGAGAGCTCTGATCTCGGGATTCGCTCGACAACTTGACTGCCCGTGTTAATTTCAGCGCCACGCAAGTTGAATTTCACTTGCCAAACTCGGTGCCCTTCGGAGTGGAAGATGAAACTATTGTTTGGTCATCAATAGAACTCGGCAGGGCTTCACGCGCGGCGCTCCCCCCCTCCTCCAACGCACCGAATCTCATCGCCGCGTTTTGTTGTTTCCACCACTGCCCCCCTCCCCAAACCCGGCAGGAGCCTTCGCACGGCGGCCGAGCCACGGCGCGTTGAGCAGGTGTCGGAGGTTTTCCGCAGGCGGGCGCGCGGGCTCGCCAACTGCCGCCTGCTGTCCCTGCCTGGTCCGTGCCTCTCGCTGTTTCCACACTCGTTCCACGACTGCTCCTCCGCGCAGCCATCCCATCTTTCACGGAGCTGCCCCAACCCTGCCTTCCTTGGTGCTCGGCACGTAGCGTCGCTGGTGGCCACCGCCCGGCCGATCACCACCTGCTCTGGCATCGTGGGCACCGGCGGTGCCGGCGGGAGAAGCCACCCGGATGGACCCCCCCCCAGTCAGTGCGACCCGCGCACCGTTCATAGCCTCGCACATTTATTTGCTGCGGTAATGTCTTGTCAGTTATATAATAAATATATATGGTAGTCGGGCCATAATGTACCTAACAATTTCATACGATGATCTTCATTTTTGAGTTAAAGTTTGCCAACAATTATAACAATTAGGATGACGGTGAAATATGAACGTTGATGAGTAATTTCAACCAAAGCTGCTGACAGTGTTAAACGTTGCATTTCTGAGACGTTCGCCTGCAATTCTTGTCTTAGCTTTCATTGACCCTTTTTAATAAGATTAATACTCGATAAGATATATTTTATTTTCATCGTTGGTTTAGTTAGCTTCATATCGTTTGTGATTTTGACCTGCAGACGCACGCCATAGTTACATCATACTGGGCTCTGACCTGAGAGTTCTTTGTGTAAAAATGGCGGCACACCTTAGCCTTGCACACAACGCATAGCGCGGCTTCTGTCGCATGCCTTTCAGGTGCCCTCAAAGAACATGGATATGGACGTAGCTCTTGAATGAAAATCGTAATATTTTTCACACAATTCAAACTGCTGCAACATTATTTATTTATTTGTCTTTCTCCCGCTCAGCGCATTTCTACGATAGCTTGCTCACGACAAAATGGACGTCGCTATCCAAAAAAAAAAAATGTGGGAAGCAACGGAATGTTTTTTGCAGATATACCAAAGCCATTCAGATTCTGTCAAGGTGATACTGTCTGGTGAAAGGGTTTCTGCCTCTTTCATTGCCTCTTGCTCCATATCTGAGATTAACTGCTGGAATTTGCTGTGGCCTCTCTGCAGTGGAATAACTTACGTACTGGCCCAGGACCCTTGGCAATTGGCAGCAGTAAAACCCAGTGATTGTAATTCAGGATGCGACTTGTTTTCCTCGATCGGCAAATCCGTTTTCTTTATCACCAAATCTGTACAAAGTAGCCAACGTTTTGATGACTTTGTAATATTTTAAATGATAATATTTGTTTTCATTTCAATTTCATTTGAACTCTTTGTAGGGGTGTAATTATGCATGGATTCATGAATTAATATCGATTGTTAAGCTCATGATACACGTTTTGAATTGTGTGTAAGAATTAATATTTTCCCTTCATGTATATGTTGCTTGAGTGGGTTCACGTGACCCCATCAGTGTTTTGTTGCCACTTCCTAGCCCACATTTTTTAAAGACGATTAATGAATTGAGTAGTGACGCTGAATCATGACAATTCATCTTAATGTCTTTTGCATGGTGAATCATTACGTCTCTAAAGTCTTACAATAACAACATCTAAAATGTATGTGTATATATTTATATATTTCTCTGTTGTGCAATATTAATTGGTTGTGTGGGCTAAATTTGTGAATTCCAAATGGGACTAATGGTTTTGCCAATCTTACCAGGTTTCCCTTGGAAATTAGATCTGAATGTCCACGATATCATTATTATCATCATCATCCATTTGTCAATCTACCGCTGGATGAAATCTTGCCCAACACCTTTTGCTCATGGGAGTTGCTTGACCACACTTTACCAGTTGAAGGGGGAGGGGGGGTCAGGACCGTTTCTGGGCACCACGGTAGTGAGATGTTAACTACCTCGTCTGGTATGCAGGAGGTCATGGGTTTGATCCCAATTCTCGACCCTGACGCCTGTATATTTGCAGTTTGCATGTTCTCCCAGTAGTCATGTGGATTTTTCTCCGGGCCTTTTGGCTTTTCCCTCATTTAGAATCAACATGCGTTTCGGAGTATTTGGCTGCGATAAATTTCCACGTGATAAGCCACTTCGTAGAGCTGTCAATTATGGCGAGGTCGCTTCTGTAAAAAGAGCTTCATAGCTCAGTGGGCATTATCTGGTAAAATAAAATAAAACATAGCAAGCTATTGGTGCGATAGCTGTGTCCAGGAATCATACTCAGGTTGCCGGGTTTCTGGTGCGTGCAAGTGCACAAACAATTGCACCACTGCTCCACCTCATCGAGAGTTTATCCTCGTTACATTTATAAACACCCGCGTCCAATACTTCACCTGCGCCACGTAACGCCCGCACAAGGTCGGGCCCTGGCAGCTTCTGGCCCCACTTCCCCCAACTCCCGCTCGGCCTACCGGCCGGCCGTCAGGCCCGGTTTGCCACAAACAGATTAAAGTTGTCCATCCGGCCACTTTTCTCTCCCTTAGCTACCGAGCACTGGGGAGATGATTGCATTTCGTAACTCGTGAGGGTAATGCACTTGGGGTTTTGTGCCAAGCCAAGCCACACATTTTGTTCAAAGGGGCAGCCACCGCTCGACCGTAATTGCTTGGTGTCAGATAAACAGCGAGTGAGGTGATGGGTTTTTTTTTTAAGAGTGGGTGAGCGTGATAATTGTGTAGACTTCTGTAGTTTCTATCGCAGCCCGCCTCTCCCTGCTCACACGAAGTCGTGCTGTTGCCAGGCGCGAAGGAGAGTGACATTCACTTCTCCTGCCACTCCTGCCGTATAATCTGCGACGTCAGACATCACTGGCAAGGGCCGGTTACTGATGAGCCACTTGCCTGCGAATGGCACTTCATTTGCACTGTGACTGTGTCCTTCACTGTCTGCTATTTCTGTAGCCGTAATCTCCAATTTGAAATGATATTCGATTTGTACTGGATTATTTTTACCTTTTCCCATCTCTGTTTATATTTGCACGATTGCCATCGTTTCATAGGATAAAATACACGTTTATTTACATCTCTTGCCGCTAGCAGTTAACTGCTTTGTGTCTGAAAGTGGCTTCAGGAGATGGTGTCCCAGAATAACTTGTGAGGACACTGTAATGGGCCTCATTATCCACACTGCGGGCACCCCATATGCCTTGCATCGAGAAGTCTAAGCACTGGCATAAGGAAAAACACACATTTAACTCAAGGTTATTCTACACAATCATTGGCTTCCAAGCTGAAAGCATGGACTTGCTGCACGTGAAAAGTCTTTTTAATCATGCGTAGCTGGCCCATATTGCAAGCTGACATGGCATTAGCCTCTTGAATCACCCATCTCCCTTGAGATTCAATTATCTCATTGAATCGGTGTCCGTTGTTTATTTGTAGCTCCGAGATGTATAATCATCTTTTCAGAAAACGTCTTGCCATGCAATGCGTTGTGGTCATGGAATGCATTATGTTGTCCACAAAGGGGGATTGCAGTCCTCCGTCTTTCATTTCCTACAATAGCGATGCCTTCCACAAGGCCATGGCATAGGCGTGTGCGATCACAGAGCTCTATAGCTCCTGTAATAATAAAAAAGCTTTTAATGTTTTCTCGGAGTTATTTTTTTCATGAAAAATCAAGGGTTTTGTGTTTCCTGTTTGTCCGTTCGGAACAAAGTGCAAAGCTCGCCAGCTGCGCGAAACTGCAGGGCCTTGACCCTCACGCCCGGTGACGTCGGTGCGAGAGCCTCGTACGTGAACGGCCGGCCCGGCAGACGCGCCAACCCGAGCACCGCGCGGCGTTCCCCGGATAAGGTAATGCCACAATCCCCCCCCCCCCGCCGTCCTAGACAACAGCACTGGTGCTGTTGTCTAGGACTGCCCGCTGGCTTTTTGATTATTCCGGTCCTCACCGCTTTGATTCTGCCCCTAACGAGGGTTTGTGCATCTCTGTGGGAGCAGCGTGGGGCAGGAGCCTTCGTCCCGTAGAGAGCGAACACGACGCCATCCTGTGATGCCACGCAAGCACAATGTGCCCCTAACAAGTGTCAATTTATAGTATAGCTCAGACACCAGGCTATTTGTATCACCATTGTTAAACACGTGGTCTTCTAAAGGTAAACTATACAATTTCGCACCTCCGATTCGTATGGTTGGCTACTTACGGTGCGACAGAAGTTCACCATACATATAAACATACAATACATTGAAATGAAACTCAAGGATTTCATATTTTAACAGCTTTTCATTGAAAGCAATGCATTGAATTGTGGTGGAGTGAATCCTTGCATGCCCAGCTCGCATCCTATTGGGCTGCCATTCCGTGTTATGGGAGGGTGAATTCAAGAGAACCAGCAGCTATGAAAACACAACTGTGGCAGCACAATAGAGCCTGATTTATTTAACAACCAACCAATGTGAGTATCTCCTCATTTGATATGCAATGTTTCATTGTGAGTGCTGCTTCTCCCATTTCCGTGTTGATACTGAACAGAGGCCATATACTGAATGCCACAATGTATGTTTTGTTGTTGTTACAAAATGTTTGTTTTCATTTCAGTTTTACGAAACATCCAGCGACTCCCATGTAGAATCGGAAAAGACTGCTGCAATAGATTCACTGCCCACTTTCGCCATGGCATTTTTTCACGACTCGGTGGCAATTGTTATTGGGGTTTTTTTCACGAGTATGTGAATTCTACATCTTGCGTGGATATCCGTGCAACCCAGACATGAGGTCGCACGAGAGACTTGTTGCGAAGAGGACGTTGATCAGCGTGGCTGGGGGGTATTAGGTTGACTGATGCAGTAACGGCATAAACGGCAGTTTCATTCAGGGCATCGTTTACAACAAATGTTGTCATCTGCCCGGTCCTCAAGGGTTCCGGCGGCCGGCAGGCTTGCAGGAATGAGTATCTGAGTGGCTGCTTCTGCAATGGATGGAGAGGGGAGTCATTGAGAGAGCACCAATTGACCTGGAGTGCAGTTTCTGGTTCAGCAGTGTATTTTGTCAAAATTTGCAATTTTCTGAATGGTTGTTTATTTACTTGTTTTTTTTACACTCAAGAAAAAAAATTGCGTTGTTTTTTGTAAAAAAATGAATTGCAAAAATCAACGATGCGGTTGGTTTGTGTTGACCTGCACCGCCAAGTGCAGTGGCATGTCAAGACGACGGGCAGCACGATATTAAATCGAGGCGGCGATGCAATGAATCCATTGCTCGACGGGGCCACCAGGGGCCCAAATAGCCCAGCGCTGGAGATTACGGCCGAGGCGCCAACCCGCCGTTCCCCAAGGAGTCCAGTGTGTGCAGCTCGTCGCTGAAATTAATGCCAAATGCTTTTCACGTGTCCTGCGTTGTGCTTTGCAGAGGCCTCCCAGCGTGTGGCTACACATACCTGTTGCCCTGAGTGGAGCGAGGGCGGCAGGGGAATTAAACAGGAGTGAACCACACGGCGGAGGTGTGTTTCTCAACACGTGTTGCCATGCTATTTGCGCTAACCGCTCTATTACTGGTTTGTTTCCTGAGATCAACAGTTGCAGATGGAAATGAATAATAGCCTCCCGCGTTTATAACGCCTATCTATTTCGCATGCTGTGTCCGAAGGCCCTGAAAGTAGCCCGAGCTGTCTTGAATGCAAAGAATGGGAATGCAGCAACTGCAGTGTTTGTCCTGGAACAGAATGTTCCGGGTCATCTCCCTGTGGAGCGCCTGCGCGCGCGCCACGTATACGTGCGCCGCAACCACATTCCCCCGTTGAGCAGGCGCGTCTTGTAAAAATGTGCGATGAGAATGCCGTTGTTGTCTTTTGTCTGTGAGACGCCAGTTCAAACATTTTGTCAGAAGTTTACTTTTTTTACATTAACCCAACGTGCGTGAGTCATGATTTAAAAACAAAAAAAACACAAGACAATGAAGATAGCTACATTCATAGGGGTGTCTGCTTGATTATTTTTCTACCCATAAAAAAATGACGTTAAAAAAACCTTCATATAAAAAATTGCATCGTAGTTAAGTTTTATGACTTTAATATGTTTCAATATGAAGCATTTTGGACGGCCCCCTGATTAGTGTGGTTCACATCCATTTTCCTTCAACCCCGTCTGCCTCCCGGGCACAGAGGCCGACCGCCCACACCGCCCACACCCTGACCCTTACATCTCCCGAACATAAAGGGCAGTGACTCACCACGCTGGGGTCTGCCCGAGTCCTCACACCGATTGACGCATTTCCCTGTTGAACCTGCCACTGGCATTAAAGTGCGTCCTGGCAATCGTTGAAATTATCTCATCTAGATGTCATGCTGAGCCAGTGTTGGCACCCACAGAATTTTGTCAGCATTCAGACATCTACTTAAAGAGGTGGACAGTAAATCACAACATCTGGATTATGGGATTGTGCCGACAGTCAATTGCAGTGCAATACGCAGTTTGTGCATTCCCTAACACTTTAAAATCGCGAGCTTGGTTATTATGACTATATAGCCTCAGAAGAAACAGCATCGTTCTCTTAACTAAAGTTGTGTTCATGCCCTAAAAGGAGAGTAGTGACACAGTGGTTTGCACTTTGCGCTGTGAGCCCAACAACCCGGGGTTCATTTTCAGCCACAGCTTTACGTCCACGGTAAATGATATCAGAACACCTCTTGGTGAAGTATGGTTGTCATTACTCTCATTCATATATTTATTCATAAGTGATTTCATACTTAATAGCAAATAATCAATCTGCCATGCATGAGCGTACTTCCTCAACAACCTTTGTGTCGCATGATTTGGAAGGGTGAATGGTTGATGCAGAGCGTTCAACAAAACACCAGTGCCGTTTGTCAATATTTTCATAGAAGCGATGAAGTCATCCCTGCGCACATTAGTGAAGGAGCCTTTGCGTTGGCTACACGCAACGCTGCGGCCTATGCTTTTGGAGGTGACGAAGTCCTCTTAGAATAATTTCAAACTGGAAATCTATTGATTTTAAGTACTTTTTCAATCGTGCTATCATAGTTACATCATGGGACAAACAACCCAGCCAGTGGGAGATATTTTTCAGGAGATTTATTTCTACAAATCCTTCAAGTCGTTGTTTTATCTTCTCAACAGAAAGGGACACAATTCCCCACGCATGCATCCAAGAGATTGTTGCATGACGGTTAAACCGATAGTCTACGTGTTTTGTTTTTATTCTCAGAGCTGGAGTTTAGCCAAATCTTGTCAAATATCAGGTTTAATATGGTGGCTTTTTTTGTGTGCAATCATTGGGAGCTGGGTTGAGACCATAAACTCGCCACAATGGGAAAGCCAAATTAATCGTGGGCGGCTGAAACATAAATTTGAACCCAGGATCTCAGCGGCCCCGGGTCAGTGCAGTGACCTCTGGGTCACCCGACCACCTCGTTAAACAAATAGGTTTAAACATTTACAATGAATCTGTTTTTAGTAGTATTCACAAAACGGTATTCCCAGACAATTTAATTGGGGTGCAAGTCAGAAATGCAGGTGCTTGTCGAGGAGACAAGTAGATTGATGCGATTCCACGGTCATCTTGTAATCAGAGATTGCCAAGAATCATCATCTAATAGAACATCCCAGAACTTGGCCGATAATTTAGTTCCCACCGCCCACTCACATCATTATCTGTATCCCAGGGGGCTCCCACTGAAGCGACGATCATGTTGATTGGCAGGCACTGCCGATGATAAGAGGTTAACGGAGCACCTTCCTCCCTCGCAAATTCCTATAAGCGGCGCGGTGATATGATGGTGTTTGCAAGCCGGGAGATGAAACGTGACATAATTGTGGAAAAGAGGCTGATGTGCGAGAGAGAGATAGCTCGAAATGAAAACAATAAAGAAAACTTAAGTTTGTTAAATATATTAAAGTATTGGCTCGGGATTGATTTTGCAATAACTATATACACATAGCCATGTTGCAACATGTAATTGTGCATGAAATGTGGGTGTACTTTATGTGATGTATTTGAGGTATTTCATGTGGGGTAGCAAAGTGCTTTAAGATATGTAGATTTTAAATATGGTCACAGGTATAGTGTACAGTAATTTTGTCTGTATGTATGTTGAACTTTCGCACCGTACGTAGCCAACCGCGTTAATACACTGCTGGATGAAGGCCTCCTCACGCCGCAGTTAGTTGTGGCCAAAAACTCGAACTCGGCTTTCTGGGTTCGCCGTCGTTTGGTTCACTAATCACTGTGACACCATTCCTTCTGGTCTCAACAACCTCATCAATAAACATGTGCCTTGATTCTAGGGTTTACCGCACAGATCCATACTTTATTAACCTCACGAGAGCCTTTTGCAAATGGAGACCTGGGTTGCGGAAAGGAGTTTGGTTTTACATTAAAGACGTTCTGAAATAACGGAGCAATTCTGCTTGCCTTGCCTCAACACTCATTCTCAATGCTCATTGCCCACCGCTGACTTTTGATCGTTCTCATACACGTTCAACGTGCGACGTCGCTCCTTGTGTTTTCCTAGGGCGATGTGCAATCGGCGCTGATTTGAGAGAGGAGCACATCTCAGGGTGTCCGCGAGCCCGCTTTAAGCCATCGGTGCCGAAGCCGCACAATAGCTTCGACGCGACTGGCCCCACCATGGCGGGCAACCGATGCCGCGAGCCACCTGGACGCGGCGGCGGCGGCGGTGGCGGCGGTGGCGGCGCCAACGCCGCGGAGATTTTCCACGGTCAAATTGCCGATGCCGAGAGTCCTCCAAGCCGGGCCGAGAGGGATCGATCGACGGCGCACGCTGGGGCGAGTCGCCACGGGGACTTTGGATGGAAGGAAACGAAGATGGCTGTGGTCGGGGACACGGGTGGGCAGATTCAGGTGATCATCAATATCCGGAGCAGGGAGTCTGTGCCCACGACGGGAGAGGACCAACGCGAGTGACGTTTAACCGCCACCGAGCAATGGTTCAATTGAGTTGTACCCCTTCTACTTTTCAGCACATTATTGTTGTTAAACATACGTTTCATTTACTCTTACGAACTGGTCCCGTGGTAATTATGCTGTCCGTGTGTTTTTTTATTCGTAAAATTGTTAATGATGCTAACGTATTCCTACATGGGGCGGAAACCCCGTTTCGCTCGGGCAGCATTGTCTAGACGCTGTTGCTTTGTTTGCCTGCGAGGTGTTGGATGTGCACCATTACGGTCTCGGGTTTGTGCACAGCCCTGTAGCTCTGGTTCAGGTTCACGTGATCCAGTGAAAGCAACCCTGAGCCATGGGCAAGCAGCTGCCGCACGCATCCCAGCAAAGTAGCCGCTGTCGGTGGCATCGCTATCAAGTGTGCCGGCGGTGCAACTGCACACAGGTCCATAAGCCGAGAGGCCCAAGCGTCGGGCTACACTGGCCATTGTCCACCGGCTGACCCCCTCCCACCCACAGGGATCACTTGGTAACCGACCTTCCTTAGCTCGCCCAAGGGTTCGAGCACTGAGCCGGCACTGCTGAGAAACTGAGTTTGATTCTGGGGTTCAGCCGTCCGTGCTAAGGCTCGGTTCTTAATCGTAGCAAAGGTGATGATCACAGCCCAGTTCCCAAATGACTGCACAAGAAAGAAAAAAAAACCCATCATTAAATCTGATTTAGCATCCGATGTTGGCTTTATTCCCGCCCTGAGAATGAAACGTATCGGTTCGGCTCTCATGCAAACCATGTCTTGAGAGAGTGTGGAAAGTCGCATCTATTGCTCTAAATACTGTATATATAAAGCACTTGAGTGATTTTGTTCGAGTGTAGCGAGGTGAAGGTCTCGGGTCAGTTACGAATGACTGCACGAAACAGCCCTATCAGATTAAATGTTTTGTTTCACTTTGGCAAAATGCCAGCTCTGAGATTAAACAATATTGGGGTGTTCTGCCATAAAACAATAGCGGGGTGTGTTTGAAAGCAGGGTGCGTGAGTCAAGGACATGGATAAAAGGTCACTTGAAGGAGTCTCGTCAGTAGTTCTGTGATATCTCCTCCATAGACAGTTTCCCAGCACAGGGTGGTGCAATGCTTACTGTCGGCGTTTCCGAATGGACACACTGTCTCCGTGACGTGACGTGATGCACGCGCAAGTGAGAAACACGCTGCTAAGCAATACGAATTGGATAAAACTGTTTGGAACGCTGAATGATATATATTTTTGGGTAAAACAGCCTCTCTCATCGATCGCACACGGGGAAGAGCAAACATGCACTTTGTCTGCCGCCGAGCGGCTGTTCCAGGACCCGTGGCGAGCGTGCGGCGGATGGCTGTGCCTGCAATGACAGGACCGAGTGACCTTTCACCCCCGCCTCGAAGGCTGCTCGCACGCTGAGATAAGGCTCTCACTGTGTTGGTTTTAAACCGGAGAGAACATCTTGAATGCGCTTGATGATTTTAACCTCTGCCCTCCAACAACCGCCCACTGCTTGTTAGAGACAAACTAAACTGTATTTACAGCGGAGCGCTCCGCCGTTATCGCCTTGTAAAATGTCATAGGAGAAGCACTCGAGATGCACGAATATACAATCATTTACAATACACAAGTGTCCCCGACTCGCTGCTTTGTACGTTTCGCATAAAGCGCGTGTCCCTTCGTGTGAAAGTGAACCTCGCTCTCGTGCTAACGCGAGCGAGCACGCGTGGGCAGGCGAGTCCGCGAGAGGATGCCGGTGTGTGTGTGTGTGTGAACAAGGTCTGCAGAGCACCTCGCGTGCAAGGGAACAGGAGCGGCGCCTCTCCGCGCCGATATGAATTTCCACTACGTTACCCCGGAATGAGTCAAACAGACAATTTCACGCCTTGCTAGCGAACGCAAACACGCAATAACTGCCGTGCTCCTCCCTTGACCGTCGGGGCTGCGAGAGCGGTGTTTACTCGGCAAAACATGCGCCGAGGAAATTTGCAATATACAGGGGCATTGAAGGGGCCCTGTAGTAGCTGTGAGACGGCCCCTTCTGTAGTAATAAGCCCCAGCCAGATATTGACGTCGCTGTTGTGGGAGAAGCTCCCTGTATTGATCTGCACCCCCACCCCCGCCCGCCCCCTGCCTGCATGTGAGATGCCCTGTCAATTGAGACTGGCCACGTTGAAGGGATTCGAGGCTGGCGAGCTGTACTTGGTCCTTGGTGCACAGCGAGACGCGCATTGCATCAACTCGAATGGGTATGTCGACGTCATCGTTTCCAAATTTAATATCAGCAATGCGTCGAGGGTTTTTGTGTTGCATTCAGTCATGGTCAAGGTCCATGCTTGTGTCTTAATTTCTGAATTTCTCATGGAAGATTTTCTGGAACCCTCCAACCCCCCCCCCCAACTCCACCGATAGTGGTGGTAGAGGGGACATTTTTTTCGAGAGTTCAGCCCCAGACATCTCTCGTTGATTTTTAAGCCGTCAGTATCCTCCAACGAATATGGATTTGATATTTGGCGAGTGCGTATCGGGCGGAAGACTATTAAGCGCACATTTATTTGCGCGAAAAGGTCAGAATTGAAAATCATTAAAGTGAACTATAAATTCGCAAAGGCAGAAACTAGATTGTCAATACCATGAAATTGTTATGCGGTGATTGAACGACAAGCGGGATTGCCTTTATGGGCGATAAAGTCCCGCGCTCGGTACGCTCCCGTTAATTGCGACGCGCGGGTGCGCAACGCGGAGCCGCTTGTGACACCGCGTGGGTTGCCACAGGCACGGGAGATGGAGCCACGACGGGTCCGAGTCACGCAGCCCCAGGGCCATCAGTAACACGCGGGCCGGATCGCGGCCTTCCACTGGAGCGGAGCGAGTATTATAGCACGGTTACGCAATGCAAATAAAATTATATTTTTTTATCACAGCTCCAAACGCTTGTGCGCGTTCTTGTGGTTCTATCGTGGGCTTGATCAGCTCGTGGTGGAATTGAAACGGCATCCGTTTAATGAGCACCGCTGGACACGAAAGGCCCACTGCGTGCGTGCATCCTGGCCATAATTCACCCCTCCTGCCTGGCCATTACTCAGCCTGGCGCAACTGCCGGCAACGGCAGTCCGGTCTCCCTCCCCCACCTCTCATTGCCAACCTCCCTCTTCCCTCCCTCCGGACCCCCCCCCCCCCACCCTTATAATATCCCCCACCCCCGCCTGTTCTCGTGTCCTGCGTATCTTGCAGATTGTATCGCCTCGAGCAGGCGTTGTATCTCAGCTGATGCTGCTGAATTATGTCGACCGCAAGAAGATGCGGTGGCGTCTCCAAGCGGCTCTGCTGGTTTGGGCAAAATGTCACACACGTCAGGGACGATTGAATTGAGTTATGAGCAGGGTGGCACGGGTCTCTTAAAAATGGAATTTGGCCTGAAACCGCGTCTCCGCTGCGGTGGGAAGAACGTCAGCACGTGAGCGACAGAGGAGACCCTAATGAGTGTTGACGTCGCCCCGTGTCACCCAGGATAGGTGCTCGCTAACTGCACTTGCTCGTGGGGAGGGGGAGAGTGTGAGTGTCTTACGCATCCGTGGGGTCTTCAACGAACCACGCTCAACGTGATGGTGACGTCCCCATCACTGACTGATAGAAACATGGGGTGATGTTGAACAGTGGTGGGGGGGGGGGGGGGGGGGTGGAGTACACAAGCTTCTTCCGTATGCTTGATGTAGATGCAGGGAAAGAACTACAATTTCACATTCAGGTAACCAAAGCCAGATAGATAACCGGGTCAGGAGCAGCCGAGTGCATCGCCGTCTCATTCGTATTTGTATCGGGGCAGTGCGCCGTGATACGTTGTGTGTGGTCTGTTCTGGATGACCACAGTCGCACCAATACTGGTGAGTTTTACATTTCTATTTCGGGGGTGGGGGGCACAATGACGTCACTAGAGTCCTATGGTGGAGCACCGGATTGGCTTAAAAAATTCTCACATTTCATCGATACCCATGCTGAAGTGTTCTGGCCTCGCTAAGTGAATCGCATCGAGATGAGATGCTGTGGCATTTCGAAAGCTGCATGGGTATCCATTGCAGTAGTTGTTGTTGTTGTTAGTGACGGAGGAAGAATTAATACTCGGGGACGCAAGCATCGCGGGGTCGATTCTCGTCTATTAAATGCGAGACTAAGTCTCTCCCTTTGTGCTTTACGATTTCCTTTCATCTATTAACGGTAACCACAGCAGTGGTAACAAGTCACGTTCACTCGGAGCAAGGCGCTTTTGCAAATGTCACGCACGGGCGGGAATGGACTGTAATAAAAAATGTAGGTTTATCACAAATTAATATGCGGTCGTTATTTTGTAGACACATTGTTTCGAGGGATGTCAAGTGTAATATAGACCTATATAGAGGCAGCTGTGAAATATATAATAACGTATTATATAGTTTATGCAACGAACTAGGATTCATCTCAGTTGAGTGCCATTTCCTATAAATGGGTGGCAATTCGCCGGCATTGGTTCAAGCAAAGCCCGACTCTGCTGATGCCACGCCGAATGTCGAACTGGGTCCAGAAATGTCTTGCGTTAAACCAATGCTGCCGGAATTATGGAGGTCCAGAAGGCGTTGTGGTGGATGGGATGTGTGAAAATAAAAACACATTTTATTCGTGGAGGAGCAGATAAGGAAAATAATCATATTGTCTGCTTATTTTATATATATGCCATTCTCTCGGCTCTCTCTGTAGAAGAGCTATTTCTCAAAACGTCAGTCTATTATTTATTTTACTGTTACCAGGCAGTGAGAATGATGAACGGGGCGAATGTATTGTTTTCAACGTGTGCGCTTGTGCACTAAAGCCACCAATCTAGCCTTCTGGATTTGTATATGTTATATAAGAGACATAGTCCTAGAGTACAAATGAGTCATCTAAGGGACGTCGCTAACAGAGCGTCATGTTCGAAATGCCTCGGCCGTGTTCTCGGCGCGTGCCGTGCGTTCTGGACGTGGACATCCCCCGTCGATGGCGCGCGCTCGCGGGAAACTCGCCGTGCGAATTAGCCGGGGGACAGCGAGCGCCCCGTTCCGCGCGGCCCCACTCCACTCCACGATTTACGGGCAGCGCTGCCAGCGAGCGGAATCCGCGGGCTGAGCAAGGGGAAGGATATCTCCCCCCCCACCCCTCCCACACCACACCAGCCCGACCGAAGCAAGCCTTTAAATCTCGCGGGACCCCACGAACGCCTTCGTGAGAAATCAGCGAATACGCGAGCTCGTCGTAACTAGGACACCCTGCACTCGCGGTGTTCACTGTGGGGCCGCGCCGCTCCAGAAATCGCTCCTCTCTTCTGGGCCACCTCCGCATGACGGGGCCGCTACACAGCGCTCTTAGATTAATAATAGCAACAACAACAACAATAGGCCATCGCAACTCCCCCCCCCCCCTCCCACAAGGCAGTGTGCGCGCCGCGGTAGAGTTGAGCGCTGCTGCTCGCGTGTGCGCCCACTCCAGCGGGGGTGGCGGCGGTGCGCGGGAGGGTTTATAGGACGGCTGAGTGACGCGCGGTGACGCGGCTCCCCTGCTTGCGGCTCGCGGCGCAAACCTTCATGAATTATACAGATGATCCGTCCCGTCGGCCGCGACGATCCGCTCCGCGTTAGCGCCCAGAAGCAAACAGCCGGCGAGCCGGCCGCTCGTATTTATACTCCTCGCGCCGCTCCCCTCCGCGCAGACATGCCGACTGGGAGGGGCGACCCGCGCAAGCCGCGCTCATAAGCGGCCCTACACTTTAGCCGAGACGTTGCCCAGCGATGTGTTGTTACTGAATGCTTAGGGAGTAGTGTCGCTGCTACTGCTGCTGTTGCTGCTGCTGCTGTTGTTATTAGTAGCAGTAGTGGAGTGCGCTCGACTAGAGTAGGAGCCACAGAGGCGTAATGCGGTTGAGAAGCGCGTGCAACGGTGGGGTGACCCTTCTCGCGTTGCTGCCGCTGACAGCTTTGGCTCTCGTGAGCGGCGACCCGCTCTTCACGAACCATTTTCTGGTGCAGCTGCATCAGGGAGACCTCGGCGTTGCTGGGCAAGTGGCGCGGGACCGCGGCTTCATCAACCATGGCCAGGTACTTCCAGCACATCGCACGGGCGCTTCGCGACCGGCGCTCCCGACACGCGCGCGGACGCTAATAGATTCCCGCCGTGCGCCGCAGAGCCGCGCGGATCGCTCGAGCATTGCTCGCGTTACTTTGCTCGTAGTGCGATCGCCTTTGAAATTGTAACTTTTTTTGGTTATTTATCCGCTCACGATGTCTTCGTGCGCGGCACTGCGTTGCTGTCGGGGCGCGAGGCAGTCGCCCAGCGCCGCACACTTTCAGCACCACGAGCCCGAGGGACAGCTCCGCTTTACGAGCGGAGTCCATTCGCCTGCGCACCCGTTACAGTCCAGACGCCGATGCAACACGCAGTGTGTGTAATACATACGCGTTGTTCATGCGTTGCTGTGAGTGCGCATACGTGCAAGAGACAATTATTTTCTGTACGGATGGATCCTGAAGGTCAGGTTGCAGCTGTATAGCCCTTCAGCCCAGACTAGCTATTTCACTTACCCGTATCACTCGAGGTGGCATAAATGTAGCGGCTACAATTTCTTTATCTGGCCAAATAACAGTGGATTACGTGATAACCACTTGAAATGAGTGGAGTTATTGAATAATTCACTCTCGTTAGCCGTGTGAATACATCGGTACCGCGAAAGTTGTTCTACCTTTGTCGGTGATGCTAATGCCTGCTGTGGCCCATGGACTTTTACAACAGCCCGGTAGAATCGAGCGAACAGAAGAAGGGAGCGGCGGCGAGTTGTTGGGTGCTTCAATAGCATCGGCCGCAATGACCTCCAATTGTCTTGGCGACACGTTGCCGGTCTAAAGCTAGAGCCGTGGTGTTACGACACACGCGCAAGCCCCATGCGCGTGACCGAGTCGGCTGTGCTTTGTGCAAAGCGCTGACCGGCGCACTCTGCACAGGGACGTTCAATAGTGTCGGCTCTCGTGCGCATGTGATGTTATTCAGTCGAGCAGCGGCGTTCATTGAGTGGCGAAATCCACTGTTGTTAAGGAGCGGATACGAGTCTCTAAATGGATCAACCCGCACTATCGCTGCTTATAATTGTCGTGACATTTATAACTCTCATCAAACTTCCCCCCGCAAGGCGCGTCGGCGCGAGCAGTGACCTTAACACCGCGACTACACGAGCGCCGCCTTCATTTTAATTCCAGAGCTGTAAAACCGATAGCTGATGCCCAGGGACGCATGATTAGAATGTTCTGTATTTGATACAAGCTCGCAGTGTGTGTGTGTGACATTATTAAAGTCAAGGCATAATGTAGTCAATGAACATGTTTTCAGGGCGGTCTGTAAACCAAAATAGACGCGTGACTACTTTCCACAGTCATAATGAGGGGGGGGGGGGTATACTGGATGTGATCTGCCGGGTGCGGAAATATTTTCCGGATTTCCTGATCCGGACCAGCGCAGCCGAAACGAAGACCCGGCTCCACTGTCGACAGACTGAGTCGCCGGGATTGAGCACGGGGCGTTTTCTGTGCAGCAGTGGCAAGCGCCACTACGTTTTTGTGTGAAGATTGACTACCACCATTTGCCCACCACTCCCTTGCCTCTGCGGTGCTATCATTGCACCTCGCTGACCCGTCGAGAGTCGTTAGCGTGGCGGTGGGAGCTCAGCGGAAACACAGCTCGGGGTTTTCGCACGGCGCGATGTTGGTTTCGCGGGCCGGCGTTTGGAGGACCAAAGTCTTTCAGGATCATCGACGTCCTTAAACGCGCAGTGACCACTCAGTCGGTCATGACTGACGCGACTGCCCGAGTGATGGTGATGCCATCCGTTCCGCCCCCCCCCGACCCTGGGTTGTATTCTGTGTATCGCGGCGTGATGTTCCCTAGGCGTGCCTCCTGTGGCAAACCCCCAGCGTGGCTCCGATTGTAGGTTGCAGATTTCACGCCAAGAGCATGCGGCTGAATTCCCCACGTTTACTCACATTGTCTACATTTGCGCTCATATTCAAACTGTGCACTGTGTTATATATTCTTGGTTCTTTCGGTAAAGTCACGTATTATTTATTATTGTTTCCCTTCTACGTGACTTTACCGAAAGAACCAAGAATATGAATCCCTGCAGTCACGAAAGCTTTAAATCAAAATGTGCACTGTGTTGTGAAATATATTATAACCCGGTTGTTGTTGTTGTTGTTGTTGTTTTTTACGGAGAAAGGAGACGGTTTTCACGACAACAAAAGGCACATTAGATGGTACATTTTTGTGCTCTGGTCCATGGGCTATTACAATTCCATTATGCAAAAACGATTTACACTGCAAAATATATATACAAGGTGTACAGTGGCTACGAATTGCTAAATGCTTTGGTCTCGTTTTGCCGCAAGGTTAGCCGTGTATATAAATATGATGGCGCACATTTACCATTTTAGTGCAATGGGCGTTGTGCAGGAAGCTGTCCACACGATCTGCCATGGGTTAAACGAGGGTGAGCACTAAGGAAGCAGCAGCCTCTGGCTTCGCGAGGCTCATAAATGCGTATCTGGCTCCGTGGCTATAAATAGGGTTATGATATTGTTGTAAAGTGCCCGAATGTGAGTCGGAAGATTTGGTTGCCACCACACTGAGACGAGGAACAGATTTCCGTGTGGATTACGCTTTGAGCGCGCACTGTATACCGCGCATGCATCGTTGGAGGGGGGGGGGGATGGGGGGGGTTCTTGCGCTTGCTTCGAGACATGCTTCGTGCAGAGGTTAACCGACCTGATTTTAATATTTATAAGGTTTAAGACTGTGAACTTTGAAATCGACACTGTACACGGCATTTTCATTATACGGGGTGTATCTAAGAGATGGACCCAATGTCAAAGCAGTATATTTCACGATGGCAACATGTTATAATTACACAAAAAGTTACAAATGGTTTAATGACTTATCAAGTTTTACTAGCCATTTTATAAATGCTCTATGTGCCCTCCACCTGCTGTACGGACAACATCGAGACGATAGTTGAATTCGTCCCAAACGCCTCTCAAAGTGTCTTCCCATTGAAGTCACCGCTGCCGTGATTCTGTTTTTGAGGTCATCCAGATTAGTCGCTAATGGTGGCACAAAACACGGTCTTTGACATATCCCCACAAGAAAAAGTCGCAGGGTGTGATGATGTCTGGGGATCTTGGGGGCCAAGAGTGTAGTGCCTAGTCTTGGGGTCCCTTGCGACCTATCCAACGTTGAGGCAGTGTGTCGAATGACTGAGCCTAGGGGCTGTTTGTGCGCTGGGAGAGGCATCGAGCGGTAATCAATTGAAACTCTATGCCCCGCCCTTTCAAGTGGTAAGAGTTTCATTCATGGGCGGTTCGTGGTTGCAAAGATATGGCAATTTCAAAACGGGCCCATCTTTTTAAACACCCTGTAGCTTAAAAGTATGCCAAGATCCATGCATTAAACAAATCAAACATCTTGGCATATTGTTTAACCTTTCCATATCTTGGTCCCAACAAGAAGGCCACAAAGAGCGCCCATGAGTTCATATTCACTCCCGATGTCAAAGGTCACATCCTTAAATCCTTGCAATGCGTGATCGATGCACCCCCATCCCCTGTCCCAGCCCCCCCCCCCCCCCGCCCCTCCCGGTAGTGGCTGCGTCTTCTAGTTGATTAGTCTCCGATGTGCGACTTATGTCATCAGCGCCGGACAGATGAAAGTGACTTCATCTTTGATGAACCTCTATTACTCCAACCTCCAATGCTGCTTATCATCCTGGAGCCGCAAGAGAGGGAAAACTGTGTTACCTGATTTGGTGCGAGATCGATGTCTGCATTTACCTCCTCCACCGAAGCCACGGGGCTCGCGCAGTCACGCGCGGCCAAGCGCCGGCCGCGGAGACTTTGACTCGGAGACGCCGGCCAATTGAGGGCGGCCGCAATCGTTTGACTCGTCGGCGTTCCTGACCCCCCCACCACCCACCACCCCCCGGAGGACACCTCGTGACGTGCCAGCAGGCCGTGGAATTCGGACGGTGGATGCTCGCTCGGTGATTTTAACAATCGCTCAAGAGCTGAGACGTCTCCCTTCGGTGGACACGTTCTTCATCTTTTCGCTTGATATTCACGGAAGTCAACTGCAAGTGGGCATTTTTTACACGAACAAAGCGATACATTTTCAAACAATTACGCCTTACAATATGTACCATGCCGCAATGCATCACACAAAGGATATTTCTATTTCAGTGAGGCTAATACCACTCAGGGTTTTTTTCCCCCCTTCCACATAGCGGTGAAATGAATATGTGCTGCTTCATTACGCCAGCTGATTCAATTTGCCCAGACTATGGAGGCCCTTCCTCTCAAAGAGCGACACAATGTTATCGGCCAGCGCCTCCACGCAGCAGATGACTCAGTGATGTAATCCGGTCGCACGGAATCAGACTCGGGTTTTGTCTAAAGCTTGACCGGAGAGTCATTGTTTATAATAATAATATTGATGATTGTAATTTTATTTAATCTAGCATAATTCAAGGAAATTGCAACTCAGATCGTTGTCGAAGTTTGTAACGGGCCTAGAATTTTAACACCGAGGTTCGCGAGAACCACCGACGCCAAGGATTGCCCAAGTTCTGTGGTCCATAATTGGGATGTATGGCCAACTCTAATTGGTAAGACATCGCACTACCTAGGCACATAGCGTATCGACGACCGATTTCTATATTTTGATGGGAATAGACTGGCGTTGCTAGTTTATATTCAAAACATTGGCATTTACTGGGCCATACACCCAGAGCTGCGTTGGCTAAATGTATGGCTGTCCTCGTATTTCTTTTTCCTAAATCTGGGAAATAAAAAAAATCACCCGCAAAGTAAATAATGGCGCATCAGATAAAGCAATTGATTTGAAACAGAGGACGTGCCGTGTAGCGTGTCTGTGTGTGTGCGTTAGGGTAAATGTTGGTGTGTGCGTACTTGATTGAAGCGGTAGTGTAGCGGTTAGCACGAACCCGGCGATCCGAGTTCGATTCCCACTCACGGCCAACACCAGTGACGATTATCTGAACCAGTACCTGGTGCGGTGTATACACATCGCCACCGGGGGGACAAAGGCGGCCGGCGTTGTGTTGGCAACCCATCCCCTCGTGTGCCTTGCCGGACATCATAGATACTTGCTAATAGCACTTACCCCAACAGTTTGTTAAGGCTATACGGGGAATATTTGTCTCTGTGGTTGGGAGATCGTCATGTACTGTGCCATGGTGTGCACGCGTTTGTCATGGTGTGGTTGACCTCGTGTTTGCATCATGGTGCATTGGTAAGTGTCATGATGTTCGTGTGAGTGTGTGAATTACTGTGGGGAGCGGTAGTGTTACGGTTAGCGCGCTGCGCTAGGAACCTGTGACCGGGGTTCGACAGCACTTGCCCCAGCAGTCTGTTAATGATATATGTGGGATCTTTGTCTTTGTGTGATGTAAGCAATTTTATTTTTGTTGTTGTTGGTACACACACAGTGCCACTGGTATTGTTGGCGAAATTTTCTATCGCTGAAAAGAATCCTGCAAATCACTCAAATGGGATTACACATGACAACATAGTCCCTCTATGGCGATAACGTGGCAGCACCCTCCTGAAAGAGATCATCGTGACGAAGCGTCTGTCACCGCGTGCACACGAGTAGCACGGCTGGCTACGTACGGTGCGAAAGAAGTTCAACATACACACATTTCCGGTGTGTCCGCGTGGGAGCGTCGTGCTATGTGTGTGTGTGACTGCGTACTATGTGTGTGTGTGTGACTGCGTGCTATGTGTGTGTGTGAGACTGCGTGCTATGTGTGTGTGTAAGCATCACGGTTTGCATGCGGGACCGCTACGAGTCTGACGCCCTCATCAAACTCTCCCCCACCCCCTTCCCCAGCTCCACTTTGCTCAGGACCTCTTCCACTTCTCCCACCCCGCGGCGGCGCGGGCGAGGAGGCGGCGCAGCCTCTCTCACCACCTCCGCCTCGAGAGGGACCCCAGGGTAAGACGCACAGGGAGCCAGAGTGACACGCGGAGGAATTGCACAGCCGGCAGGCGTTCATTACCGAGGCTTCGCTGTTTGTTTGTCTGCGTGCTGGGCTCCCATTATTCAGCCAAAAGGTGACGCGTGTTCGTCCCAGCGTGCCCGCAGGGCGGGCTATGAGCGCATTTACAGCTGACTCGAGGAGGTATTTTGCACATGTGCACAATTTCATCTTTCATCGCATCAATTTGCCGCCTTAAGCAGTCGTGGCCACCGATGATAACTGGAGCGACGGCGAATGAATCGAGGCAGTCGATGGGAGTTTGTTTTGCACACCGAGATGTCGGCAGGGACAGCGCGACCTGGCTGGCAGCATGTCACCTCTACGTGTGATCCACCATGCGCTCACCCCCTACCGATCTAACGCCTCTCATTCTCACTTTACTCTCCTCCGTCGACTCACCCCTGCATATCTCTCATCGAAATCTTCCCCTCGCACTCACCCCGAACAAGCTCTTCCATCTCGACTCACTCTATTTGCCTGCACGTGTGATCTCAGCTCCAAGAACCGAGCGCTTCCGTCAACCTCCTCGGTAAAACTTCCACGAAATCGCACGTCAACTCCTGCTCAGCTGCTGCGATTGTGGCCTGGAGATATCACACCCTCGGCCAACCGTGGCTTGCCAAATCTCTACTTTGTGTGTGTTTAGTTTGTGGTCTTTCCCCCGCACCTTCGATTAGCACGGTTGGCTACGTACGGTGCGAAAGAAGTTCAACATGCATACCCCCTGTTCGAATCTAGGTCCAAGGCCTTCCGCTTTTCCTCTGCCGATGACTATTTATTTTACTCAATTGCATCTTACATTACGAATGTACATCCCGCTATTGTAGCACAACCTCTTGAGATGCAGTTAAATTTATGTTACAACTCTAAACTTCAATTATAACCGTGTCCTCGGTCACACCGCTACCAAAGAAAGCCACGTTACAGCTCATGGCAGAAGGAACGCCACATTGAGGCCAAGATGTATTTGAAATGACATCGTATCGTACAATGGGTTTTTTTGTGATCGTTTTTTTTTCCATCTGGGTAACAAATTAAGTGAGTCCGTCTCTGAAGCGAGTGAAAATAGCCTCAATTTGCACGCTTCAGGAACACCGTCGCTCTGCTGTGAACGATGCCTCCCTGCCAGCTGGGGCGGTGGTGGTGGAGGGGGGGGGGGCACGGCGGTGCCAGGCCCTGGCTCGGTCGTGATGTGAGCCAGTCACGGGGTGACGGTGCGGGGAGGTGCAATTGGCGTGCGCCCACGTTCCTTGCCGAGTTCGTGGTGGCAAGGTACAGGAATTGCTTTTTTTTTGTGAACGGCGTTTTTTGATGCGTCGCTTCATAATCAAACCTCCCCCCCCGCCCCCCCCCCGGGCATGAGCCCGATTTCAACTGCTCTCGTGACGCCCGGCAGATTTGAGCCTGAATAGCGCTTAAGATGGGCGACCGTCTGGAATATTCCAGACGGTGTCCGCTGCCGTGCGGGATACGTCGCAGCAAGAAACCACCGTTGCGCCGCCACCATGCGCCGATGTCTTCTTACGATGCCCACCTTCAACAACCCTGAGCGGTGTGGTGGATGGAGAATGATTAGATATCCCCTCCCGTGGAAACCCGCACGGTGTGGGTGCTAGGCATGAATCGCATAGCGGAAATTCAGACCGAAAAAGGCCGTGAGCGCGTGCATTTCGTTGCGGTTGAGCTGATTTTGCCGTTCTGCGGTGACTTTCCTAAACCGTGAAGACTCCCGTACTTCCATGGAGGGGCCCGGTGCGTTTGTTTCATGCTCGACGTAACCCTGCGACGTGTGTCCCGTGTGTTTTGTGCGCTCGCTTTGAGAATTGCCGATGGGACTCCATTGTTTCCAATTACCAAAGATAACCCGTTACGTATTTTTTAGCGATAATCAGGACTTGGGTAGTCGTTCATCCAGCAGTGGATTAGATAGGTCATGGCTGATGATGATAAAGTATTGTATTAGAATTATATTTTTTTGATTTAAAGCTTTCGTGACTGCAGGGATTCATATTCTTGGTTCTTTCGGTAAAGTCACGTAGAAGGGAAATAATAAAATAATACTAATATTAAACAATAAAACAATAAACATTCTCACGACGTTTCGACTGCAACACAAGCAATCATCACTGATGATCACTGATGATAATTGCTTGTGTTGCAGTCGAAACGTCGTGAGAATTTTTGTTTAATATTTGTATTATTTTATTATTTCCCTTCTACGTGACTTTACCGAAAGAACCAAGAATATAATTATATCTGTTAAAAAAAACCCACATGTACCTTCTTATTTGCTCATTGTTCCTCTGCGTGTGAAGCCGCCGTCCAACATCTTGTTTGATTATATCTGGGCTTTTTTTTCTTTCACCCGCATCATTATATAAAGAGTATTCCTGGACTATTATTGGGACAGTGTTCGCGGTCATCACAAATGCATCCCAGCTGTGGAGAAGGAAAATCGGCTGCTCGCCTTCTGCAAATTGATCTCACAACAAAGATCTCCTGCCGAGCCTTTCACTGACTGTTGGGGCGAGTGCTGCTAGCGAGCGAACTACGAAGGCCGGACACAACACGCGAGGGGGTGGTGTGGGCCAAGCACCACACCCGGCCGCCTTTGTCTCCCCCAGTGACGATGTTTACACACCGCACCGGATATTCATTTGAGGCTCAGTCGACCTAACGAAGATGTCCAAGACCGGTTCAGATACTGTATTCGCCGCAGTTAATGGTCATGCGCGGGAATTGGAACAAAAATCGTGTCAGTTGCGTCGGTTTTCGTATCTCAGTGCGTTCACCACTGCTCCCACCGCTCCAAAGACACACACAGAGACACGCACGCGCACGCACGCACGCGCGCACGCGGTGTTGCCTTTGCCGTGCTGATCGAGCCTGAGCTGCATTATTAATGAAGGATAATTTGAGAGAGTTCCTAGCGGGGTGAGAGATTGGGGGCCTGCGTTTAAATTCACTACACCGCATGCGTTCACATCATCGTGAAGATGCAACGAGAACTCGCTCTGGGCTCGCCGTGCCTGTCCTACGCTCATTATGGGGGGGGGGGGGGATTTGGAGCTGCAGCTTTGTAAGATTCGAGAAAGCTAAATATGAAAATGAATAAACGGCTTCGTTGAACCATCGAGGCTCAAGAGCAGCTGCAGGAGGCCTGGGCACGTGGAGGACTGTGGATTTTGGGCATCGCGGACTGAATAATTTATCAGAGACTGTACACTGAATCATTTAAGCGCGCGCTGTGTGTAGCGTGATAGTGTACAGGACGGGCATTGCCTGCTTCTGTTTTGTTTCGCCAATCTCCAAAGCTCGCTCTGCTCAGCTCTAATACGCTGTGCCCAGCGGCTTAAGTAGCAGCATTCAATAGCTACCTTGCCTCCTCCGCACGCAATTATCACCATTGCAGGTGTCGTCAATTCCAGGTGGCTTTTTTTTTATTCAGCTGCAGGACAGTGCTCATCAAGAGGGGACATTTAAGCGAGTTGATAGTTGATAGCGAAACGTGTATTTCCTATCTTGACATTGTCATTGTTGGCTATAACACACAGTGACTAAGCCAGTTGCGGTGGATATGAAGAATATTTCATTATCCGTCCGTGGACACATTTCATTTTGGATTTAGTCAGGGCCAGCCTCGACGGGAATGGCATCCTGAGTGAACACAACTTTATTGGCACGTGTAAGTAAACTGCTAAGGGGCTCTCATCGGAGGCGAAGTCAGAGGTGTAGGGGAGGGGGGGAGATCACACACGCAACTTCTATCCCCCCATCACATCTTTGGGGGGCCTGGGCGGCCGCCCTTGCCCAAGCCCCCCACCTCGAAAGCATTTGCGAAATATATTTATTATGCCTCCCGCGACTTTGAACCGACATCGTCAGCCCGTCAACCAGCATTCATTTAACAAAGTGCAGCTTTGCCGTGTTGGAGCTCGGCCAGGCAGGGGGGCGGGCTGTAAAGAGGACATTGCCATGCGTGACAGCTCGCACAGGTGACTGAGGCCACCTGTCCTGCCACTGCGCTTGGCCAGTCGATCGCTGTTCTCCAACACTCGAGGCGTGTGACTTATTAAAGTATAGTTTATTTATTATTTATTTTACTGGGTAAGACCCACTGAGCTGTACAGCTCTTTTTCAGAGGCGACATTGGCCACGAATGATAGCGCAACGAAGTGGCTTATCATGTGCACATTCATAGCAGCCAAATACTCTTAAGCGCCTGTTTATAAATGTGGAGGGAAAACCCGGAGGACCCGGAAAAAAATCCACACGACCACGGGGAGAGATACATGAAAGCTGAAAGCTCAAAATATACAGCAGGCATCAGGGTCGGGATAGAACCCACGACCTCCTGTGGACCAGGCGAGGTAGTTAACATCTCGCCACAGCGGCGACTCTCGTCAACGTGTAGTTCTGACTTCCCGCGCGTTGTCCAAATCCCCTTCCTTCCCCCCATCGTAGCAAAATATAGCAAGAGAAACAAGATCCTTTAATATGACTGTCATCACAACGATGAACACCGCTGGTGAAGAAGCCACCCATTGACCCGAGGCAATTTGGCCGTTTTGTTTTTTTAAACCCATCTTGATAGTCACGCTCACAATACAATCGCTATATTTTACAATGGCACATTTTTTTGTTCAGTTGCTTAAGACAACTAAATAAAAAGCAAAGTTGGCACATCTATTCACGACGGAGAGGCTTCCGGCCGCCGTGGCAATGCGGAATTTTCACTCCGAGCTTCAACGGGCCGGTAACTGAGACGAGCTCGATTTGAAGCTTTCGTGACTGCAACGATTCCTACTCTTTGTGTTTTTTCGGTAAAGTCACGTAGGTAAAAAAATAAAATTAATAAAAGTATTAATAGAAATAAAAGAAAAAATCACATTTATTCTTTATTAATTTATTTTATTTCTATTATTACTTTTATTAATTTTAATTACATTTTTTACCTACGTGACTTTACCGGAAAAAAACCTAAGAGTACTGAGACGAGCGCCAGTCGTCCGCTGGTTTAATCGGAGACACAGATTAAACCACTGTCGTTGCCATCTCTGCTGCGACCCACAATCGAGGGCGTTTGTCACCGCAGTTGTTCTCACCGCAGTTGTTCTCACCCCCCCCCCCCCCCCGCTCGTTGCTCCTCGTGCCGTGGATGCGTGCGGCAGGTGAAGCGCGTGGTGCAGCAGGAGGGATACTCGCGAAACAAGCGCGGATACAAGTCCCTGGACAACTTGAACATCGACATGAACGACCCGCTCTTCAGCAAGCAGTGGTACCTGGTAGGAAGGACCCCCACACCCAGATTGTTATCGCCGCCACCTTGTCTCGGGTCGCCTGGGATTGTTGACATGTTTTTGTTTGAGTCAGCCGTCCGGGCTCTTCTGTAAGTCTTCTGCGAAATCTTCTTGGTTCTTTCGGTAAAGTCACGTAGAAGGGAAATAATACAATAATAAAAATAAAACATAATAATGACTTTACCGAAAGAACCAAGAAGATGAATCCCTGCAGTCACGAAAGCTTTAAATCGAAATTCTTCTGCGAAACATTACAATTCCCGGTTGTTAATTTTTTTACGAGTAATTGTTTTCCCCTGCACCTCCGATTAGTATGGTTGGCTACGTACGGCGCGAAAGAAGTTCAACACACATACATACATGAGGCGTTTAAAATAAAAAGAGCACGCCACTCAAAGCAACGCGTGTACACGCAGCTCTGCTCTCCTCCAGGATTGTGACATTCTTCCCATTACATCTGTTCTGCTTCGTACCTCAAGAGGTGGCAACCTTCGTCACAATACATGGGCTTCATTTGCTAATGGTCCCGGATTAATGTTACTTTGCGTGCGTTTCGCAACCTGAGGCTAAAATGCAAAGTGAACGCTAAAAGCACTGCACTTAGGGGCTAAAGAGGCGCTTTCTGACGCAATGAAACAACGCCGTCCCATTTGTCCGCCATCACGTGTGCTCCTCGGCACCCGCAGCTCTTCCAACGATGACAATTAGCAAGTCTGTGACAAATCGTTAAATAACTCGATACGTGACAAAATCGATACGTGACAAATTCGTTGCGCCTCTCTGCGCGGACGAGTGGTGGATGTCCATCCCGTGGAAAATGCGCTCTAAGCAGAAGTCGTGCACCTGTGAGCTCTTAAGCGGACACGCATTTCCTCAAGTGTTCCATGATGCCGCACCGTGTTCACAGTCCTGGTGGATACGTCTCTTGTGTCTCTGTTGCGCTGTCGCTCTCCTGTGCCTCCTTATTACCCCCCCACCCCCCCACCACCATCCCCCTCCTCATGCCCCATATTCACGGTCCCCCCCTGTCGCCCCCCACCCTCGCACACCCCCTCCCCCTCCCCACGTCTGCCTCTCGATGTCCTAGATAAACACGGGGCAGGCAGATGGGAAACCTGGACTGGATCTGAACGTGGTGGAGGCTTGGGAACTCGGCTACACGGGCAAAGGAGTGACCATCGCCATCATGGATGACGGTGGGTCCGTTTTGTGTTTGTTCAAAACAAAACACAGGGCCACGTTTTACAAAGGTGTTCTATTGTGAACGCTGCTGGTCTTTGTTGTGTTACACCGCTGATGTTTTGTGCATCGACCGCAGGTATCGACTACCTTCACCCGGACCTTGCCGCCAACTACGTGAGTCAACGCACACTCGCTCACTGCCGTCGACGCGACGAATCGCGAGCGGCGTTGGCGCGCGTAACGCCCAGCGAACGGTGCTGCTGAGCTGTGTGAGATCTGATGAAGTGGTGCACGCTCAGGGCGATTTGATCATAGCCTCAACAGGGTCTGTGGACGGTTATTTTACGTAATATATATTTTTTATTCGCATCACGATCATTATTTTGCTGAGTTATGCGTACTCCTGTGTGCAACGCGCACCTGGATGTGTCACCACCTAACGAGAAGCTGCAAGGCAAAGGACAAGCGGAGTGGGGAGTGAATGCAGTGGTTGTGACACCACACCACCGGTTACTGAGATTCACAGCAAAGTTAGCCGCTGTGGCATCAAAGACGATGTCACGGCGCCATTGATCCTCCGTTGTACAAACTGCAGCGCACATTGGAGGTTGACATCCGACACGGTGACACCACGAACGACCAGGGCTGAATTCCTTGCTCGATATTTTGGGGAACACCGCTGTTGGCTGGCTTAAAAAGTGATCTATCGGCGTAAGGCACTCCCACTAGAGATACATGATACGCGCATCCATAATCCTATATTATCGCGCCCTATATTCCTATAATGCTAGCACAAGTTTATAGGAATATAGGGCACAAGGACAAACATGATGCGATACGGATGTAGCACGTCATATATGATTCGCAGAGCAGCATCAAGGATTGTTCCAGCTGAGATGCAGCATTCACCACGGCACCTGCAATAGGGCTGAACGATTAATCGATTTAAAATCGAAATCGCAACTTGAAACAATGTGATTAGCAAATCGCAAAGGCTGCAATTTTTTACGATTTGAAAAGTCAAATTACTTTCTTATTGTAATTTATTTATTCTTTTTTATTATAACTTGATTTATTTAACTTTACAATTGTTCTATGTTTGAGTGTTCTATTTCATTTTAAAAACATTTCTAAATACCTGTTGGACGCAATTAATATATTTTAAGTTCTCATCCTTGCATTGGAATAGATAGAGTAGTTCATATTTTGATGGTATCATGTGGTAATGCTCCATCACATGTTTTAAATCTATTACACAGTGATTATTGAACTGAAGCTTGACTTTAAAAATATTTAATCGCAAATAAAATCGCAATATCTGTCAAAAAAATCGCAATGAGATATTATCCCCAAGTCGTTCAACCCTCACCTACAGTCAGCCCTCGAAGCTCCCTCGCCATCAACCAGGAGCATGGTCAAGAAGACGCTTTGAATGGTTAAGTGGGGAGGGGGACACAGACTACGAGTTAGGCGCACACAGGAACAACACAAGCTGAAGTGGCTCATGAATTCTGCCCGCTTACATTGTGCAAGGTTTACGCTGGTGGTCGCCCGAAAGGCTTGTTCGACATCGAGTGGCTTAGCTTTGTAATGGTTAACTAATGCGGGACGATGTGCAACATTGTTCCCGGCCTGCAGCAGCAATAAAAAAAAATATATAAATGAGCAGGTAGTAAAAGTGTAGCGAGCGGAGTGTGCACTTAACCGGGCTGACAGTGTGAATGGAATGGATTTGTAATGCACTTGCAATGAAAGTCTGCGTGTGACAATCCCCGCCTTGTTTAACGCATCACGTAGAATTAGGATTCTGCAACAACAAAAAATGGGTTTTGTTGAAAAGTGAAATCGCTGGAATTGTCGCTTTTGTTTAGTTTTGCTCAGCCCTGCATTAAAACTTGAAACTGGGGGTAATGGCAATAATGTGATTGAATAAGAACGTGCGTATTCGTGGTAAAAGGGTGGCATTTCAACAGTGAAACACATTGCTAAATTGCATTACAAATAAGTGCCGTAACAAACTGTGTACATGCCTATGCTTTTTGTCTTTGTATTAACGTTCAATCTGGAATGGTATTTATATTTTTTATATCTCAAATGAGTACCTGGTGCGGTGGTGTGTAAACATTGGCCACTAGGGAGACAAAGGCGGTCGGACGTGCTGCTGGCCACCCACCCCCTCGTGTGCCGTGCAGGCCTTCATAGGTGCTCGCTAACAGCACTTGCCCCAACAGCCTGCTAAGGCTACACGGGGGATCTTAGTCTTCATAAATGGCAATAGTATAAGCGACGTGATAGGCCACATTTTGAGATATGCGAATGTCACCCCAAACTTTACTTAATAGAAGAAGAAAAACCTCTGACAATGCAGTACATACTATGACTCAAAATAATCATAAGCGGCATTGTCGAGAATAGATGATAAAATAGAAAAGCGGACAATGCGACTCCATATTCCCGTCTCTCCACGATAATAATAAAAAAAAGTATTTCACAATCCATGGCCTGCACGGGGACATCCGCACTCACGGAAGTACAATACTCACAGAAGGCCGTGCTGATGATGGGTTGTGGAAGAAACGCATTACTTTATGTCAAGTAGACGGATACATGGAGACGATATATTGTACGCTTATTTATTTCATTACCTACTATGGCATCACTGCTTGGCCGGTGCCAAGGTCTTGGAAGCAAGGACGAGGCGACTCAGAAGAGGAGTGGGTGGGGAGAGTCGTATTACTTCTCATCACCGGCGCAGAGCCCCGAGTCTCCACCACCAGCCCCCTCCAAAGGGTGATCCTGTAAACAGCAATGAACCAAACCTAATGAACAAAAAGCGGAGTGAATCTACGCATTCGTGCCGAATAATCCCATCTCGCGGTGCGTCGAGAGGCGAAAGACGCCGAGATTTACGTTCACGCCGCGATCCAATTAGACCCTCCGACGGAGGGCTCGCGTAAAACAAAACGCCACTTTGAACAGATTAATTCTGCCGGCGTTGGTTATAACAGGCGAGGCGACGGGTAAGTTAATCAATCCGTGTTTGCTCTGCTCGCAGCATGCCGAGGCCAGCTACGACTTCAGCAGCAACGATCCCTTTCCGTACCCACGCTACACCGACGACTGGTTCAACAGGTAACGCGCGCACGTGGGACGGTGCGCGCAGTGTCCCCCGCGGGGTAAGAGAGAATTATGAATCGAGATTTGAAGTTTTCGTGACTGCAGGAGTCCATGCTCTTTGGTCCTTTCGGTAAAGTCACGTAGGTATACAATAAATTAAATCACGACGTTTCGATTGCACCTGACGATGATTGCTTGTCGTGATTTAATTTATTTTATTTTATACCTACGTGACTTTACCGAAAGAACCAATGAGACTGCCACAGTTGGCTTCGTCATTTGTAAGGGTCCAGAGTTGCGATCTCGATTCGGGGTCAATTCAGACGCTCATTATAATTATGATCGCCGCTCGAGGTTGGATGTAAGTCAGAATATGAACACTGGAGGAATCCGATGAGCTATGAAGCTCTTTTTCACATATGTCCAGTAGGGGCGGGTGAGAACGTTACAACAACAAACAGTATAAGAAAGGTAAACAAATAACCCAAATCTTCTTGGTTCTTTCGGTAAAGTCACGTAGAAGGGAAGTAATAAAATAATAATAAATTATTTTATTTTATTATGTTTTATTTTTATTATTTTATTACTTCCCTTCTACGTGACTTTACCGAAAGAACCAAGAAGATGAATCCCTGCAGTCACGAAAGCTTTAAATCGAAAAATAACCCAAACATACAAAGAAAATGAAACCATCCCCATTGTCCAAGGCAAAGCCCACTGAGGTATTAACTTATTTTTCAGAAGCGACCTGGCCGCAAATGATAGCTCAACAAAGTGGCCCATCATTAGGACATTTATAGCAGCAAAATAATCTAAATAATCTCAACGCATGTTTCTAAATATGGAGTGGAAACCCGGTGGACCCAGAGAAAAAAATCCACGCGACCACGGGGAGAAACAACGCAAACTTCAAATATACAGCAGGCGTCAGGGTCGGGGTGGATCTTCCGACCTCCTGCATACCAGGCGAGGTAGTTAACATCTCGCCACCGTGACGCCTCGGGGGGGGGGGGGGGAAGTCGGCAATAGCTTGTCCAACGGAAAGGTTGACTGCACAAAAGGGATGTTCGCCGTGGGATATCTGGCTCACGGCCACGAGTGGGTTTAAGCTTCTTCCCGGCATGCTCGAGTGAGCAGAGATACGCGCCGACGTCGCCTTGGAGTGGAAATGAAATGAGATGATGTTATTTCCCCCTCAAGCTAGGCTTGCAATGTGCGCTTCGTGTCTGTGTGTGTGCACGTCTGCGCGCGCGCGCGTGCGTGTGATGCGAGGAGCGGTATCACAGTGGTTCGTTCACTGCATTATTAACCCGGCGACCCAAGTTCGATTCCCGTTCACGGCGGGACATCAGCGGCGAAAATATTTGAAATGTCTCTGGGCCCCTCCCACCCCCACCTTCTTAAATGGGTACCTGACGCGGTGTCAAAATCTTGACCACTGAGGAGACTAAGGTGGCCGGGCGTGGTACTGACCACCCACCCTCTCGTGTGACATGCCGGCCTTAATTTGCACTCGTTAACAGCACTTGCCCCAACAGTCTGCTAAAGGCTATACGGTGGGACCTTTGTCTGTGTGTGTGTGTGGAGCAGCCATGGAACCCGCTGTGCGGGGGAAGTTTCTGCAGTCGCCAACAACAACGTGTGTGGAGTGGGAGTCGCGTACAACTCGCGCGTGGCAGGTACGCGAGTCACGTGCACAAACAAGAACAAACGATCCCCCCAGGTAGCCTCGACACGGACTGTCGGCTTGCAAGTTGCTGCTCGCGGCCACCGCTTATTGCCAACACGGCGGACGATGTGCGCGGCATGGCCAAGCACCACGCCCAGACGTGACTCAGATAGTTGCCACTGATTGTTGCCCGCTGCCGGCTACGTAATGCGGTGCAGTAATTACGTATGAAACACACCGGCATTGGGCGGCCCACACAGGCATTGCTCGCCGCACCGCTCCCAGTGGCTTGTGAAAGAAGCCTCTCTGGCCCTTTTCTCCATCCACAAGGTAAGAGGTCTCTGTTGTTCAGGGCACACGGGTCCCACACCTTCTCTCCCGCAACGCCCCCGAACTTCGCCTCCCGCTCCCTCTTTTAACCTCTTCCTGGCTCCGTACCTCGTCGCACCCCGTCCCCGTCACTCATCATCCACTCTTTTTTTACGATCAGTGGAAACAAGAAGATGCTCGGTGTAGTCGGCACTTTGCTTCGTTCATCATCCTCTCTTACCATCACCTGGCGTAACCGTCCCACCTGACGGCTCACCCAACCCTCCAGCTACTTTTCCCTTTTGAACGTTCCGGCCAATCCTCTTGCTCTCCGTGCTCTAACCAATCAGAGCGTGGAGTGTTTTCCCCCGCCTTCTTTATTTCTGTGTCCCAGGGATCGTGCGAAACAATCACTACACTTGTACCAGTCATTGTACAAGCCCCGAAGGTCGAAGCGCCTTTTCCAGAGCTGATGACAAAAATCACCCGAATGGGCCCCAATCCATCCTGATTGCTAAGTGTGGTTGAGCCCCGGTTAGCAATTGGACGGGAGGCTTCCTAGAAACACCAGGTGGTGTTGCTGATTTGGATTGTGAGGGTAGCCGGGAGCTGGCAGCAAAGCAATTGATTATATAATCCATCTCTTGGGAGGTTTGAGTGTTATTTCCTTATACGTGTGTGGGTTTTCTCCCGTGTGTTCTAGTTTCTATTAACACAGTGCGAGCTTCCCGTGAATAGAATTGGCCAAAATCCAAATGCAGGGCCCTCCTTAGTGACTCTTGGGACAATATACACGTCCGTGTGTTGCTTGTTTAGGTCACGTGAATAGTTTTGTTATGCTGATGACACCGGGTGTAGCAATTCCGCAGAGCTCCGCACTCACACGTGGGAAAGGCGTTCGATGAAATCCGACTTGATGGCTGGCTCACACCCATCATCCTGCTCGGGTCGATACAATTCGCACCACATTGTTGCGAGCCAGCAGTGCTTATTCTGTGGCGACGTCGGTCCCGGTCAACCGAACGTGGAAATTTCCACCATGACAGGCTTGCTTGCAGAGGTAAACACTGACAAACGCTCATTTGAGGAGGGAGAAACACCTTTGACTCCGTAATGTTACCACCGTCTAAAGCGGGTTTTTATTTATTTTTTGCGTTGCCTGCGGGGAAAAAACGGATGCTAATCACGTACAATAAATTTGCTGTCAGTGCTAAAGAGACGTATTATTGACCCTGTTGCGTTTGATCTCAGTTTGCGTCCACGCGCTCCCCCCTCCCTCCCTCCCAAGATTAGTCCCTTGCTCTCGTCGGCAATGGCAGCGGACCGTGAATTAAATTGCTTGCAGCAAACGCTCGTGTCACCCCCAACCTCGGCTTCCAAATTCATCAGCTCCTTTGACAGCTCGGCGCGGGCGCTTTCCTCCTCCTCCTCCCTCCTCCCCGGCAGAATGACAATGACGTAACCCCGCTCGGACTGCCGAGGCCACGGCACTGCGTGTACCCTGTCAAGGGTCTGCGCTGTTATTCCACGGGGCTTGATTTCTCCACACTTGAGTTCGTGTGATACCCCCCCAACACCCGTCTCCCCTCCCACCCACCCAACCATCAACATCTCGCCAACTCCTCCAACCAATTAATGTAACGGGCGATCGTCGCTAATACGCAACTGTTGCGTTCTGCACGTGCCGTCTGTTCGCGCGGCACGATACGCCAGGGCCGCGGCGGCCGTGGCATAAATCACCATGGCATTAAAACACGACGACGACGACGAATTAAATTAACTGTCAAAAGTGAGGACTGTTCCTTCCCCGGAGTGGCGGAATGGGACGCGCCGCAGTGTGCGGCTGATGCAGCGGTGTGCGGCTGATGCAGCGGTGTGCGGCTGATGCAGCGGTGTGTAGCGTTGTGCGCGTGGCGCGCGTCGCGGGAAGGAGGGCCGGGTAGGGTTGGCGATCGCGGTGGCACGGGCTGTTCCGCTTGGCCGTGCCCGTGCATAATGCACTTCGGCAATGAATAGCGCGGCAAACCCGACGTGTAGAATGGGATTGTGGGTCTCGGGGATGTGGTTTGCCGGAGCACAAATGTACACGAAAACAGCCGGGAGTGAAATTGACGCACGTGCCAGAAATAGCGCACTTAGAGCGATTAAATGCACCGTGGTTCGTGCCTTCCACCCGTACCCGCACGTGTGCGCCATTGGGTGTCGGCGTGCACGTGTGCGTCTGTGTCTGTGCACGTGCGTGTGTGCAGATCTGCATGTAGGTGTACGCCTCCCCTAGGTCGACTCAGCCTCAAATGAGTACCTGGTGCGGTGTGTAAGCATTGCCACTAGGGAGACAAAGGCGGTCGGGCGTGGTGCTGGCCACCCACCCCTTCGTGTACCGTTCCGGCCTTCATAGGTGCTTGCTAACAGCACTTGCCCCTACAGTCTGTTAAGGCTATATGGGGGATCTGTATCTTTGTATGTGCGAGCACCTGCTGTTGTGTGCGTGCTGGTGCACGTGTGCCCGTGCGTGCCCGTGCGTGTGTATGCGGTGGCATAGCTATCCAGCGTGCGTGGCGGTGCTACTAATCCCGGGTCAAATGCAAATACTTCTCCAACAATTACAACAGTAGATGTCTCTTAAATAATGAGCATTTACCCCTTCGCGGGCGCTAGCAAGAGGAGGGTAAAGATTTGGCAAGGGGTGCTCCCGTTTCACGCTTTGCACGGGGGGGGCGGTTGGCCAATACCAAGTGCTCTGCGCGCCACCGTGCCTCTACGGCTCCGTGCACGCGCGTGCGCACGTCCGCGTGCGTGATTCGCGCGCGTTCCCGTGTTGCAGGCATCCGCATGCTGGACCAGCCCTTCATGACGGACATCATCGAGGCGTCGGCCATCAGCCACCTGCCCCAGATGATCGACATCTACAGCGCCAGCTGGGGCCCCACGGACGACGGGCGTACTGTGGACGGCCCTCGTGAGCTCACTCTGCAGGCCATGGCCGACGGCGTCAACAAGGTTCGCTCCGGGAGTCGGGCGAAGATGGGCCATCGGGCAGAGCGGCTGTGGGGAGTCGAGAGGGCGTAGTGGGGGGGGGGGGTCCGTGCGATCGCGAGGTGCTGCGGACGGGAGGCAGCGCTGCAGGATCTGGCGAGTGCGCGCGCCGACGCCTAATTGGGAGGAATTCCGACCGCGAGGCTGCGTTACCCATCCCCGCCGACCTGGCTACGCTCGCTTGTTCAGTGTCCGCGTGGCGTGCGAAGGCGCTGTGCACTCCTCTAAAGCTTGGCGCCTGCTCGTTAAGATGACTCCGTTCGCTCGTTAACGCCAGCGCACGTGCCGTTGTGTGCGGGGAGCGGTGGCGCAGCGGTTAGCGCGCTCCACGAATAAATCGGTGACACGAGTTCAATTCCCGCTCACGGCCAACACCTGTGATGAATATTTGAAACGGTCCTGGGCCTCCCCTAGGTCGACTTATTAGGAAGACAGAGGTGGCCAGCTTGATGTAGGCCACTTAACCCCTTCGTGTGCCGTGCCGGCCTTCATATGTGCATCGCTAACGGCACTTGCCCCAAAGTCTGTACGGGGGGTCTTTGTCTTCATTCGGCAACAATATCTCATCGCTAGGTCTCCTGGGTGCGTCCCCTCCGCTCTGTCACGAAGAGAACCGCGAGCTCTCTCACCTGTTGCGTCCCTGCACTTGATAATTGAACTGTAATTATACTTTGCGCTCACATTGTATCCCAATACAAAGATGATGAAAGCCTTCTGAAGAGCGACAATTTTTTCGTCCACATTCTATAAATAGGAATTAAGCACGTCCATATTTTAAAGAGAAACCCTTAAGTAATGTCCACACGCAAAGCACGGAACGTAATTGTTCGTGGAAATAATTTGACGAAAAATATCACGCGATGCCCGTGAGCTCATCGACACACCCAGACTCATTAAGGCTCCCACGCGGCCCGCTGAACATCATCCCGCTGGGAGGGAGGGGGTTGTCGCCACCACGAAGACACGCTGCTCTCTCACGCGCGCAACCTCAGAGAGCCGAGGCCGCAGTTCGAATCCGGGGATCCTCGTTGGCCTGGGCCTGATCTCATTTGCAACGTCGTCCCCGATTCCCCGGCCTCGCGGGTTCTTTACGCTGGGATGTCCGCGAGCATCGCCGACGGGAAAGGGCCGTTTTGCGCCGTCGCTGGACATCTGCTCTCTGCAAAGTTTCCCAAACGACGCGATCTCGACACGTCGTTGTCGCTGTATCCCTCGGGGTTTGTCCATTGCGCCGTGGACCACGTCTTTCGCTCAAGTCCAGGTTTCCACTTTCGGGGGCATGCGGTTGTGCGTCAAGAGTCACTGGCTTGTGATTCGCTAGGCACGTGTTTATTTCATATTCATATCGGCTGAATTCGGTCATTGTGCTCACAAGTACGTGCACGGAATCACGCGCGTGAGAATCGACACGTTGCAGTTCATTGAAATCTTGTGAAAATGATTTGCTGATGTCATTAAGTGAAATTCTAACAAAATCGTACGGACGAGACAAAAAGTAATCAGTTCTGAAATCAAAATTGGATTCCCTAATCGTGACAATTCATTGAATTACCAGGATGGTGGAGGGTGGTGTGAATGACGATATGCCCATAACACAGGCTTACTCTTTGGTTCTTTTGGTAATGTCACGTAGAAAGAAAAGCAAATTAATAATAGAATACGACGTTTCGATTGCAACACAGGCAACCGTGATCAGGCTTGTTTGTCCAATTTCTAGAAATAACGCATTGCTATGAATATGTGTGTGTGTGTACTCGTGTGCCGTAGGGAGCGGTGGCATAGCGGTTAGCGCATTGCGAACCCAGTGACCCGAGTTCGATTCCCGCTCACGACCAACACCAGTCGCGATTATTTGAACTGGTCATGAGCCTTTCCTAGGTCGACTCAGCCTCAAATGAGTACCTGGTGTGGTGTATAAACATCGAGACAAAGGCGCCCGGCCTTGCTGCTAGCCACCCACCCCCTCCTGTGCCGTGTCGGCCTCCATCGAAGCTCAATAACAGCACTTGCCCCAAAAATCTGTTAAGGCTATACAGGGGATCTTTGTCTTTGTATCTCTGTGCACGACGTGTGTGTACATGTGGGTGTGTTATTGTTTGTGGAGCACCACGCGCAACTGTTTTATGATATCCATTGCATCGACGAAGGAAATTTCATTACAGATCCATTACGCCTTTGGTTCATTTATCATAGCCAATTGATCCCTTTCATGGCGAAGGACATTGTCTTGGAGACAGACTCACTCCAATGCACAAGGGAAGTGTGGAATACAAACAGCTCTCTCTGGTTAATACCGTGCGAGCGAAGTGGCATATACGTACACCCTGGTTTACATGTACATTATCCAATGTGTATTAAAAAAAGGTAAATATAATGAGGGCTGGGGAGGAGCGGTGGCACAACGGTTAGTGCACTGCGCTCTGAATCCGGCGACCCGAGGTCAAACTCCAGGAGCCACTCCTGGGCCCTGCAACAAGCCCCCCACCGCTCCCACCTTCACCTCCACCAACTCGCATTGACCCAGCATCGTAAAGCCAGGGTCATATACCCCACAGGACCACGACGGCATGGTGAGGCCTTCACCCAGCAATAGATCAACAACGGGGCTGTACAAACAACGAGCGCTTATGAGGGATTCGTGTGAGGCAGTACCGCAAGTAGGTATGTTACATACTCTTTGGTTCTTTCGGTAAAGTCACGTAGGTATAAAATAAATTAAATCACGACGTTTCTGGCGCATCAGTTGGGACAACCACAGAAATACAAATTCTCTTTTTCCCACTTCAGCAATTGTTTCTTGCTGTGGTTGTCCCACCTGATGACGGATGCTTGTGTTGCGCCCGAAACGTCGTGATTAAATTTATTTTATTTTATACCTACGTGACTTTACCGAAAACTTCAAATCTAGATTGAAGGTATGTTACATGCCTGTATGGAGGTAGTGACCTCCTCCGTCTGCGCGTGTACATATTCGTTGGGGTGCTCCTGTTGCTTCCTCGTGAAAAAGATGGACCTTGCATAATGTAACAAGCTGAGCCTCAATGAGGTCCCCGTTTGTTCTTGTGGTGTTCTGCTTGCAAGTGCTCTCTAATAGTCAAGGGGGTCAAGAGGTCGTCACACCAAATGGCTGGTGTGGCACCGCCACCTCGCCATCGCTTCTGCTAGAATTCACAGCTGTCGTGTCGTCAGCACGCGGCTTCCAAGGCCTACTCTTACAGGCTCACCACCACCACTGCTTGCTGTTAGATATTCCCTTTGGTTACCGACCCTGTTTGACTTGCCCTCCTCCGTCCTGCAAGTGTGCGTCGCCTCTGGCAACCTCCCCTTTCTGATTACATCTACAAAGGAACTCATCTTATCCGTTTTGACTTGAGGGGCAGTGGGGGGCGCCTACCCCGGATTCCATTATCCGCGAGGATTTCCGCAAATTGACTCCACTTGTCCACACGGAAAAAATTCCTGGACCCTACAGCTCCCACGGATAATGTGAGTCATGGGAAGTAAGCTCTGCTCTACAGATTTTTCTTCCAGCATCTCTGTGCTGAACGTGCATCTCGCTTCAGCGCGGGTTATCGTGGCTTGTGCTGAATAGCTCTACCGATGCTTTTCTCGTAGCTCCGCGTGCGTTTCGGCACGATGCCCCCCCCCCCCGTACTTCGCTCCACGTGCCGAGAGCTTTCTTCAATAATTCCTGAAGGAGTTATTCCGCCACGCGGACACGAAACGTCCGGGCATCATGCCGAACACGCGGTGACACGCGAAAGGGGCCGTCCATAAATGGCGTCACGCACCTGAGTGGGGGGGGGGTCAGACATTTGTGACGATGTGTGACGAGGGGGGGGGGGGGGTGAGAAATGTGACGTCACATCAAAATGCGCAACTTTAAATAAATATAGAATTGTTATAACAACACTCCTACAACATCAGAGTGCAGCGCCACATTAAATACGCACTACAATGACAATAGTTTAAAGCGATTTGAAGCATGTTTTATTTTCAAAATGGAAATATGTTTTTTTTTGGGGGGGGGGGGGAAAGCTTTATGACGTCATATTTGAGGAGGGGGGGGGGTCTGACTTTTTGTGACGCCGTGTGACAAGGGTGGGAGGGGGGTAAGTAAAAAATCGTCCAAAATCGCGTGACGTCATTTATGGACGGCCCCAAAACACATCGGATAGCTTCCACGTTGCTCGCCGCAAATCCCAACCACCCATCGCCCTGACGCCGTCGCCCCTCCTGCAGGGCCGCGGAGGGAAGGGCAGCATCTACGTGTGGGCGTCGGGAGACGGAGGCTCCTACGACGACTGCAACTGCGACGGCTACGCGTCGAGCATGTGGACCATATCCATCAACTCGGCCATCAACGACGGGCGCACGGCGCTCTACGACGAGAGTTGCTCCTCCACGCTCGCCTCCACCTTCAGCAACGGGCGCAAGAAGGACCCCGAGGCCGGCGTGGTGAGTTTTTTTTAGCAACGGGGAGGAGGAGGAGGAGGGGAAGAGGGTGGCTGGGAGGACACGGCACCCGTGGGCTTGAGTGGGGAGCTGCGTTATTGACGCGCAGGTTGACATCGATGGGATTCCGCTAATGGAATACGCGTTTGTGACTAATTGTGTTGCGCTCCTGAAAAACAAATGAGATGAAAATCCAGTGGGTTGTAGATGTGTCGTGCCTATAATAGAGGAGTGAAGGAATTCCTCATTAGCAGCAGCCTAATGCATCAGAGGCGTGCAGCATCTGCGAACAAGCGCAGCTCCTTGGCGTGACAGACGCACGGGGTGAAAGGTTTCACGGGAACCACGGTCGTGTCGCGTGTCGCTCCCCGGCCAGGCCACCACGGACCTGTACGGTAACTGCACGCTGCGACACTCCGGGACATCCGCCGCAGCCCCCGAAGCAGCCGGGGTGTTCGCCCTGGCGATAGAGGCCAAGTAAGTCACCACACGCGCGCCCCCCCCCCCCCCCCCCCACACATTGGCACGCGATTGCACGCCCACAACACGCACTCAATCTGCCTACTCGCAACAAGAAAAAAACTACTTTGGCAGATTATTTCAGGTATTCTAGGACACCTCCATTATAACCACGTGCTAGGACGAAGGGCGCCATTGCTCGAAACGTCACCGTTTGCACACCTTTGCTTTTGAGGCCACAGTGTTATCGACGAACTTGACGAGTCCTGTTCGCTCATCGTGCTCGTGCTACTAACACAAGCAGAATCGCTCAATGATTATTTCAATTATAACCGGGCTCATTCCTGCGTACAGCCGCTCAGCGCGGAGCAGTCGGCGTTAAATAATCGCTCGTTCCCACCACCGACCTTTCCCAACACGCGCAGCCCGGAGCTGACGTGGCGTGACCTGCAGCACCTCGCCGTGCTCACGTCCAAGCGGAACCAGCTGCACGACGAGGTGCACAAGTGGCAGCGCAACGGCGTGGGCCTCGAGTTCAACCACCTCTTCGGCTACGGGGTGCTCGACGCCGGCGCCATGGTGCGCATGGCGCGCGACTGGAGGAGCGTCCCCGAGCGATTCCACTGCAAGGGCGGCTCCATCACCAGCGCGCGGTGAGCGCCGTGTCACCGCTGCTGCCCCGGCTGCCCCCGCTGTCCCAGTGTCTCGGCGCTGCTGCCCCGGCTGTCCCAGTGTCTCAGCGCTGCTGCTCTGGCTGCCCCGCTGTCCCAGTGTCTCAGTGCTGCTGCCCCGGCTGCCCCGCTGTCCCAGTGTCTCGGCGCTGCTGCCCTGGCTGCCCCCGCTGTCCCAGTGTCTCAGTACTGCTGCCCCGGCTGCCCCCGCTGTCCCCGCTGTCCCAGTGTCTCAGCGCTGCTGCCCCGGCTGCCCCCGCTGTGCCAGTGTCTCAGTACTGCTGCCCTGGCTGCCCCGCTGTCCCAGTGTCTCAGCGCTGCTGCCCTGGCTGCCCCCGCTGTCCCAGTGTCTCAGTACTGCTGCCCTGGCTGCCCCGCTGTCCCAGTGTCTCAGTACTGCTGCCCCGGCTGCCCCGCTGTCCCAGTGTCTCAGTGCTGCTGCCCCGGCTGCCCCCGCTGTCCCAGTGTATCAGTACTGCTGCCCTGGCTGCCCCGCTGTCCCAGTGTCTCAGCGCTGCTGCCCCGGCTGCCCCCGCTGTCCCAGTGTCTCAGTGCTGCTGCCCCGGCTGCCCCGCTGTCCCAGTGTCTCAGTACTGCTGCCCCGGCTGCCCCGCTGTCCCAGTGTCTCAGTGCTGCTGCCCCGGCTGCCCCCGCTGTCCCAGTGTATCAGTACTGCTGCCCTGGCTGCCCCGCTGTCCCAGTGTCTCAGTACTGCTGCCCCGGCTGCCCCCGCTGTCCCAGTGTCTCAGTACTGCTGCCCTGGCTGCCCCGCTGTCCCAGTGTCTCAGTACTGCTGCCCTGGCTGCCCCGCTGTCCCAGTGTCTCAGTACTGCTGCCCTGGCTGCCCCGCTGTCCCAGTGTCTCAGTGCTGCTGCCCCGGCTGCCCCCGCTGTCCCAGTGTCTCAGTACTGCTGCCCCGGCTGCCCCGCTGTCCCAGTGTCTCAGTGCTGCTGCCCCGGCTGCCCCCGCTGTCCCAGTGTCTCAGCGCTGCTGCCCCGGCTGCCCCGGCTGTCCCAGTGTCTCAGTACTGCTGCCCCGGCTGCCCCCGCTGTCCCAGTGTCTCGGCGCTGCTGCCCCGGCTGCCCCCGCTGTCCCAGTGTCTCAGTACTGCTGCCCTGGCTGCCCCCGCTGTCCCAGTGTCTCAGTACTGCCGCCCTGGCTGCCCCCGCTGTCCCAGTGTCTCAGCGCTGCTGCCCCGGCTGCCCCCGCTGTCCCAGTGTCTCAGTACTGCTGCCCCGGCTGCCCCCGCTGTCCCAGTGTCTCGGCGCTGCTGCCCCGGCTGCCCCCGCTGTCCCAGTGTCTCAGTACTGCCGCCCTGGCTGCCCCAGTGACTCAATGCTGCTGCCCCGGCTGCCCCAGTGACTCGTTATTGTCCTCAGTGCTGGTGATTGCTTCATCCCAGCGCTGTGTCGCAGCGTTGCTCTCGCTCCACTCTCGCTCCACTCTCTCGTGTTTCCCTGGCCTGATCTCTCCCCTTTCCCCCGAGTCCGCTGCTACGCTCTAATGTAGTTTGGTTTTCATTTTTGTAAAGCATCATAGGATACGATTGTGCCCAGAAGCCATAGAATTCTAAATTGCTGTTGTCATCCACTCGCGATGGAGCTCCACCCACACCCGCTGCTACTATATTAGCAACATTTAAGGGGCTGCCGTTGGCAGCGATGAATAAGCAACACGTAAAACAATAACACGTAAAACGTTGCTACGTTGCCTTAGAATAGCAGCAGTTGTGGTGTCTAATAGGCTGACGTTCGCAGCGATGGCATGTTAAACGCCGCACGTGAATATCCATTGATTCGTCGATCGATTCTTACGTTCCCTTTACATCGGTCACATTTGCGCGCACGTGAGAATCGATTATTTGAAAATTATTTGGAAATAATAATAATAAGAAGAAGACGCGAGTGTTTGCCGAGGCTGTTTGAGCGAAAGCAATTATTCAAATGAGCAAAAAACAACACGCGCGGTGGACAATGTAAAATGAGACCGCGGGATAATGAAGCCAAGAAAATCATCACGAGCCAAGAGCCCAAATGGTGCGCGGGTCAAACACCGCGATCGGAGCCTCGCTGAATGTTCGTTGTCTACGAAATGTAAACCTCCTGACGGGTCGATTCAAAGCGCGTTGAAGCCTTCAGCTTTCTTAACACCTCCCAGATGTCTCGGTGCCCATCGTCGGTGCAAAAGGACAATCGACAAGCACGAGACAGCCGACGTCTCTGCTCTGACGACGCGGTCTCGGCCTGCTGTGTATTCGTCTGTTATCTAGGGCAGTGTTAATGACAAATGAGCTGAGTGTTGTTATTCTGGTTTTTTTTTACCATTCTGATGGCTGCAGTGGGGTCCTTTCACAGAATGTGCTCTCGACGTCAAGCACAAAGAAGCACTTTTCCCTTGCTCTCTGAATATTACAGAGCTGTGGAGTGGCTCCGAAAGTGACATCGTCGGATTTTTTCCAGTGTCTATCTGGGGTTTGTTGTATTGTTGTGTTGTTGTTGTTGTATTGTTGTTGTGTGCCCACTAGACTGGGCTTTTACTGAGCCGTGCGCATCAACGAGTGCTTTCACCCTTAGCCTCTGCCGACTAAGCCCTTCAAGTCCGGGCTTTCGCCGATTTGATGGCAAAACGAAATGCATTTAAACCATTGGCGCGCGGGGGTCGGGGGGGGGGGCACCTGTTAACTCGCAGCGTGAAGCGGGAGACCGTGCTCCATTTCATTGCCGTGCCTCTCTATGGGCACCTCCGCCCCAGTGTCCCTTCTGCCACGGGTGGAGCCTCTTTCCCGCTCCCGAAGCCACCCAGGCACAGCCCCGTGTACAGCAAGGCGCACGACAACCAGTGACGTTGATCGAGTATTTTTTGTCAATAAATCTCGCGGCTTTTTGGGTTTCGGTCGCGACTAGTGTTTGCGGAAGCGACCAGCGACACATCTGACGGCCTTCCGGGGCGAGGACGTTTAATTATTTAGTTTTCATGATTTTCTTACCTTTCCTATCGTTTGTGTATTATTTGTTTCGTGAACTTTCTGACCTGCCCCTACTGGACATCTGTGAAAAAGAGCTTCACAGCTCATCGGATTTTTGGAAATTGTCGTGACATTTCTGGCCACTTCAGCCGCTCCACCAAGCAGCAAGCAGCAGCAGCAACAACAGCAGCAGCAGCATTTGGCGACCTTCAGAAGTTCGTTTCGCACCTTTCCCCCTTTAAGGAATCGCTCCCCTTGCCGTTGCGTTCCGTGCGTTCCGTGCAGCGCCGTGCCGGGCCAGGGCAGGCTGGTGCTGACCGTGGACACGGACGCGTGCGAAGGGGCGCGCCGACCACGTTCGCTACCTGGAGCACGCGCAGGCCGTGGTGACGGTGAACGCGACGCGGCGAGGCGACCTCACGCTCAACCTCACCTCGCCCATGGGCACGCGCTCGCTGCTACTCGGCCGGCGGCCCCGCGACTCCGACTCGCGCGTCGGCTTCCACCGCTGGCCCTTCATGACGACGCACACGTGGGGCGAGGACCCGCGCGGCCGGTGGACGCTCGAGGTGGGCTTCGCCGACGGAGCGGAGGGCCCCGCCGCGGCGGCGGCGGCGGCGGCGCGAAGCGGCGTGATCTCCGAGTGGACGCTCATGCTCCACGGCACGCACTCGCCGCCCTACGTGGGTCAGGTGGTGCGCGACTCGGGCTCCAAGCTGGCGATGTCGCGCCGGCAGGAGCTCGAGCAGGAGCTGGGCGAGGCCGTGGCGCGAAGCCTCCGGCGGAGAAACGGCGGCCGCTAAGCGGCGGCGGCGGCGGCGACGACTAGAATGGAGCCCTCGAGCGCGCACGCACGCGCGTGTACACGCACACACACACGTACATTCACACACGCACATAGAGCATCTCACACGCGCGCTCACACGCGGGCGCAGTCCCTCACGCGCACACGCGTAAGCTCACACCCACGCTGACACACGCGTACGCTCACACATATGTTCTCAAACACATATGTATGCTCTCACACACATGCCGACGCGCAGACAGCAACACAGCACACACTGGTCCTCACACACGCGCACACATACGCGTGCTCGCACACGCGTACGTACACACCGGGCCAAGCTGAGTAGCAAATACCACGCGCATGTACACACACATGCACATCCAGCCACCGACATCGCTAATGTAATATGTACTCTGTTTCTATTGGGCCTATTATGAGTAATATTCTTGATCATAATAATCTCTTCTAAAGATGTTTAATAATGTGAGTTTTATTTTATTCCACCCCACCGGCACCGCTGAGCACCGACTTTTCATTTGGCTTTGTTCAAACTCGAATGCACACGTGGATATATTCCACGGAGGTCATCAAACATTTGCGGGAACACTGCCCGCACAAACGAGACGAGGAATTACGTGGCACTTTCTCACGATTGAAAAACAATGCGGCCAAAGTAATAAACTCCACGTCCGGACTGTGCCACGGGTCTGATCGATGCTGCGAGCTAACGCGTATCGACAGCCCCCCGTATTGCCCGTCAACTTTTGTGATGATAGCATATAGGGCGTTACGTAAAATAGATGTTTACTCCTCACCCCAATTCGGGCTCTCCGTGCTCCAGAAAACGCTCTCGCTCGTTCGTATGTGGGTGTCGTTCCTCCGATAAACAGAAACACGCATCAGTGGTTGGTTATTTTTTTTTTTTTTATAAATCCACAACACCACCAATTGTGTGCACATCACTGCCATAACTTTTTCCGGTAACATTCCGGCCTTCAAGAGGATTGGCTCCACAAACACTCTTTGCTTATTTATATTTTATAGCTTTGACAGCCCCACGGAAATGAGTAAAACAATTGAAATTCGAAAAAGAACTCGAAGGGAAATAATCACGCTTTCGAATTTTAACAATCGGCCGTGGCATCAACGCCTTGTGCTGCTGGTTCCGTCCACGGAGGAGCTGCAGGGTTAGAGGCACCCCGCGTATCGCGCTCCCCTCCACTCCCGACGTGCAGTCAGTCTCTACAGCGTTCCCACACGCCAGCATCCACAGGCTCTTCAGACCTCTTTGAGATGGTCCTCAGAATCGGCTGTGTAATGATGGGGCTGTGTAGGCTGGGCTGTGGGCACGCACCCGTGCCGCTTGAGAAGGGGACAGGCAGGTGAGCGGTCACGCGCCGTCACGCTTCGGGCGTTTCGGCTCCGCGAGCCCACGACAGCCTCTCGGTGCCGCCGCTGTGGAGTGGTCCTTCTGCTGCTCGCTGACGGGTCTCCCGCCTGGCCTCCACCGCCATGTCCTGATTGTCACAATCTCAGCCCCTCTGTCATTTATATAACGGAATCCCATTGCCTTAGGGCCCCGTTCGGTGTTTTCTGTTCACAATAGCCGCTCACAGTAGGCGCGCACAATAGCGTTCAAATTTTCAAAGGCCGCATAAATGAGCACGGCGCTCGGGATTCTGAAGCGTCTTTCCATCTGGCACCGGTCGCCCGTTGCGTTTTGAGTGCAGAAAAGCGGCGGAGTCGTTCTCTGATCTCGGTCACCCCCCTAAACGCAAGCTCCTGTGGCTCCTTCACGTCATTCCGCAACGGTCTGTGCACAGAGGCCAGCAACAGTGTGAGGATATGGCGACCGGCGGTATCCCAGACAGATCCTACGTTTCTGTAAATAGGAGACGCGGTTTTGCTTGACAGTTACTTGATAAATACTGCACACACACACCGGTGTCTAAGTGTTTCGGTGCAGTGTTTTTATCACTTCGTTTATAAATCTCTTGGCGTTTCGTGAGAGAGGGCCTTGCTCCTCCTCCTCCTAAAAATGTGCAATTTTAAGAGATGAGAGAAAAAAACGTCCCCGAGCCATGTGCCGGTGCCGAGAGATGTGTGCTCGGCTTGCGGCCGCATTTACGCCGGATGTCCATCGAAGAAAACATTAAAATTATTTATTAACATTTTGAGAGATTAATATATTTCAGAAAGAAGGGGGCGAAAAAAAACCCCTAAAATATCCTATAAAAAATATATAAGTGTACTGTTGTAGTCTCTGCCTGTTGAATTAATATTTGAATGTGAACATGAAGTACCGTATCGTCGTTTAAACATGACGGGGAGCAGAGCAATTTACGCCGTGTTCTCGCTGACCTGTCGCCATTCCAAATCTTGCCCTCTGCGTTCATCTCTTCTCTCGCGAGGTGTGTGTACGGAACACCTTCTCTCGTCAACCAAATGTGGCTTTAGTCTCCGTCTTATTTTTTTCCGGCTGCGTATTTACATAAATGTTCCAGTTTACTCTCTCCTCGTGCTACTGCCTCCTCGTGTCCGCGCGAACGTTGCGTTTGGATCCTGAGCGAGGATCTCTCCTCTCTCCCCTCGCGTGCGCCCAGAGCCGCGAGCGTCAAGATGGCATCCTTTGCGCCGGCTTCTAAGGCGAGGACGAAGCTCCTCATTATTCTCAAACTATTAAACTTGTTTATTTCTTTTTGAAGCCAGGTAAGACCCACTGAGCTGTATAGCTCTTTTCCACAAATGACAGCTCAACGAAGTGGCTTATCGCGTGGAAAATTATCAAATACTCTAAAACTCCGTGACGTTGATTCTAAATGTGGAGGGGAAAAACCGGAGGGCCCCGGAGAAAAATCCACGTGGGAGAGCGACACAGCACACTCCAAATATACAGCAGCAGGCGTCAGGGTCAGGATCGAACCCACGACCTCCTGTATACCAGGCGAGGTAGTTAACATCTCCTCGCCACCGTGATAATAATGAGAGAGAGAGAGAGACACGCAAACTCCAAATATACAGCAGGCGTCAGGGTCGGTCCAAATATACAGCAGGCGTCAGGGTCGGGATCGAACCCATGACCTGTATACCAGGCGAGATAGTTAACGTCTCGCCACCGTGGTACCCCGTGTCTCGGAGGACGCTTGCGCACATTTAGACAGCTTGAGCCCCTTTCCCCAATGGATCATGGGCTCCCAGACAAGATATTTTACTCTTTGAGTCGCAGCGGAGGTAGCTAAACATTTGTTGGCACCATTTTCAATTCTATTTTGAACGCAAGTGATCTTTTTTATTTTTGGGATTTTTTTATTTTGTAACACAACTGGGTTTATTACCATCAAGAAATGGGCACCGCGAGCATTCCTTGTTGCCCCTTGTCGTCTCGCGTGGCGCAGAGACTCGGCCAGAGTTGGAGGCAAGGGACGAGGCGGTGAGCGGGGAAGCCACTCTGCTGGACACACGCGGAGCTGTTACCCCTCGTGGGTGTGCTCGGTGGACGCCTGTGCGTGTGCCCTGTCTCTCTAAAGCCGTGGGTGTTGTTCGCATTGGGTGGGGGGGGGGGCGGTGGTGTAGCGGTTAGCGCTACGCTGCGCTACGAACCCGCCGACACCCGAGTTCGATTCCCGCTCACGGCCAATACCGGTGGCGATTATCTGAATGGGTCCTGGGCCTCCCCTAGGTCGACTCGGCCTCAAATGAGTCCCTGGTGAGGTGTGGAAAACATCGTCACTGGGGAGACAAAGGCGGCCGGGCGTGGTTGCTGGCCACCCACCCCCTCGTGTGCCGTGCCGGCCTCCGTAGGCGCTACTCGCTAACAGCACTTGCCCAAACAGTCTGTTGAGGCTATACGGGGGATATTTGTCTTTGTTGTTCGTATTAAATTAAAGCCACTGTTTGCTGTTCGTAGGAAGTAAGGGTATTGCACGTGTACAGGTTCGTGTAAGGGCAGCCGAGAAACTACATTGTGGATGACACCGAAATGCAAAACGGTTATAATCAGCAGCAGCAGCAGCCATGGTCATTCCACTGCTGCGTGAAGGCCTCGCCAATCCGCCGCCGTCACTTACGATGTCATTGTGATCCACCAAGCAAACCTGCACACGAGCTGATTCCTGGCCTTCTTCTCGGTCAACGTTCGGGGTAGGGCTCTAGCCCCCACCGTATGGGGGGAGGGCTTGCCCATGCCTCCGTAATCAAAACAAACGGGGTCACCGTGCGTGGGGGGAGCGTGCCAGTGTCTGTTGTGTTAAAGAACGTTGGTCCACGCAGCATTTTGTGCTCCGTTCAACACGTGGTAGAATTTGGCAACCAATATCATCCATGATAGAGGAGTTTTTTGGGGGGGTTAGATCACGTAAATATATAAAAGTGTCGTTAAACCCGCCACCGCCCGACACAGCCAACTAGTAAGGGTTGTCACGTAAGCAGAACGTGCCAATTCGTCACTAGTCACCCAAAAAAAACCTCGATTATGGATGTTGTGGATTGAGCCCCAGCGCTTACATTGCTGAGAGCGAAGTCAAGACCTAACAGACGGAACGGAAGAGTAAAACTACACTCGAAGCAACCCGAGAAACCGTTTCACACGTTTTTGAAAGTTTTAATATGAAGGGTTTAGCTGAGAACGCGTGGCTATAGCCGCACGGAGGGAACGATGGCTGGGGAACGATGGAACGTGATCTCTGTGGCACAAACGAGTTGGTTTCTCAGCTGCGCGTCGTCGGGAGGGAGTGGGAGACGCAACTCTGCGGGCTCTGTCACCTATCGGATCGCCGGGTGCGTCTTGCCGGAGATGGCTTGCCATGCCATGCCACGATTTTAGGGGAAGGCCCAACCCAAACATTGAACGTCTCAAGTTCGCTTGTGGCCAACACGCCGGAGCTATCCGGCACAAGTTTGATGGTTTGTTGAGAAGACAAATAAAGACTTCATAGTGAATTTCGCGAGTGACGACATAGCGATGTAGCGATGATGTCACTGCGATGTGAATGTCGAGAATTCATTACATCACGCTGCACTCATGTCACGAGAGTTCTACAATTGTGCTCATGATAGTCACTTGAAAGTATTGTTTTTCTTCTTATTATGGATGAACATCAAACTGACGTCGTCGAGCCTGGCACACACGGACCTAGGACTCGTCTCTAACGGATTTGTTTTTTTGGTGGTAGGGTGGACGGCTTTGACCGTTACGTAACGAAGCACCTAATATACACACACGGCGACACCCAAGGCAACGCCAGGCAAGGATCCTTTTTTCCGCTCGAAGTTTTATTCCACGCGCTCAAAACCATCCCTCCCCCCCCCCACCACCATCCACCATCCACCGCCCACTGCGGCGATGTACGACGCGCTAAAATGCGTTTCCAAACAACTCTGACCGGCAGCGATGGGCCCGAGTGCTGGCCCAAGGGACCTCGCTCACCAGGCCACGCGAGCCCCGGTCCCGTCCGATCGTGCGCGTTGCACCGCGGGGTACCGCAGGTTACACAACATTTTTTTATTTCTCCGCAACAGCTGCGCCCTCGGTAGCAGCGGCCGGCGCCTACTGACGCCGTGGCCCCAAAAAAGAGCAATTTTTAAGCGTTCGGCACAACCTCTGAAACCCTATCGCCACCCTCATCCGTTTTTATTGTTCAACTTACGGATTATTGAAATTCGTGCCTAACTCTTCGAACTGTATAATGCAAATGTCAATGTTTGCTCTTTAGCAGTAGGAGATTATGTTTTTTATTTTCTTCACGGTATTTGTTTTTCTCGGTTTTATTAGATAGTTTTTGTGTTTGTGCCTATTACATTGTCAACAGTGACTTTAGTCTGGTCACTCTCCTGCACATCCCAACACAACCAGTATATGTCTCAACACCGTGGGGTAGTCTGCTTTTTTTATTTACTAAGGATTCCACCAACTACCACATCATGAAAACCACAACCGTGCGCGTTGCTTTTTTAGTAGAGACTTATAGACACTGCGGAAATCAACGGCACTGGTCAGCTCTGGCAATGAGTAGGTGATGCAGCGCATGAGAGTGTGTGTGTGTGATTCCACAAGCGCGTGTTTCGTGAATTGTATTCGCCCTTGACCACACCGTGAGCTAAATCTAAATACCTGCACGGCGCCAGAAAAACCTGGACGCGTAGATTAAGCCATTAAACGAATCGCTCTGGAAATCCTGTTAACGGGCCGATCGTTTCGGTTGAATTTCAGTCAAACACGCAGCGGCGAGCCACGCCCTGCGTTGCGTCGAACCCCAGGTGGCTCAGTGCGACGAAAATGTCTCCTTCCTCTCCACTGACGTCTCGATGACCAAAGACTTCTCCTCGTAGTCATGCCGCTTGTCATCCACCGTCGTCTCCGTCGACTCCATCACCTCCAGCTTCCCGTAGCTGATGGAGGAGGACGTGAACTCGCCAGCCGCGCCGTATCCGGCCCTTCCTAGGGCTCGGCTGCCCAGATCCGTTGCGCTCTTGGTCTTCTCTACATCGTGCAGGGTCTCCTGCGGAGGAGATGGAGGGGTTTTGCCTATGGACGTCTTGTCTCCGTCTTTGGCTTCGTTGTCTGCGTCACATTTCTTCCTGTCCGCGTCACGAGAGGGCTCTGTAACTTTGTCCTTCCCCTTTTCGCCTTTATCTTTTTTCTCCTCGCCGCCCTCTCGTGCTGGCGTCGCTGGTTCTCTGGATTCCCGCCTCTGCTCGGTATCTGGAACGGAGGGAGGAGCAGGTGGATGCGGAGGTACAGTGGTCTGGCGTAAGCATGGGATCCAGAGGGATGAGGATGTCTCGGTCAAGTGAGGGATCTGAAGGAGGAGCAGGAAGGGGTCCCAGTGATGGCAGGGGAATCAGGAGCTCGTCCTCAACCTCCGCTTCCACCACCGTCACGTGGCCGAGGCTCGGCTCGTAGTAGCACGAGGGCTGGGGCCAGCTGCCGTGGCCGGTGACGCACACGGAGCTCGGCATCGTGTACACCGCAATGTCTTCCTCGCTGCTGCTCGTCTCGGAGACACAGTCCTCTGCGTCCCCGTAGCCAATCTTCTCCCTGATTAAATCCTTCACCCTGCTGTAGGCCCTGCTGAATCTCACTCCGTCTGGGACATCACCTCCTGCTTCGTCGTCGTCCTCCTCTTCCTCCTCGTTTCGTTTACGCCCAGTCCACGTTTCCATTCCCGTTTTCCCCCATCGATCTTTCCCGTGGCCTTCAGTCTCAAACACGTCTTCACCTGGCGCGGTGTGGCCGCTGCACGGATCTTCCATCGGGGAGGTGGACTCAGCCAGTTTCCGACCGCGGGCCCGCACAAACACCGAGTCTGAGTCTGTATCGAGACAGCGCCAGCATCGACGCATCAGCACAGAATTCACACGCGCGCGCACTGTGCAATACCCGCATTAGGGCGCAATATACCGCCTCTAGTTATACGCTGTCGAGACTCGCCCTTGTTTTCCTTCTGCTACCGTCGGCTGTGCCAACGTCTAAAAGATCAGTTTCAAGGACAATGCAGATATTATCATAGTGTGTTTTTTGTTTGCATTTTGACTGCAAGTATTGTGGTTAATGCAGACATGAATCCTTATAAAAAGGTTTCAGTTTTGTTGCCAGAAAAAAGGGGAAAAACCTTATTATTATATTTTGGTACTGGAAAAGGAGGTCTAATGATGTAGATGGTCACCCCGAGCCCTCGTTACTTTGATAGGGCATTGTCTTTGAGCTGTACGCCTTTTGGCGTCCTCTGTTTGAGCACCAATTGGGTCGAGGCTCAAAAGAAAGCCGTCCCTTGGTGTGGACCAATCAGTTTCAAGGACAATGCATACATTATCAGTGTGTTTTTTGTTTGCATTTTGACTGCAAGTATTGTGGTTAATGCAGACATGAATCCTTGTAAAAAGGTTTCAGTTTGTTGCCAGAAAAAAGGGGAAAACCCCTATTATTATGTCAACACACATTAAACAGTTCCATAGAATCGATTAGCTTTAACACATCCTGATGGGGTTTTTCTTTTGTTTAAATGCTCGATCGCCCCGTCTACCAACATCACAGCAACAGGGCACGAAGCGTCAGCGGGTTGCTGTGAGTTTGCGAACCGCGCTCGCGTCGGCGCTCCGTGCGGTGTGACAGGACGCACCTGCCTGTGCCCCGCGGCCCAGCTCTCGTGCCACCAGCTCGGGCACGCAGCGACGCTCCAGAGTGTGCACCGTCGCTGGCACAGCGCCGATGATCACCGAGTGCAGGCTGGATGTCGCAGACGAACGGGGCAAACGGGCACACGCACGGACAGAGGCGATCGGTGTTTGCTCAGCGGGGGGGTGGTGGGGGGAAGGTGTGTGCGACGCCGCTATTCGCGTTCGGTGTCGCTGCCTGCGGCGCCAGCGTTACCGCGAGTCCTCGTTCTCGATGGCGCGGCGGTAGCGCTCCAGCTCGGCCTCCAGGTCGCGCGTGCTCGCCCACAGTCGCTCGTTCTCAGGCACGCTTCGATCGCAGCGCCCCCAGCGCCTGGGCCAGCTCCACCCGGTGCGCCTGGAGCTCGGCGGTGGCGCGGCTCAGCTCTGCTTCGCTGGCGCCCTCGGCCTCCCGCAGATTGCGCTCCAGCTGCTGGCACTGCCACCAGCGCGGCATCGTTGTGGGGTCCGGGGGGGGGGGTTAAGGGGTCAGGGGTCATGGAGTCAGGGTTAAAGCTAGGATGAATAAAATGAGCACCACTGCGGTCATCCTGTACACAGAAACTAGTTTTTGCAACGTGCATGTGGCATTTATACCCCTTTGTTAAATCGTTCTAGTAACATCACTACAATGCCAATCGCACACTTCTCAATGCAATCGGGCACCACGGTTCCGAGATGTTCACTACCTCGCGTGGTATACAGGAGGTTGTGGGTTCGATCCCAACCCTGACGCCTCTATATTTGGAGTTTGCGTGTTCTCCCCGTGGTCACGTGGATTCTTGTCTGGGTCCTCCGGTTTTTCCCCTCCACATTTAGAAACGCGCCTTTTAGAGTATTTGGCTGCTATAAATGTGCAGGTGATAAGCCACTTCGTTGAGCTATCATTTGTGCCCAAGTAGCTTCTGAAAAAGATATATAGAGCTCAGTGGGCCTTACCTTGTAACAATTAATATAGTTTGATAGTTTATTTTTTTCAATCTTAACGTAGCAGAATTATTGGAATGTTATAAAAACACACCTGTTGGTATCTTTTTTATTCAAGTCTTCATTTTTTCTCATGAACGAAGCTTCAAACTGATGTTGGATAGACCAGGTAAGATTCTTTTTTTTTATATATAGTGTATTGCGTTTTCCTTTACACCGCTCAAATTTACTCGTTAAAACAATAAGTCCAGCATTACGTTTTGATTTAAAATTGCCAGCGGCCACACGGCACAGACGAGCAAAGCTCCCGCTAAGCCACTGCCGACAAAATATTGTTGCCGTTCAGGTGAAGTCAAATAACGCGCTGTGGAAATAGCTCCCGGTCCAATCTGATTTCCCCCAATGGGATTATCGGGTCCTTGCAAATCGCTGAGTTGACGGAATGAACGTAATCCGCGCACCCTGCCTGACGGCGGCGGGGGTAGATTCACGGGGATCTTGCCACGAGCCCAGGCCGTGGATTATAACGTCCCCGTGCCAGGCATGCCACGGCCTTCGCATCATCAGATCTCTGCTCCATACAAAACACAATTTGGATTTAGCGCAGCGCCTAAATGTGACTGCATCGCAAGACCGTGCCAATCTTTGGAAAGAGATTTTGGTTCTTCGGTGTTATTTCCAGTTGGAAGAGGCTGTGGCCGGGGAAGGGGGGAGGGGGTAGGAGCAGTGGCGTGTGTAGCCAGTGCAACTGCACCAGAACCCAGAGTCCGACGATTGATGCTGGAGAAATCCGATAAGCTATTAAGCTCTTTTTCACAGGGCCCCAGGCGTCAAACTATAGACACAGCGGTAATTATACAGGGGGCCCCATGTCATTCTCTGCACCAGGGCCCATTACAACGACGCTGCAACCACTTTGGTATCGGAGGGTACAGGGTAGAGAGGGTACAACGACACTGCTTAGAGAACAGAGAGTCCACAGGCAGAGGGGGGAAAGAGAAGCGTCTTGACCCTGAACTGCAATGGGGTCACGGCAGTGCAGATGGCCAGGGGTAGAGAGCTCCAGACACGTTGGGCAACAGAGGATGAAGCTTTATTCTATTGAATAGCAGCTAACTGACCTACAGGATGTACATTGCGACTTCCCATTGTAACATAGCGTCCCACTCGTGGCATGCTGATAATGGTGATGGTGACGGACAGGCCCCGGCGGGCTTGGGAGTGTTCGCTTGAAGACCCCGCGGACGCAACGTGAGTTGGGGGGAGGGGTGGTGATGCTGATGATGTAGCACCTCATCCTGGAGCGCCCTCTGCTGGCTGGAGAGGGAGTCCACCAGGACGCGGAGCTCTGTCACCTGCTGCTGGTGGACGTCGCCAGACCCGCCAGCGCCGCCCTGCAGACGCTCACAGCCCCCCCCCCCCATCACGCCTCAACATGTCCACATTCACATGGCCGGGGCAAGTCGGTTCAGCGCAGTAGCGAGCGGCGTCATTCCCCCCGTGGAGCGTGGGGAGGGGGGAAGCCGAGACGAGACTGAAGGGGCAAACTCGGGGTGAATGCGGGGCTGGGACGAGCAGCTAGGTGGGACTCGTACCCAGCCACTAGTACTCACCCAGCCTCTAACCCCAACCACCCAGCCACTAGTACTCACCCAGCCTCTAACCCCAACCACCCAGCCACTAGTACTCACCCAGCCTCTAACATCAACCACCCAGCCACTAGTACTCACCCAGCCTCTATCACCACCCAGCCACTAGTACTCACCCCGCCTCTAACACCACCCAGCCACTAGTACTCACCAGCCTCTAACACCACCCAACCACTAGTTATCACCCAGCCTCTAACACCACCCAGCCACTAGTACTCACCCTGCCTCTATCACCACCCAGCCACTAGTACTCACCCAGCCTCTATCACCACCCAGCCACTAGTACTCACCCTGCCTCTAACCCCAACCACCCAGCCACTAGTACTCACCCCGCCTCTAACACCACCCAGCCACTAGTACTCACCCTGCCTCTAACACCACCCAGCCACTAGTACTCACCCAGCCTCTAACACCAACCAACCACTAGTACTCACCCAGCCTCTAACACCACCCATCCACTAGTACTCACCCAGCCTCTAACACCACCCAGCCACTAGTACTCACCCAGCCTCTAACACCACCCATCCACTAGTACTCACCCCGCCTCTAACACCACCCAGCCACTAGTACTCACCCAGCCTCTAACACCACCCATCCACTAGTACTCACCCAGCCTCTAACACCACCCATCCACTAGTACTCAACCAGCCTCTAACACCACCCATCCACTAGTACTCACCCAGCCTCTAACACCACCCACCCACTAGTACTCACCCCGCCTCTAACACCACCCAGCCACTAGTACTCACCCCGCCTCTAACACCACCCAGCCACTAGTACTCACCCCGCCTCTAACACCACCCAGCCACTAGTACTCACCCAGCCTCTAACACCACGCACCCACTAGTACTCACCCAGCCTCTAACACCACCCACCCACTAGTACTCACCCTGCCTCTAACACCACCCATCCACTAGTACTCACCCCGCCTCTAACACCACCCACCCACTAGTACTCACCCAGCCTCTAACACCACCCAGCCACTAGTACTCACCCCGCCTCTAACACCACCCAGCCACTAGTACTCACCCTGCCTCTAACACCACCCAGCCACTAGTACTCACCCAGCCTCTAACACCACCCAGCCACTAGTACTCACCCCGCCTCTAACACCACCCACCCACTAGTACTCACCCCGCCTCTAACACCACCCAGCCACTAGTACTCACCCCGCCTCTAACACCACCCACCCACTAGTACTCACCCTGCCTCTAACACCACCCACCCACTAGTACTCACCCAGCCTCTAACACCACCCACCCACTAGTACTCACCCCGCCTCTAACACCACCCACCCACTAGTACTCACCCCGCCTCTAACACCACCCAGCCACTAGTACTCACCCAGCCTCTAACACCACCCAGCCACTAGTACTCACCCTGCCTCTAACACCACCCAGCCACTAGTACTCACCCAGCCTCTAACACCACCCAGCCACTAGTACTCACCCCGCCTCTAACACCAACCAGCCACTAGTACTCACCCCGCCTCTAACACCACCCAGCCACTAGTACTCACCCAGCCTCTAACACCACCCACCCACTAGTACTCACCCCGCCTCTAACACCACCCAGCCACTAGTACTCACCCCGCCTCTAACACCACCCAGCCACTAGTACTCACCCCGCCTCTAACACCAACCAGCCACTAGTACTCACCCCGCCTCTAACACCAACCAGCCACTAGTACTCACCCAGCCTCTAACACCAACCAGCCACTAGTACTCACCCCGCCTCTAACACCACCCAGCCACTAGTACTCACCCAGCCTCTAACACCACCCACCCACTAGTACTCACCCAGCCTCTAACACCAACCAGCCACTAGTACTCACCCGGCCTCTAACACCAACCACCCACTAGTACTCACCCCGCCTCTAACACCAACCACCCACTAGTACTCACCCAGCCTCTAACACCGCCCATCCACTAGTACTCACCCTGCCTCTAACACCACCCAGCCACTAGTACTCACCCAGCCTCTAACACCACCCATCCACTAGTACTCACCCAGCCTCTAACACCACCCATCCACTAGTACTCACCCAGCCTCTAACACCACCCACCCACTAGTACTCACCCTGCCTCTAACACCACCCAACCACTAGTACTCACCCAGCCTCTAACACCACCCAGCCACTAGTACTCACCCAACCTCTAACACCACCCAACCACTAGTACTCACCCAGCCTCTAACACCACCCAGCCACTAGTACTCACCCAGCCTCTAACACCACCCAGCCACTAGTACTCACCCAGCCTCTAACACCACCCAACCACTAGTACTCACCCAGCCTCTAACACCACCCAACCACTAGTACTCACCCAGCCTCTAACACCACCCAGCCACTAGTACTCACCCAGCCTCTAACACCACCCAGCCACTAGTACTCACCCAGCCTCTAACACCACCCAGCCACTAGTACTCACCCAGCCTCTAACACCACCCAGCCACTAGTACTCACCCAGCCTCTAACACCACCCAGCCACTAGTACTCACCCAGCCTCTAACACCACCCAGCCACTAGTACTCACCCAGCCTCTAACACCACCCAACCACTAGTACTCACCCAGCCTCTAACACCACCCAGCCACTAGTACTCACCCAGCCTCTAACACCACCCAGCCACTAGTACTCACCCAGCCTCTAACACCAACCATCCACTAGTACTCACCCCGCCTCTAACACCACCCAGCCACTAGTACTCACCCAGCCTCTAACACCAACCACCCACTAGTACTCACCCCGCCTCTAACACCACCCAGCCACTAGTACTCACCCAGCCTCTAACACCACCCAGCCACTAATACTCACCCCGCCTCTAACACCACCCAGCCACTAGTACTCACCCAGCCTCTAACACCACCCAACCACTAGTACTCACCCAGCCTCTAACGCCACCCAGCCACTAGTACTCACCCCGCCTCTAACACCACCCAGCCACTAGTACTCACCCAGCCTCTAACACCGCCCAACCACTAGTACTCACCCAGCCTCTAACACCACCCAGCCACTAGTACTCACCCCGCCTCTAACACCACCCAACCACTAGTACTCACCCTGCCTCTAACACCACCCAGCCACTAGTACTCACCCAGCCTCTAACACCGCCCAACCACTAGTACTCACCCAGCCTCTAACACCACCCAGCCACTAGTACTCACCCAGCCTCTAACACCGCCCATCCACTAGTACTCACCCCGCCTCTAACACCACCCAGCCACTAGTACTCACCCAGCCTCTAACACCGCCCATCCACTAGTACTCACCCCGCCTCTAACACCACCCAACCACTAGTACTCACCCAGCCTCTAACACCACCCAGCCACTAGTACTCACCCAGCCTCTAACACCACCCAACCACTAGTACTCACCCCGCCTCTAACACCACCCAACCACTAGTACTCACCCCGCCTCTAACCCCAACCAACCACTAGTACTCACCCAGCCTCTAACACCACCGACCCACTAGTACTCACCCAGCCTCTAACACCACCCAGCCACTAGTACTCACCCAGCCTCTAACACCACCCAGCCACTAGTACTCACCCCGCCTCTAACACCACCCAACCACTAGTACTCACCCAGCCTCTAGCACCACCCAGCCACTAGTACTCACCCAGCCTCTAACACCACCCAACCACTAGTACTTACCCCGCCTCTAACACCACCCACCCACTAGTACTCACCCAGCCTCTAACACCACCCAGCCACTAGTACTCACCCAGCCTCTAACACCACCCAACCACTAGTACTCACCCAGCCTCTAACACCACCCAACCACTAGTACTCACCCAGCCTCTAACACCACCCAGCCACTAGTACTCACCCAGCCTCTAACACCACCCAGCCACTAGTACTCACCCAGCCTCTAACACCACCCAACCACTAGTACTCACCCAGCCTCTAACACCACCCAGCCACTAGTACTCACCCAGCCTCTAACACCACCCAGCCACTAGTACTCACCCAGCCTCTAACACCACCCAACCACTAGTACTCACCCAGCCTCTAACACCACCCAGCCACTAGTACTCACCCAGCCTCTAACACCACCCAGCCACTAGTACTCACCCCGCCTCTAACACCACCCAGCCACTAGTACTCACCCAGCCTCTAACACCACCCAGCCACTAGTACTCACCCAGCCTCTAACACCAAAAAACCACTAGTACTCACCCCGCCTCTAACACCACCCACCCACTAGTACTCACCCAGCCTCTAACACCACCCAGCCACTAGTACTCACCCAGCCTCTAACACCACCCACCCACTAGTACTCACCCAGCCTCTAACACCACCCAGCCACTAGTACTCACCCAGCCTCTAACACCACCCAGCCACTAGTACTCACCCAGCCTCTAACACCAACCAACCACTAGTACTCACCCAGCCTCTAACACCAACCAACCACTAGTACTCACCCAGCCTCTAACACCACCCAGCCACATGTACTCACCCAGCCTCTAACACCACCCAGCCACTAGTACTCACCCCGCCTCTATCACCACACAGCCACTAGTACTCACCCCGCCTCTAACACCACCCAGCCACTAGTACTCACCCTGCCTCTATCACCACCCAGCCACTAGTACTCACCCCGCCTCTAACACCACCCAGCCACTAGTACTCACCCCGCCTCTAACACCACCCAGCCACTAGTACTCACCCAGCCTCTAACACCACCCAGCCACTAGTACTCACCCAGCCTCTAACACCACCCAGCCACTAGTACTCACCCCGCCTCTAACACCACCCACCCACTAGTACTCACCCAGCCTCAAACACCACCCAGCCACTAGTACTCACCCCGCCTCTAACCCCAACCAGCCACTAGTACTCACCCCGCCTCTAACACCACCCACCCACTAGTACTCACCCAGCCTCAAACACCACCCACCCACTAGTACTCACCCCGCCTCTAACCCCAACCAGCCACTAGTACTCACCCCGCCTCTAACACCACCCAGCCACTAGTACTCACCCTGCCTCTATCACCACCCAGCCACTAGTACTCACCCAGCCTCTAACACCACCCAGCCACTAGTACTCACCCCGCCTCTAACACCACCCAGCCACTAGTACTCACCCAGCCTCTAACACCACCCAGCCACTAGTACTCACCCAGCCTCTAACACCACCCAGCCACTAGTACTCACCCAGCCTCTAACCCCAACCAACCACTAGTACTCACCCAGCCTCTAACACCACCCAGCCACTAGTACTCACCCCGCCTCTAACACCACCCAGCCACTAGTACTCACCCAGCCTCTAACCCCAACCAACCACTAGTACTCACCCCGCCTCTAACACCACCCAGCCACTAGTACTCACCCCGCCTCTAACACCACCCAGCCACTAGTACTCACCCAGCCTCTAACACCAACCAACCACTAGTACTCACCCCGCCTCTAACCCCAACCAGCCACTAGTACTCACCCCGCCTCTAACACCACCCAGCCACTAGTACTCACCCTGCCTCTATCACCACCCAGCCACTAGTACTCACCCCGCCTCTAACACCACCCAACCACTAGTACTCACCCAGCCTCTAACACCACCCACCCACTAGTACTCACCCAGCCTCTAACCCCAACCAGCCACTAGTACTCACCCAGCATCTATCACCACCCAGCCACTAGTACTCACCCAGCCTCTAACACCACCCAACCACTAGTACTCACCCAGCCTCTAACCCCAACCAGCCACTAGTACTCACCCCGCCTCTAACCCCAACCAACCACTAGTAAATTTCGATTTAAAGCTTTCGTGACTGCAGGGATTCATCTTCTTGGTTCTTTCGGTAAAGTCACGTAGAAGGGAAGTAATACAATAATAAAAATAAAACATAATAATGTTTTATTTATATTATTTTATTTCCCTTCTACGTGACTTTACCGAAAGAACCAAGAAGATCAGCCACTAGTACTCACCCAGCCTCTAACACCACCCACCCACTAGTACTCACCCCGCCTCTAACACCACCCACCCACTAGTACTCACCCCGCCTCTAACACCACCCACCCACTAGTACTCACCCCGCCTCTAACACCACCCACCCACTAGTACTCACCCTGCCTCTAACACCACCCAGCCACTAGTACTCACCCCGCCTCTAACACCACCCAGCCACTAGTACTCACCCAGCCTCTAACACCACCCAGCCACTAGTACTCACCCAGCCTCTAACACCACCCAACCACTAGTACTCACCCAGCCTCTAACACCACCCAGCCACTAGTACTCACTCAGCCTCTAACACCACCCAGCCACTAGTACTCACCCAGCCTCTAACACCACCCAGCCACTAGTACTCACCCAGCCTCTAACACCACCCAACCACTAGTACTCACCCAGCCTCTAACCCCAACCAGCCACTAGTACTCACCCCGCCTCTCACCCCAACCAACCACTAGTAAATTTCGATTTAAAGCTTTCGTGACTGCAGGGATTCATCTTCTTGGTTCTTTCGGTAAAGTCACGTAGAAGGGAAGTAATACAATAATAAAAATAAAACATAATAATGTTTTATTTATATTATTTTATTTCCCTTCTACGTGACTTTACCGAAAGAACCAAGAAGATCAGCCACTAGTACTCACCCAGCCTCTAACACCACCCACCCACTAGTACTCACCCCGCCTCTAACACCACCCACCCACTAGTACTCACCCCGCCTCTAACACCACCCACCCACTAGTACTCACCCCGCCTCTAACACCACCCACCCACTAGTACTCACCCTGCCTCTAACACCACCCAGCCACTAGTACTCACCCCGCCTCTAACACCACCCAGCCACTAGTACTCACCCAGCCTCTAACACCACCCAGCCACTAGTACTCACCCAGCCTCTAACACCACCCAACCACTAGTACTCACCCAGCCTCTAACACCACCCAGCCACTAGTACTCACTCAGCCTCTAACACCACCCAGCCACTAGTACTCACCCAGCCTCTAACACCACCCAGCCACTAGTACTCACCCCGCCTCTAACACCACCCACCCACTAGTACTCACCCAGCCTCTAACACCACCCACCCACTAGTACTCACCCAGCCTCTATCACCACCCAGCCACTAGTACTCACCCCGCCTCTAACACCACCCACCCACTAGTACTCACCCTGCCTCTAACACCACCCACCCACTAGTACTCACCCTGCCTCTAACACCACCCACCCACTAGTACTCACCCCGCCTCTAACACCACCCAGCCACTAGTACTCACCCAGCCTCTAACACCACCCAGCCACTAGTACTCACCCTGCCTCTAACACCACCCAGCCACTAGTACTCACCCTGCCTCTATCACCACCCAGCCACTAGTACTCACCCAGCCTCTAACACCACCCAGCCACTAGTACTCACCCCGCCTCTAACACCAACCACTAGTACTCACCCAGCCTCTAACACCACCCAGCCACTAGTACTCACCCAGCCCCTAACCCCAACCAACCACTAGTACTCATCCAGACTCTAACCCCAACCAACCACTAGTACTCACCCAGCCTCTAACCCCAACCAACCACTAGTACTCACCCAGCCTCTAACACCAACCAACCACTAGTACTCACCCCGCCTCTAACACCAACCACTAGTACTCACCCAGCCTCTAACACCACCCAGCCACTAGTACTCACCCAGCCCCTAACCCCAACCAACCACTAGTACTCATCCAGACTCTAACCCCAACCAACCACTAGTACTCATCCAGACTCTAACCCCACCCACCCACTAGTACTCACCCAGCCTCTAACACCACCCAGCCACTAGTACTCACCCTGCCTCTAACACCACCCAACCACTAGTACTCACACAGCCTCTAACACCACCCAACCACTAGTACTCACCCAGCCTCTAACCCCAACCAGCCACTAGTACTCACCCAGCCTCTAACACCACCCAGCCACTAGTACTCACCCTGCCTCTAACACCACCCAGCCACTAGTACTCACCCAGCCTCTAACACCACCCAGCCACTAGTACTCACCCGCCTCTAACACCACCCAGCCACTAGTACTCACCCCGCCTCTAACACCACCCAGCCACTAGTACTCACCCCGCCTCTAACACCACCCAGCCACTAGTACTCACCCTATCACTAACACCAACCATCAGTTCCATCCCTCGCCCGAACCAACCACCGTGACCAATCCACCGCTGTGCGACGACCTCCCCCAAGCCGTCACCGCCCCCTCACAAAACCCGCGACGCAACAATCCGCCTGGCGCCCGCCCGCCCGCACGCGAGCCGATGTCACCGCTGCATCTCCCCCACCGATGTCACCGCTGCATCTCCCCCACCGATGTCACCGCCGCATCTCCCCCACCAATGTGACCGCTGCATCTCCCCCACCGATGTCACCGCTGCATCTCCCCCACCGATGTCACCGCTGCATCTCCACCACCGGCGCGCGTGCCCATGCCGTGGCGTTACAGGTCGAGTCGCCCGAGCGCGGTGCGTTATCGGTGCGCGTGGCAGCAGCGAGTTGGCGCGGTGGACATTGGGGTGAGGACGTTGACCATCGCAGTGGACCCCCCAACACCCCCCCTCGAACCCCCCCCTCGACTCCCCCCCCCCTTGACCCCTCCCTCGACTCTCCCCCCGACCCCCCCCCCCTCGAACCCCCCCCTCGACTCTTCCCCCAACCTCCCACCTCGAACCCCCCCTCGACTCCCCCCCCGACCCCCCACCTCGAACCCCCCCCTTGACTCCCCCTCTCGACTCCCCCCCTAACCCCCCACCTCGAACCCCCCCTGGACTCCCCCCCCCCAACCCCTCACCTCGAACCCCCCCTTGATTCCCTCCTCGACTCCCCCCCCCCCCTCGAACCCCCCCCCTCGACTCCCCCCCCTTCGAACCCCCCTCGACTCTTCCCCCAACCCCCACCTCAAACCCCCCCCCTTGACCCCCCCCTCTAGACTCCCCCCCGACCCCCCCCCTCTCGACTCCCCCCCCCCCCGCTCACCTGACAGTCGCTGCCCATCTCGTGCTGAAGCTGCTCGGTCTCCGTGGTCCCCAAGGCGTCTGGGGAGAGCCCCTCAATGGAGGTCATCATCTGCCCCACGAGCTCCACGCTCTCACGGAGCTCAGGCAGGTGCTGTGGCGGAGGAGGACCACGGGAGGGGAGGAGTCAGGAGAAGGTGGGGGGGGTCACAACTAGGGCTGAACGATTTGGGGGAAATATCTAATTGCTATTTTTTTTTCTGGCGGATATTGCGATTTGATTTGCGATTATATTTGTTTAAGTCAAGCTCCAGTTCAATATTCACTGTGTAATAGATTTAAAACACGTGATGGAGCATTACCACATGATACCATCAACATATGAATATATTATAATGCAAGGATGAGAACATAAAATATATTAATTGCTTCCAACATGTATTTATGAAAAAAAATCATTGAAATAGAACAATCAAACATAGAACAATCGTTAAGTTAAATAAATAAAGTTATAACAATAAAAAATAAACAATTCCAATAAGAAAGTAATAGGACTTTTCAAATCGCAAAAAATCGCAGCCTTTGCGATTTGCTAATCGCATTGTTTCAAATTGCGATTGCGATTTGAAATCGATTAATCGTTCAGCCCCAGTCACAACCTCAGCCGGCCAACGAGCGTCCTAGATTCCGGGAGATTACCCTTCCTGGTGTCTCATATGACTCTAAACTTAAAAAAAATGACCAGGTAAGGCCCACTGAGCTATAGAGATATTTTTTCAGAAGCGATCTGGTCACAAATGATCGCTCAACGAAGTAGCTTATCACATAAAATATCCATCAGCTAAATACTCTAAACGCACGATTCTTAATGTGGAGATGAAAACCAGAGAAATCCACGCGAGCACGGGAGAACATGCAAACTCTTTTCCATACCAAGCGAGGTAGTTAACATCTCAGCTCCTGGAAGAAAATAACACCTCTCTGTCCGTATCTCCGCTGCACTTTAGTTTTGAGTCGTGAGAAATAAATTCGATTTGGAAAAACAGCTCAAGAATCCCGTGCTGTGCAGTGCGTCACCTCCGGGTGGCTAAGCTTCAATGCTGCTGCAAGCTGCGCTCGAAAGAGAACCCGGACCACGTGGGGAGTCCAGGATGACCCTAAGATTCGTCCCCGCAGGCCGGACGAAAATATTTATGCGGGAAACATCTGGCAGGCTGATAATTGATAATTGTTTTTTTACCCTTTTATCTGGCAACAAAACTGACACCTTTTCACAAGGAGTCATGTTTGCATAGACCACAATACCTGCAGTCATAATGCAAACAAAAACATAACTCTGATAATGTATGCATTATACTTGAAGTTGATTGCTCCACACCCGAGACAGCTTTCCTTAGAGCCTAGTCTCACATGGTGTTGGACCAGATGACGCCAAAAGGCGCAAATGAGGTTCCCGTGATCTGGCAGGCTTTTTTCGCATCAGACAGCTGTGCTCCATCATCATCGCCGGAGCATCGCCGGAGTGCGTGATGGACTAACGTCGTTGCTCGCGATGCCGTGGAGAATTCGAAGCCTCTGAAGAAGGGGCCTCATCCGACGCGTCGTCCCGCTGCGTGTTGCTCTATTAGCTCGCGAGGCGGTGGTGCTTAGCAACGACAACGCAGCGCTGCCAAGCGCAAGGCATGGGCGAATGAGTGTGAGTGTGATCAGGGGCGAATGAGTGAAATGAGCAGACCAACTGTGAATGGAAGTGTGAGTGCAATAACAGCGGCGAATGAGTGAACGCACGACCAGACCAAGGACGAATGAGCGAATGGCTCAACGAGGGATGAACTGAATGTGCGATTGGATGAACGAACGCGCGACCATGAGCGACTAAGTGAGACACGTGGCCAGGACTTACGGTGCATCCTGACGAGGTGTGAATAAGCCAGGAGAATGGACGCCTGGCCGCGGGATGAATTTACAAACGCCCGACCAAAGGTGAACGACCGAACTAACGGCCGGCTAGGGGGGGGGGGTGGTTGTTGTTGAATGAATGAGTGAGTGACGGAATGTGTGAAGGCAGCAGCCACCTGCTTGTGGGCGTCCCGCGTGAACGCCGCGTCCTCCATCAGGACCTGGGTCTCGATCTGCAGCGCGAGGTGGGCGGACAGCGCCTCGTGCGCGTCCTGCAACACAAAGTCCGCTCCAGAGACGGATCCACCGAGCACCGCTCCTCCTCCACCCCACCACCGGCATCGTCGTCGTTCGTCAATCATGGATATACGAGCTTGTTTGCCCGTCCAAGGCCGGGTGTATATTGCAGTAGATCTGAATATTCAAAATTGTTCAGCTCATGATTGTTAATGAGCGGGGTGGTGGCGGGTTGCCCCATGTGGAGTGACGTCACCCGCTAATGGTTATTGGGGAGGGGTGCGGCATGTGGAATAACGTCACCCGCTCATGATTATTGGAGAGGGGTGCGGCATGTAGAGTGACGTCACCCGCTCATGATTATTCATGAGGAAGGGGGAGCCTCATGTAGAGTGACGTCACGCGCGGGACACACACATTCTTGGCTTATTATATTAGTAATAAAAACACGCGCGCGCGCATTCACTCGCTCTCGAAGAGAGAGAGAACGACTCTCAGAGCAGCCACGCGGCGAGCCGGCGACGCTACCGACAATTACCCGAGCTCTGCGATCTTCTGCGTGTCGAGGTGTTTTCAGCCCATAAATGGGCGTTCACATGGGGGAGGCTACCGGAGCACCCAGAGGAAACCCACGCGCTGCGAAGGGAAAACATCGGATCCCCGCACAGACGTGGCACGTGGAGTCCACGTCTTTTTTTTTGTCTGTACTCTGCTGCCTCCTCCTCCTCGCAGAGCCCAGGGTTAATGGAACGTCCTCAACGCCCGCGAAAATGGAGATTGACAACTCGTGTGGCTGATCCACCACCCCCCCTCGCCTTTCACAGCGCTGAATTAGGGGGGCCCACGCACGCCACGGCGGCGCTGCTTAAAGGCTGCCCTGTGCCGGGCGCCCATCTCTGGAAATCTGTGGAAAAAAAGAGCTCCACAAGCTCATCGGATTCCTCCCAGTCTTAATCGAGATTCTGATTCTGATGCGGGGCCAATGTGGCAGACAGCCCCTGCAAAAGGTGCCATTTGCCCGAAACGTCACAACAGCCCAGCGGTTCTTAACCCGGAGTGCACGCACCCCTGGGGGTGCGAGACGCCCTCTCTGGGGGACGAGAGACATGGCCAGATTTAGTTTAGAAGGTAAATCATCGAACACACAATTTAAGCACGGAGGCACGTAAATACAACTACGCTGCTTCATCAAACCCGATGTGTCGACCTACTGCCGGCTTCGGAGCCCTCTCCAACATAACATTAGCTGCCCCGCCCATCTCTTAACCTTTATAAGCAGCTTGCCCTCAAAGGCTAACCTCCCTGTTCCTGATGACGACCGCTTGTGTTGCGATCGAAACGTCGTGGTATTTTTTAGTCACTTTGTTTGTATTATTATATTGGTTTTTTTTTCAACCTACGTGACTTTACATGAAAGAACCATAGAACATGAAACCCGAGGTATTTATTAACATTCTACATGTATTTGTTTACGATTGAGAAGCACCAAAGGGGTGCAAGGCTGCAGTAAAGGTCAAGAAGCACTGCTCCAGGAATTGCCTCCTCCTCCGCCGAGTTATTGCTGCCGAGCGCCGGTGGCGAGCAAGGCGCGGCAGTGCGGGAGAGTGGCATGGTGGTGGTGGTGGTGGAGGGTGAGTGCGAGCAGGGCTTTACGTGGCTCAGTCGCTCCAGGTCTTCCCGCAGTCGTTGGAGGTTGTCGCTCTCACTTTTCCACCTGAAATTCACGGCGAGTCTTGGTCAGAAGCTGCCTCGGCTGTGAGCGGGACATCATGGCACCATCATTCAAACCCACCACCTCATCAATTGCCATCGTTATCACTACCATCCGTACTAGACGAGGTTGTTTTGGATTCGATCGCGTAAGTGTCACTCTGTTGTGGATTTGCTCTCCAACTCACCGGTGTGCCGTATTAGTAGCGATTTGGCATGTTTTACGTGACAACCCTTACGAATTGGCTGTGTCGGGTGGTGGTGGGTTTAACGACACATTTATATTATGGATGATATTTGTCGCGAAAGCCTACTACGCGTTAAACATCCCGTCCTCAAAACAGACGGCGCTGCTAGTTTCACATGTAGGATTTCGCGACCAATATTCATAATAGAGGGTTTTTTTTGGCGTTAGATCGCGTAAATATAAATGTGTCGTTAAACCCTCCACCACCACCCGACACAGACAATTAGTAAGGTTTGTCACGTAAACAGAACGTGCCAATTCGTTGACAAATCTGGCTGCCCGCCTGATGAAGCTGGTTGTAATTCCTGGTGAAACGTCGTACTCAGATTGTAAATGCTGTGGGTTTACTCTCCAACACACCGGCGTGCTGTACTAGTGACGAATTGGCACGTTCTGTTTACGTGACAATCCTTACTAATCGGCTGTGTCGGGTGGTGGCGGGTTTAACGACACATTTATATTTACGCAATCTAACAAAAAAAACTATATTACGGATGATATTGGTCTCAAAATCATACGAGGTGTTAAACTGATAATAATCACTATCAACCTGCCACTTCTGAGTACCTGGCGTTTTTTTTTTGCTGTTTGATGCCTTGTACATGTACAGTGCCTGTTGTCAAGCCACGCGTACCACGTGCGGGTAACGCTGACTCTACTTCACCACGCTGAGTTCGTGCCGGGTTCGTGAAGGCGTAGAGCATAGAGGCAGGCGCATAGAAGCACAGTCCAACCACGGATCGTGCGTGCATCGCCTGTTACTACTGCCCCACAACACAGCCCCGTAGCCTATGATGTGTTTGTACAGAGTGAAAAAAAAAACCTAAGAGTATGAATCCTTGCAGTCACGAAAGTTTCAAATCTAGAATTGTACAGGGTGCTTCAAAATAATGTGAACACTTCTGAGAATTTGCAACTGTGCCTCCGAGCTCTGGAGACCACCTGGAGAAGATTCCAGGCGTGCGTTGACAACGATTGCGAACAAGTGAGAGACACTTTCACTTTTTGAAGCTATTGACATTCAGTTGTTATCATGTTACAGTGTATTATCCGTGTTTTTCCCATTAAAATCGATAGTCCCATGTAAGTGTTAATATTTTTTTGAAGCACCCTGTATACAATTGTACCCAAGTCTCCCTTGAGAGAGAGAGGGAAAGAGCTGCGGTCTCAATGGGATCTTAGCCGGCTTAAATAATGGCAATCAATCGCTCGATCAATCAGGCAGACACCGAAGTCTCCCTCGGCGCGCCCCTGTGCAAGGTGAGCTGACGAGGAGTCGGTGCGACCGACGCGGAGGGACACGTGGTGCAACTGACGCGCCGTTTCCCGGTTCGAGGCCGTGAATGTTGAGTTGAGTTTCGTTTGTTCGTGCCGCCTATACAACGGGACCGATAGCCGGTAGCAAACAACGAAGACGGGCATAATGCACGTGTATTTGCGTGTACCAAAGCAAAATATGTAGCAGGTCAAACTTCTCTTGCACCGTACGTAGCCAACCGTGCTCATCAGAGGTGCGGGGGAAGGACAGCAAACTAACAAACAAAAATCAGTTCTTAAGAATTGAGTTTTCAATCTAGAGTTAGAATTGCATAGCTCTAGTGGCTTCCTAATATCGGAAAGAAGAGCGTTCCAGACGGCCGCGGAAGCGCATCTGAAAGCGCGTTTATATGTTTATCGTAAGCTTTGAGGACTTTGGGACCCTACCCAAGTTCCGTGGCAATGTATGGTATACAGAGAACTCTACTCTATCGCTACTCCGTTAAGCATAACTGCACGCCACTGCAACGCGAGCCAGTGTGTGTAGCGGGAGTGAGTGCGTTAGGGAGTGGCGGCGTAGTGGTTAGCTCACTTCACTACGAAGCCGGGCTATGTAACTTCGATTTCCGACCACGGTTAATACCAGTAGCAAGTGATATTAACTGTACTTTTTGGTTCTTTCAGTAAAGTCACGTAGTTAGAAAAATATATTTAAAAAATATATCTGTAAAAAAATGTTTCACGACGTTATTTTCTTTTATTTTTCTACCTACGTGACTTTACCGAAATAACCAAATAGTATGGATTCCTGCAGTCACGAAAGCTTCAAATCAAGATTGATATTAACTGATGGACTGGACCTGTGTCTCCTCTAGGTTGACTCGACTTTAAAATAGGTGGTCGCTAATAGCACTTGACCCAACTGTTCATAATTCTAATACGAGGGACCATTGTCTTGGAACTGGTAGTGATGGACACCGTGCAGATGTGAAGTTTGTTGTTGTTGTTGTTAATTAAACACGCAGCTGTGTTTTAATGAATACATTTGATTCCAATTAAATAAACGCTTTACAAGTAAACACTCGCGTAATGCGTGCCACGTCTGCCGCAGCTCTCTGTGCGGGAGTCTCTGTGCGTGCACGCGAACCACCTTGACCCTTGACCCGTTATCACTCCCCTGCCGTGGCGGACACTGGAATACCGACGTCCTTGATCAATGGGGCACCAGCTACGCCACGACACCGTCGCCTGCACCGTGCGGCCTCGTCGTTCCCCACGCCCCAAGTGCCTGGCCCAAGTTCCCCCAACTTCCACTACCCCTGGTCCACGTGCTCCACGTGACCCTCCTCGCTCATGGCCTTGGGCCCCCTACCGGCGCTTGTAATCCGTCTCCTCCTCCGCGCGCGCCGCCTCCAGCTCGCGTCGCAGGCGCCGCTCCTCTGCCTTCAGGTCGTCCAGCCTCTGCTCCGTGAGCCCGAGGCACTCGGAGTAGACGGCATCAGGCCCCGAGAGCTGCGCGAGGCGGCGCGCCTTCTCCAGCTGATGTCGCAGCACGAGGCTGCGTTGCTCCAGCGCGCGCGCTCGGCCGATGAAGCCGCTCAGGTGCGCGCTCAGCTCGCGCACTTCGTCTACGTCGGCCGCGTCGGCCCCGAAGTGGGCTGACTGCGGCGGCGGTGAGAGGCGGCCGTGCAGGGCGGATGGCTCGAAGCGAGCCAGCGAGCCGGCTCCCCAGCGCCCGAGGCCGTCGTCCCTCCGAGCCGGGTCACGCGCCCCTCTGGAGGCGGTGACCTCCTTTCGCACGGCGAGACCGCGGTCCGGAGGGGACGCGGCTCCTCGGTGCCAGTCATCCCCGCGCGGTACCCCGACCCCGCTGGGTTGGGACATGCTCGGGTCGTGTCAGGTGGCCGGGCATTCCAGCCAGCGTGAGAAAAGCGCAATCGGCCCGAGAGCCTCCATATTTATAGATTTGCTCGCTAATCCGCGGCGCTCGGACGCCGATCGCGCTCAGCGGTATTTTCGTCTGACGATTCGAATAAAACCAAAAAATGCCAGCGCTGCTGTGCGAGTCGCACGCGGATGAAGCGAGACAAAGAGAAACACCGACGCGGGCCGCGACCGCCGAGAGCCGGGAACAAAGCTCGGCCCCGCGCCTGCGATCAGCTCTCACGCCCTTTGCACAAACACAGCTGGCCTATTCTGCCAACAGAATAAATACAACGCGCAACAGACACGCGCACGCCCGTGTGTGTGTGTCTGTGTGTGTCTGTGTGTGCGCGGGCGCTAAACGCGCGCGCCCCCGACTCCAACCGCGTTGCTCGCAGTGAAAGGGACATCGCGTGGACGTTGCGCGCGACTGGCCTGGTCTCTCCACTGACAGAAACAAATACGATTATTTCCACCCCGCCCCCGCCATAGGAATGTTGAATTCTCACCACTGGCACAGAGCTGCCAACGGTTATGAGCGCCGGTCAACTCTCGGTTGCGTAGGGAGGCACTTTGGCTTGATTTGTCTACAATTGATATTGTCTGAAAACCTCACGAGCTGTTCATATTGCACGATATGCGTCATTTTTTTAAATCATGAAACAACAAGTGTCCATTTCAAATTCTCAGAGATTGGAAAAATTATGATGTATTAGGGGAAACCCATTTGTGGCCGAGCCAACACCACGACGTCGCTACACTTGATAATAACACTGGTCAACAAAAAACACATTTTTTTCTGGCCTGGACTTTTGCAGCTGGGTGCTGATTCCAAATCTGATCTCAGATTTGCTCTAGCACATCTCATTTTTATGCTATCGGCATACCCCTTTTTAATTGATTTTACCCGAAATTAACTCTGTCACTTATGATTGCAGGTTGTTGCGAGTCAGTGACTGCTTTAGTGTTAAAATATGGTGCTGTATTTTTAGGATAGTGTGTTCATAATATCATTTTATGTAGATATCCACATTTATTTAATATTTTTCTTCTGCAATTTTTATTGAAAATGCAACATTTGATATCTCAAAAACCTGATGTGATAGACGAAAACTGATGCCAGATTTGGAATCAGCACCCCAAAATTACCTTAAAACCGTTTGAATACCTTATGCCAGAAAAAGTGTGTTGACCAGTGTAAGCAGTTAACCACGGGCGGCTTAAACCAGGATTCAATCCCAGGTCCTCGGTGTCTCGAGTCCGGTATCAGCTCCCTGACCCACCAGGGCCATTCTACGTGCTGTCTAATTTGAAGCCCATATCTGTGCATGCACCGCATTAATATTTTACGACAATCAATAATTTCTAGCAGCCCTACATCTGTATCATCATCACCACCGCCACTCCACTGATGGATGACGGCCTCTCTCTCTCCAAATCGTCACCATCTCTCACGATGCCTGCCGTGTAAAAAAAACCTTCTAGCGCCTTCACAAAGGGATTGATGTCAACGTGCAGTATCCACGGTGTACACGAGCGCGTTCCCCTCCTTTGGCCGCCACTCCGTCATTAGTCTTGACCAACAGCCGGTATCCCTCCTGTGTGAACGAGCGTTTTTTTTTTTAAAGCACAGCAATGCGGTCACTTCATTCTGTATTACGAAATAGTATACCTGGACAGTATTGAAACACTATACTTAAGCAGAAACATTTTCACCAAAAAAAATGCTATTTTTATTTTGTTTTACAATTTGATGACAAATAACGTTTCCACGGGACATGCAAATTTAACAATGTTTACCGTAAATAAATACACGATGAATTGTCACTTGACACTGTAACGCGATTCCAGAATGTCCCTTCTCTTGCCCACATACCCACAGCGAACTGATGCTTGTTTAATCGACACTCGGAAAACCAAATTGTAAAGACGGATCCATCTACACGAGAACTGACCACAGCACCATCGTTTTTTTTTGCTTTTCATGGGTCATTTTGTTGTATTCACTTTGCACGTGTGTGCATATTCGTATGTATGCGTATATATATGCATCTGTGTGTATGTATGTGTGTATGTACCTGTGTGTATGTGGGTGCATATATATCTGTGGATGTATGTTTGTGGGTAATGGTCGTGTATTGGATAGCGCGCTGCGCTAGGAACCCGGAAACCCACGTTCTCTTCCCGCTCACGGCCAACACAAGTGATAATTATCTGAACCCGTGTTGGTCCTCCATTATGTCGACTTAGCCTCAATTTACTACCGGGTGCAGGTGTATAGACATCGCCACTCGAGAGACAAAGGCGGCCGGGCGTGGTTCTGGCCACCAACCCACTCGTGTGCCGTGCCGGATTTCATAGGTCCCTCGCTCACAGCACTTGCGACAAAGAGTCTGTTCAGGCTATAAGGCTGTGTACGTGACCAACGCTGTTCTAGGAACTCGGTGACCTGAGCTCGATTCCGGATCACGGCTCACATCAGTGGCGTGTCCGGGGGGCCTCCCCTCGGTGAACGTGTACCGCCCGGTGCGGTCTTTACTCTCAAGCACTGGGGGGGGGGAGAGAGAGATAAAGACGGCCGGGCGTGGTGCTGGTCACAATCGCCGTTCGTCTGTCATTTCCGGCTTCAAAAAGGTGCCCGGTGACAGCAGTTATTTTAGTCCAGTGGTCTCGAAGGTATAGAGGGCGGGAGCTTACAGTCCACGGACCGACACGAATTAATTTCACAGGCCCCCGCGGGCTCCATGAGCCGGACCCGCTTGGCAGCGGGCCGCAAGCAAAATGTATCCGTCACAGCAAGCCTCTGAGCTGCTGCCCTAGGGCTACTCGGTGGGGGCGGAGGGGGGGGGGGTATTTCACAGGGCAGCACTTTCAAATCTGAGCTCCTTCGGTAAAGGCGAACGCTCGTGATTATTCGCGTGATTATTCGTGGATAATGTGTGAGCTTGCGCTTTAATGGGTGGTGGAAGGTCATATTGGGCCCGCAAAAAGAAAAAAAAATTGAATGATTCCGCACCCCTGCGCTCTCTGTGTGGTCAGCACCACGCGTGGCGGCTTTAATGAGTGGGACGTTGTCTCCATGGAACCGTCTCGCACAAGGGCCTTCCTGGAGGACTCTTCACCGCGTGCGCGCTGGGGTGATTTGCGCGAGTGTGTGGTTGCGAGGCAGTGAGTGCTGCGTTCGCTCGCCACACAGAGGGTCGCGATAATTAATGTGCCCGTGGTAGAACGGCATGGCCGCGTTACACCGACTGCGCTCAAAACGCAGAGTTCTCGGAACAGATAATTAGGCGAAACGCCTCCATTACGCCCACGGATTAACATTTTTCATACATTGGCTCTCGTTTTGGGAAGCCCTTTATCAATTCACTGCTGGATTCGTGTGTTGCCAGTTTAATTAAAAGTCCCTTAATTCCATTAGCAAGCTGATTCTCATTGTATCTCATTTAAAGAGGAGTCTTGATTTATTGGGATGTTTAGCTTATTATGTTTACGAGTGTTTGACTTAATGAGCTAGGAAACCGGAGTACCCGGAACATCCCACGCACGCATCCGAGGAGCTAAACACTCAACGCCACGCACCTAAACTGTGTTTTCATTCCACGGGTGGATCGGTGAAGAATGAATCATCTGCAGGATGACACGCATTGTTTCTAGGCCTACTGCCATCTCATGGCCGCCACTTGTCATCGCTAGCCCCATTATCGCTCAACGCTGAGCATTTTCTAAAGGAAGGCCGGGAAGGGCCAGAAGGCCCGGGGCTATAATTTTTCACGGAGGAAATCGAGGGGGCGAGTGGTGTGGGGACGGATCGGGAACGCGGAATGTAGCTCACGGGTTAGCACGGTGATGTCTGAAGTCGCCCGGTGGACTGGCGTGGGCTTCGCGAAGCTTTCGGAGTTACGTTCGGGCACGGGTCGTGATGCCCACGTGCATCTGTCAGCAAGGCACAGCGACTCATCCGCCATGCCGATGACAGAAACCGCCGCAGGCTCGACGAGATGGCTCACATTGACATATATCATCATCATCAGCCATGATCAATGCCAAAGCCGTAGAGCCATCTCTCACCGTCCTTCGATACAATAATACAACTGACTTGTATTTTAATCTAGATTTGTTTCCAAGCGCGATTTTGATTTCGGTCGCCATGGGTTTTCTCGTCACTTAAAAGATTTGAATTCACCCACCTCGAACCACCCCCTCCAATATACAATTTACGCAGCCAATTCCACAGACCCAATTTCTGTAGCCCACCATGTGTTTTTTTATTTTAAAGAGGATCGTTACCTCCCGCTAAATTCACTCGCATTTTTTTTGCAAAGATAAGTATCCCCCGTATAGCCTTTAACAGGCTGTTGGGGCAAGTGCTTTTTGCGAGTGGCATCAATTAAGTCAGACACGACGCACGAGGGAGTGGGTGACCAACACCGCGCCCAGTGCCGATGTTTACACACCGCACCAGGTACTCATTTAACACCGAGTCGACCTAGGGGAGACACAGGACCGGTGTAAATATTGACCATTGTTTTTGGTCGTTAGCGGGAATCAAACGTGGGTTACCGGGTTTGTAGCGTAATGCGCTCACCACTACACTTCGCACCCTACTGCCGTATATATATACAAAGACAAATATCCTCCTCATACTCTTTGGTTTTTTCGGCAAAGTCACGTAGGTAGAAAAATAAAAACAAAAAATAATATATCACGATGTTTCGATCGCAACACAAGCGGTCGTCCTCAGGCGGAAAAAATATAAACAAGCAGTGGTACTGCTGAACCAGCGAGAGAGCTGTTACAACAAGAGGTTTTTTTATGTGGCGATGGGCAAGCAAGCGGATTCTGAGCTGGAAAGGAATTCCATCCATGGACGCAAGCACGTCAGTTGTGTTAATGGGGGAGAATAGGGAGAGAGAGATGAGCACCACAGCAGTGTTAATGGGAGATTAGCACTATGTTGATGGGAGATATTAGGCAGGGAGATTAGGTGGATTAGCAAGTTAATGTCATGTCTATGTGTAACACAAGCTGCAGCTCTGCCAACTTTGCTGTGAGGCAAGCGCGTCCACGCAAGTGAACCACCGAAACAATGATCGCGTCAGTGAGACACAAAGCCCATCCCACAGCCAGAACCATTGCTACACCGAGGCTAATCTCTCCCATCAACATAGTGCTAATCTCCCATTAACACTGCTGTTGTGCGCATATGCGGGGACGATACTCTAATGCAGCGACGGAAGTTAATTTCATGCTAATCTCTCTCCCTAATCTCTCTCTCCCTAATCTCCCTCATTAACACAACTGACGTGCTTGCGTCCGGGGATGGAATTCCTTTCCAGCTCAGATCCCGCTTGCTTTCCCATCGCCACGAAAATAACCTCTTGTTGTAGCAGCTCTCTCGCTGGTTCAGCAGTACCACTGCTTGTTTATATTTTTCCGCCTGAGGATGACCACTTGTGTTGCGATCGAAACGTCGTGATGTATTATTTTTTGTTTCATTTTATTTTTCTACCTACATGACTTTACCGAAAGAACCAACGAGTATGGATTCCTGCAGTTACGAAAGCTTCAAATCAAGATCCTCCCTATAGCCTGAACTGATTGTTGGGGCAAGCGCTGTTAGCGAGCACCTATGACGACCGCCTTTGTCTCCATAGTGGCAATGTTTACACAACCGCACAAAATATTCATTTGAGGCTGAGTTTACCTAGGGGAGGCCCAGGACCGGTTCAGATAATCGTCACCGGTGTTGGCCGCGAGCGGGACTCGAACTCGGGACACCGGGTTCGTAGCGCAGCGTAGCGCTAACCGCTACACACATATACTGTTTACGAATCCTACTTTAAAACAACAACAACAGCAGCAGCAACAACAAAACCCGTACGCAGAGCCGCTTATCCCCAGGTAAGTAATCCCCTCGAAATAAACGCGAGGTCGCTTCAGTGAGTCGCATGCAAGCGGGGAACCCTGACGATGCCCAGGACCTCCCGAAGGCAATTGGCCGCGATAATTATCACTATGTAACACGATTTCCGTTCCAGGGTAGTAAGTGTTATTTTCTAATCGCTTATGCCTCAATAGTATAGAAAATGGCTATTATTCCCCACAAACTTTGCTTTTGTGACCAGGACTTTACGTGAAGGAATCACACAAATGTGTCGTGAGTCCAATTGAGTCGCAGACGTTATCTTGGGAGCAACACTATACATTACGTAAACTTAACGCAACATCACACAATCTACACTCGGGTCTCGACTGCCCATCTAGCCACGCTACGGCAGAACTAGACACGGTTCGCTATCCCGGCCTGGACCACAAACTGGGTCCCGGGCCGCTTGGCTAGAGGCTTCTTCTCCCCGACGTGAATCTTCTTCATCAGCAGCACGAAGAACCTCGAGCTCCTCACGGGGCCCTCGTTATACCCCCCTGGGCTGGGGCTGGCTCCGCCCTTCGCCCCGCCCACCTTCCAGATCTCTCTCGAGCTCTTTCTCGAAGGTTCCCGAGAGCTCTTTTGGACCACGTGACCGCCCAGCGGCCCCCGTCCACCGGTGGCACCCCTCCAATATCATCCGGTCACGTGTCGGCAGGTCAGCCAGCGTATCGTGCCCCGAGGTAACCCTGGCTGGCTGACGCTCCCTCTCGCTCCCTCACGGGAGCCCGCACCGCACACTGTTCACGATGTCTCCGCGCTGACCAGCGCTCACCCAAGCCCCGCTAGGGCTGGTGGTACTGCGCCCAGCAAGCGGGCTACACATAATGTCGGCACATTAACCGCCGTGGCTTCGTAAGCCCGGCACCACACAGTGACAATCACAGTCACTACAAATGCACACCACGTTTTCTCATTAAAAATAGGTAAATTTCAAAATATCACTCTCCTGGTCACAAACGCAAGGTTTGTGGGGAATAATAGCCATTTTCTGTACTTTTAAGGCATAAGCAATTAGGAAATAACACTTACTACCCAGGAGCAAATTTGTTTTTGTTACACAATGTAATGAACGCGGGAATGTAACAGCGGAGGTGGTGGGGAGGGGGTGTGTGTATTAGCTACGCGCCGAAGCTGTGATGCCTTCTCTTGCTCCATCTCAAGCACACACAGAGGGCGAGGGGGGGCTCCCCTTCTGGCGAGTTGAGTGCCCCTCGCCTCCACCCGAGCCGCGGGCACGGTTCCGCGTGCCGAGCGACCCGACGCGGCCTTTTTCCGTCGCGAATAATAATCCACGTGGCGGGTCCGACAGGGCGAGGTCACTGCGCGCGCTGCTGTTAGTACGATTGTATAATGACCCTGGTAATTGGTCATGTGGCAGCGGTGGCGTGGGGTAATTGTAAATACTCTGATCGATCACGCGACCTGTGGATAAATTTAGGCTGCATTGGCGAGATCGTGACCTCGACATCAGAGAGAGAGAGACGAGGGGTTACACGAGGTTTCTGGGGGGTTCGGCAGGGGAGCGGGGGGTGCTCGTGAGTGTTGAGGATACGGAGACACCCCCCCCCCCCCCGTCTCTGCAGAAAGCGTCACGCTTCTCACAATTAGCGGCAATGAAATGACGGCCAGTGGAGGAAGGTGCGCGGTGAAAGCTCCCGGTGCGCGGGATGCGCTTCGCTTAAATCATTCACCCTGATACCCCTCCCCCCCCCTACCAGCCGCCGCCTCACCCAGCACCTCCACGGTACAGCGTTTTTTTCTTTCTGTGCACCCATTCTGCGATTGAGACGCAAATCAATTCGCTCCACGTTTCACGATGCACTTGACGATTGGTAATTACGGCAAGCTGTGTGCCCTTGTGGGTGGTGGTGGTGGTGATAGGTCGCGAGCACTGGAGGCAGCGAGGAACATCGCCACGCAATTTGCGCGCTCCGCTCATCCTCAGCGCGAGTGAACGAGACCACTCATTAAAATCCCCCCCACCCCACAATTAACATCATTAATGAATTAGCGGCACCTAGCCGCAACTCACAAATTCACAGCGGCATTCTAAACCCCCGATACTCGCCGTGAATAAATCGCGACTCCCCACGTCCAAACAGAAACGAAAAATGCGCCCCAACCACGACGAGCTTGAATTCGAGTGAAGCAGCCGCGTCACCCCCCACCCCTCCACCCCTCCACGCCACCCATCACGCGTCCGACACCGCCGTGCACTTGAGCTCCACGCCGACCGGGCTGCTCGGCGCAGTGGCCGAAGCCGTGGCCACGACCGCGGGGGCCGGCACCGCGGCGCGGCCGCTCGGCCCCCGTCGCAGGCAGGGCCGCAGTGCGTGCGCGAGCAGCGCGTCGGGCTTGAGCGTGACCACGAGCACGGTGCTCACGGCGCTGTTGCTCACGGCCACGCACTGCACCGCGTAGAAGACGGTGATGTAGTGGCGCTGGCGCAGCAGCAGCGCGGGGAAGAAGTCGCGCACGAGCGCGAAGCCGTAGAAGGGCGCCCAGCAGAGCACGAAGGCGCCCAGGAGTCCCACGAGCGCCACCACCCCGCGCCGCCGCGAACGCAGCCGGCGACGCGCCTGCTCCGTTTGGTGGCCTGGCACGCGCTGTGTCGGGGAAGTGGTGGTGGGGGGGAGGTAGGGGGGGGGTGGGGGGTGGTGGGGGGGGGGTCATCAGAGACTCGACTCGGCTCGCTCCTTCGCTCACTCGTAAACACGCGCACTCTTTCGCTCCTAAACCATAGTCATTCATTAGCACGCTCACATGTTAACGCACACAAATCATTAGCGTCGCGTGAATTAATGAATGGATGGATATATTTCTTATGAATACAACAAATTACTGTATTCTTTGGTTCTTTCGGTAAAGTCACGTAGATTGAAAAAAATAAAAAAGTGAATAAAATAAAAAATAAAATAAAAATAATAAACCCACGACGTTTTGATCGCAACACAAGCGGTCGTCATCAACACAAGCGGTCCTGATGACGACCGCTTGTGTTGACTACCGCTTGTGTTGCGATTCGAAACGTCGTGGGTTTATTATTGATTTATTTGATTCTTTTTATTCACTTCATTTACTTTCGATCTACGGGACTTTACCGAAAAGAACCAAAGAATATGAATTCCTGCAGTCACGAAAGTTTTAAGTCGAAACGAATTGCTGGTGAGCGTGATTTGTGTGTGTGTGGTTTTTTTAATGAGCGTTATGAACGAGTGAACGTGGTCACGAATGACGGAGCGTGCTGTACGTGAATGGGTGCAATCTGCTCATAACTAACACCGTGTCATCATGTCGGGTCGCTGCGCTGGGTACGAGTAGCATAAACACGCAGACACTACGCCTCCTACTCTCGGCGTAGTCTCTCCTTAACCGATACATATGCCAGTTCACGAGCAATTGCTTCGAAAACAGCTGACGATGTCGCCGAATGTTGAAATCGGCCCCTTGCGTTGAACAAAAGCTGCGGATTGTATGCGCTCTCCCCAACAAGACCGCGTGGCTGATGGAGGGTTGAGCGAGGCCGTAGTGTCTGCTTTGTGTCTTTGTATTCCTCTTGGTTTCCCAGGAAAGCCGGACCGAGACTCGTGACTCTTCTACGGGAGGGTCCTGCCAGATTTTCGCGGCAGGTGGCGCGTTGATTGCTATTTATAATCCCACATTAGTCATTTATTAGGCTCTCAACGGCGCTACTGATGAATTTGTGCCGCTCATGTACAGATGCACATTCACAACCATGCTTCATCACTAATGACCACATTCACTCATTTATAACTCGCCAATTATTAGTTGTATTCACAATGAGCTCCTTCATGACGCACTGCTCCACCCCATTGCTCTCGTTCGCCACCACATACTGATTCGTTACTTATCAGATGACCGCTACCACCACCTAAGCCTGCTTCATATTTCTACCCATCCATTGTAGCCAGCGTTCTCCGTCATCCATCATCATCCCATGAAACATCTTTCCCGTCTCAAAACGCTTCGGCCAATTGTGAAAGCAATGAAAAGGTGAGTGGGGGAGGGAGGGGGGAAGGAGGGGGGAGGGAGGGGGGAAGGAGGGGGAAGGAGGGGGAAGGAGGGGGGAGGGAGGGGGGAAGGAGGGGGGAAGGAGGGGGGAGGGAGGGGGGGGTGAGTGGGAGCGGTAGTGCAGCGGTTAGCGCACTGCGCTAACGATCCCGGCGAGCCGAGTTCGATTCCCGCTCACGGCATACAACGGTGACGAATATGTGAACCAGTCCTGGGCCGTTCCTGTAGATCGACTCGGCCTTAAATAAATACCTTGTGCCATGTGACAACCTCCGCATTGGGGAGAATCGGCTGTGCATGGTTCTGACCACCTACCCCTTCTCGTGTGCCATCTCGGCCACAATAGGTGCTCGCTAACAGAACTTGCTCCCAACATGTTTCATTCTAATATGGGAGGGATCTTTGTCTATATATGAGGGGGAGGGGTTTGAGTGAGTGGAGAGTTGGGGGGGGGGGGGTTGAGTGAGTGGAGAGTTGGGGGGGGTTGAGTGAGTGGAGAGTTGGGGGGGGGGGGGTTGAGTGAGTGGAGAGTTGGGGGGGGATGAGTGAGTGGGGAGTTGGGGGGGATGAGTGAGTGGGGAGTTGGGGGGGGATGAGTGAGTGGAGAGTTGGGGGGGGATGAGTGAGTGGAGAGTTGGGGGGGGATGAGTGAGTGGAGAGTTGGGGGGGGATGAGTGAGTGGAGAGTTGGGGGGGGGGGATGAGTGAGTGGAGAGTTGGGGGGGGGTTGAGTGAGTGGGGAGTTGGGGGGGGATGAGTGAGTGGGGAGTTGGGGGGGGATGAGTGAGTGGAGAGTTGGGGGGGGGTTGAGTGAGTGGGGAGTTGGGGGGTTGAGTGGTGGTGAGCGCACGGTGTTGGACAGGCCGCTCCACGCTTTGTGGGGTGAGGGCTGTGTGGGCGAGGAAGATGACCGCCGTGTACGTCTGGATTCCACGTGGATTATAAGGCCCCCCCCCCTCTCCCCAGGGTCTCTGGGTGTCACACGGGAGCCGTCAGCACGCGTGCGAGATGCCTCGGTAGACACCACGCACAGCGACGCCTGTGGCGAATATCTGATGGTGGACATTTTTTTAAATCCTTTATATTAAGTTCACTTGCTTGCTTGCTTGCGCGCTTACGACCGTGCAAATCTTTCGGTCGTTTTTAACCCACTTCCCGTGATCCAATCGAGCTGGCATTTTGCACACAGACTCGTTGTGCGTGACAATGTATTTTCGTGAAAATTTTTTCCAAAATTTTACACTTTTTAGGGAAAAAAATGTATATTTAATTACCAATTGCTTAATGGTGGCAGGCAATCATCTGACCCATAGGTGGCAGCCATCTCAAGCCAGAGGACGAGAGGACTCTAGCCGCCACGCATACAAAGGATTTATAGTGAAAAACTTTGTTTTTACGGGTTATTTTTTTAGACTTTGATTCCTTCCAAAATCTTTCTATTTGGATATCTGAACGCCTCTTTTATTGCCAGAGAGGGGTAAACGCCTATTTTTTATTTTTCGCGTCGCGAGTATTGTTTACATTCCCGTGTCGTTTCACTTACCACGCGATGTCTGTCGTGCGGGTTTTATCGGGCATCTACCACCGCACTGGCGAGTGCGTGTCAGTAAAGTGCGGGCATGGGCCCTGGGATTCGTTCAGATACCACTCGCTACTGATGTCAGGCGCACGTAGGGTTCAAAGCGCAATGTCCTAACCCGCCGCTCCACTCGAGACGAATTTGTTGACGTCGCTTGTGGAAGAAGGCAAGAACAAAAGTGTGGACCAATCAGTTTCAAAGACAATGCATATATTACACTGGTCAACAAAAAAAAAAACATTTTTTTCTGGCCTGGACTTTTGCAGCTGTTTTAGACTAATTTCAGGGTGCTGATTCTAAATCTGATTTCAGATTTCCTCTATCACATCTCATTTTTATGCTATCGGCATACCCCAATTTCATTGATTTTACCCGAAATTAACTCTGTCACTTACGATTGCAAGTTGTTGCGAGTCAGTGACTGCTTTAGTGTTAAAATATGGTGCTGTATTTTTAGAATAGTGTGTTTATAATATCATTTTATGTAGATATCCACATTTATTTAATATTTTTCTTCCGCAGTTTTGATTGAAAATGCAATATTTGATATCTCAAAAACCTGATGTGATAGACAAAAACTGATGCCAGATTTGGAATCAGCACCCCGAAATTACATTAAAACCGTTGACCAGTGTTATCAGAGTATGTATTTGTTTGCATTCTGACCACAAGTATTGTGGTTAATGCAGACATGATTCCTGGTAAAAGGTTTCAGTTTGGCGCTTTAACATCTCAACACCTGTTTCGTTGCCAGAAACAAGGAGAAAACCTATTCTAAAAAAAAAGTGTCCACCGATTCCACGCAGCCTCCTCGAATGTGGCGTCGCATTTAGACGCCGCGCGCATCGCACGCGCCTTGTTCTCGTGTCCCCACCAGGGGACACCGCTCATCGCAGCCACTGCGCGTTATAATGGGGCACAAGCAGCAGGGAATCGGTGAGCAGAGCCACGGCGCAGAGGAATGATGGAACGGGCGAGGGACGCCGTGGGAATGAGTGAGGGGGGTCGAGGGAATGAGTGAGGGGGGCCGAGGGAATGAGTGAGGGGGCCGAGGGAATGAGCGAGGGACGGCGTAGGAATGAGTGAGGGGGGTCGAGGGAATGAGTGAGGGACGCCGAGGGAATGAGTGAGGGGGGCTGAGGGAATGAGTGAGGGACGCCGTGGGAATGAGTGAGGGGGTCGAGGGAATGAGCGAGGGACGCCGTAGGAATGAGTGAGGGGGGTCGAGGGAATGAGTGAGGGACGCCGAGGGAATGAGTGAGGGGGGCTGAGGGAATGAGTGAGGGACGCCGTGGGAATGAGTGAGGGGGTCGAGGGAATGAGCGAGGGACGCGGAGGGAATGAGTGAGGGACGCCGAGGGAATGAGTGAGGGGGGTCGAGGGAATGAGCGAGGGACGCCGTAGGAATGAGTGAGGGGGGTCGAGGGAATGAGTGAGGGACGCCGAGGGAATGAGTGAGGGGGGCTGAGGGAATGAGTGAGGGACGCCGTGGGAATGAGTGAGGGGGTCGAGGGAATGAGCGAGGGACGCCGTAGGAATGAGTGAGGGGGGTCGAGGGAATGAGTGAGGGACGCCGAGGGAATGAGTGAGGGGGGCTGAGGGAATGAGTGAGGGACGCCGTGGGAATGAGTGAGGGGGTCGAGGGAATGAGCGAGGGACGCGGAGGGAATGAGTGAGGGACGCCGAGGGAATGAGTGAGGGGGGCTGAGGGAATGAGCGAGGGACGCCGTGGGAATGAGTGAGGGGGGTCGAGGGAATGAGTGAGGGACGCCGAGGGAATGAGTGAGGGGGTCGAGGGAATGAGCGAGGGACGCCGTGGGAATGAGTGAGGGGGTCGAAGGAATGAGCGAGGGACGCCGTGGGAATGAGTGAGGGGGGTCGAGGAAATGAGTGAGGGACGCCAAGGGAATGAGTGAGGGGGGTCGAGAGAATGAGCGAGGGACGCCGTGGGAATGAGTGAGGGGGGTCGAGGGAATGAGTGAGGGACGCTGAGGGAATGAGTGAGGGGGGCCGAGGGAATGAGTGAGGGGGGTCGAGGGAATGAGTGAGGGGGCCGAGGGAATGAGTGAGGGGGCCGAGGGAATGAGTGACGGGGTCGAGGGAATGAGTGAGGGGGCCGAGGGAATGAGTGACGGGGTCGAGGGAATGAGTGAGGGGGCCGAGGGAATGAGTGACGGGGTCGAGGGAATGAGTGAGGGATGCCGAGGGAATGAGTGAGGGGGCCGAGGGAATGAGTGAGGGACGCCGAGGGAATGAGTGAGGGATGCTGAGGGAATGAGTGAGGGGGGCCGAGGGAATGAGTGAGAGACGCCGAGGGAATGAGTGAGGGGGGCCGAGGGAATGAGCGAGGGACGCTGAGGGAATGAGTGAGGGAGGGCGAGGGAATGAGTGAGGGGGCCGAGGGAATGAGTGAGGGGGGCTGAGGGAATGAGTGAGGGGGGCCGAGGGAATGAGTGAGGGGGGCTGAGGGAATGAGTGAGGGACGCGGAGGGAATGAGTGAGGGACGCCGAGGGAATGAGTGAGGGAGGCCGAAGAAATGAGTGAGAGGGGCCGAGGAAATGAGTGAGGGGGGCCGAGGGAATGAGTGAGGGAGGCCGAAGGAATGAGTGAGAGGGGCCGAGGAAATGAGTGAGGGGGGCCGAGGGAATGAGTGAGGGACGCCGAGGGAATGAGTGAGGGGGGCCGAGGGAATGAGTGAGGGGGGCCGAGGGAATGAGTGAGGGGGGCCGAGGGAATGAGCGAGGGACGCTGAGGGAATGAGTGAGGGAGGGCGAGGGAATGAGTGAGGGGGCCGAGGGAATGAGTGAGGGGGGCTGAGGGAATGAGTGAGGGGGGCCGAGGGAATGAGTGAGGGGGGCTGAGGGAATGAGTGAGGGACGCGGAGGGAATGAGTGAGGGACGCCGAGGGAATGAGTGAGGGAGGCCGAAGGAATGAGTGAGAGGGGCCGAGGAAATGAGTGAGGGGGGCCGAGGGAATGAGTGAGGGAGGCCGAAGGAATGAGTGAAAGGGGCCGAGGAAATGAGTGAGGGGGGCCGAGGGAATGAGTGAGGAACGCCGAGGGAATGAGTGAGGGGGGTCGAGGAAATTAACGAGGGGAGTCGAGGGAATGAGTGAGGGGGCTGAAGGAATGAGCGAGAGTGGCCGAGGGAATGAGTGAGGGACGCCAAGGGAATGAGTAAGGGGGGTCGAGGGAATGAACGAGGGACACCGAGGGAATGAGTTAGGGACACCGAGTGAACGAGCGAGGGACACCGTCCCACCTTGAACCACAGCTCCTTGGCGATGCACGCGTAGCAGAAGCTCATGGCGAGCACGGGCGCCACGAACTGCGCGCTGAGCACGGTGAGGAAGTAGGACTTGTAGAGCAGCGCGCTCTGCGCGGGCCAGATCTGCCCGCAGAACTTGCGCTGCGCGGGGTCGCGCGGGCCCGCGGCCGGCAGCGCCGTCTCCGTGGAGAAGCGCGCGGCTGGGACCGCGAGCAGCGCGGAGAGGGCCCACACGGCGGCCAGCAGCGCGGCAGTGGTGCGCCGGGCCATGCGGGGTTGGAGAGGCCGCAGGATCACCAAATACCTGCGGAAGGAGGCAAGAGAGGGCGGAGCGGGCGTGGGGGGTACGGGGTGTGACGGAGACGGGAGCCTCGTGGTGAGGGTCCCGGTGCTCGTGAGGGCTGGTGAATGAGAAGGCGAAGCTGTGGGCAGGGTGATGGGTTTGCGATTGAGATCTCATGGGGACATTGCGTGCGAAGTGTGAAGCGATAACTTGGAGGCATTGAGTGAAGATCTCAGCTAATTTAAGCAGAGGATAAATTTAAGAAAGTCCGTGGCAGACTCAGGCATTTGTCTGATAGGTCGCTGAATGTCATGAGGCAATGAGTGGACAATCTCATGGGGATAAAAGTGGACATCTCACGAGGCAATGGAGCCCGAGGGGGTGTTAGAATGATGACAAGTGATCATGGAGCTCTGCCAATCCAGATAATAACACAGGATATTAATAATAAATCGGGAAGATACACTGACGCGTTACAGCCGTGGAGGATGACATTTTTCATTTGCCAATGTGTGAATCACGTGCGGTGTTCGCAGTATCACTGGGCGATAAAGAGACAAGAGGGTGGTCCCTCAGTGAGACGGGAGATGATCACCTACGTGAGACGGGAGATGACCACCCACGTGAGACCGGTGTCTCGCGCGCACGCACCTGTCCACTGCGATGGCGAGGAGCGCATTGGTGGACACGTAGAGCGAGGCGGCACGCACGTAGTTGATCACAGCGCAGAGCCGGGGCCCGTGGCTCCACGTGAGCCTCCGCACCACATAGTACTCCAGCTCGAAGGGGCAGCACACGGCGGCCACCACGAGGTCAGACACGGCGAGGTTGGCGATGAGCAGGTTCGTGGTGTTGCGCAGGCGGCGGCAGCGCAGTAGCGCCACGCAGAAGAGCACGTTACCCACGCCGCAGACGAGCATCGTGGTGCCCAACGCCACGCCGATGAGCAGGCGAGCCGTGGGCAGCGTCGGGTCTCCGGGCCCCTGCGCCCCGTTCTCGTCCTCCACGTCGTACCCCCCGTAGTCGCAACCCGGGGGCCAGTGCGTGGCGTTCAGCTGTCCCGTGGGAGGCGCGGTGCCGTCCCAAGGCTCCGCGTAAAACGCGCTGCAGGGCTCCGCTGCCATGGCTCGAGTGCAGAAACGCGTAAAGACGCCCGCCCGCAGCTTCTGCCCGCGAGTCCCGTACAGGACGCGAGGTGAGAGCTCCGAGGAGGAGGAGGCGGTGGAGTCTAACTCGGCTCCCGGATTGAGCGCGGTGACGCACGCTCGCTCTCGTCCGGCCTCCCCGTGGCCCCCGGGCACAGGCAGCGCCGCGCCGCTATTGCGCGCGCAGTCACTGGAGGCGCGAGCGTGGGTCTGCGAGCGACTCGCGTGGAGTGTGGAATTGCAATGACTGTGTTTGTTCGTTGTGTTCATTTGCCGCGGCTTCGCTGCCGACTCGTGTCGTGAGAGCGGCGGTTTTCGCCGCGTGAAGAGAGCGGAGCGGCACCGCTGGGACTCCTCGAGGAGCGGGGGGGGAGAGAGACTTAATGCGCAAACGCGGAGGCGAGGCGCGCTCATCCGATGCTGGCTGAGCGGACGCGAGTCGGCTCGACCGATTCCAAATGAGCAGTTTTTTGTTGTGTGTGTTTTTGTGTTGTTGTTGTTGCGCCGATGCTTCAGATGGTTATGATGAAGGTCGCGCCTGCAATTAGCGTGCGGTGTCCGTCCCTCTCTTCGAATGACCCGCCCACGCATTGGCCACACGGAGACTGACGAAACGCCAGGAACACGTTGACCCTCGCTGGGTTCGGTCGTTGATGAGCCGTGGATAAAACCGCACGTGCGCGATCTAATAACGCGGTCCTGCAAAGCATGGCGAGCGTCTTGAATGATCTCCGCTACTGCCGAGCACTCGTTTAGGATCTGCGCTGCTGAAATACATTACTGTATGTGCATAATTAATATTTCATATTCATAGAAGGGAGGGGTGGCCAAGTGGTTAGCGCACCGCGTTATGAACTCACACAACCTGAGTTTGATTCCTGGTCACGGAAAACAGCAACAGCGATCTACCCCCCCTCCCCCCCACCCTTTACTAACCCCAATTGACCAGCGTGGTGAAGTATGGTAAAACTAATTTCTTCATAGACACAACATGAAGTGGCCTTTATCTGGCAGTGGATTGGCAATGGCTTGATTACTATTATTCCTATTTACCCCAGGAACTTTCACTAAGTCTCCTGCCTCCAAAATGTGTCAACGTTGGGGGGGGGGGGGCGATGATTGCTGCGTATGGTATAATCCAACTGAGCAAATTGCGCATCTTTCAAATTTAGATTGTAATGGGATCTTTAACATCCACGGTGAATCGGACGACGTCTGTATTAATGGTTAAAACACCAGCAGTATTAACCAGGGCGGCCGCTGGTATCGAACCGCTGGTATTTAAACGCTGGTTATAATCGAACCACTCGCATAAAACAAGCTGCGAACACGATCGGGCGTCGAGGCCACATCGTCCAATCCGGGTGTACATTTAGTCCTGTATTCATGTTAGTACTGTCGGGGTATTGTGTAGAATGTACACACAAACAAATATCTTCAGATATTTTGTTGCTGAAAATCGCTGCTTTTAGACTGCACGAGTGCTGTGCGTAATTAGCACAATCACGCGGGCTCGTGATAGCTTTTAAGGGGTGGTGGTGGTGGGTGGCGTCTCGCACGCGTCACGTCCAATACAAGGGGGCAACAGGTGTCAGAGTGGGAGGCAACGGGAAGGGGGTCACGGGAGGATTCGTAACAAAGACACCACTCACGTGCTTAGGAAATAAATAATTAATCGCGCAAACAGACAATACCGCCTGCTTAACGTGTTTGTTTTTAAGCATCATTGGTTTTTGATACAAACACAAACTCTAGGCCGCTTTCCCTATGAAGTGTCGCATCGGCGGAGTCACGCTTGCTATGTTTATAGTCTTGGTTTTAAGCAAGCCTGGCTCTGCTGACGAGACCCTGTATCACCTCTGAATGTGTGTGTGTGCGCGTGTCACGAGTCTGGGAGCCCTAGTACAGCGGTCAGCGCGCTGCGCTACGAACCTGGCGACACGAGTTCGATTCCCGCTCACGGCCAACACCGGTGACAATTATCTTGAACCGGTCTTGGGCCTCCTCTAGGTCGACTCAGCATCAATTGAGTACATGTTGCGGTGTAGAAACATCGCCACTGGGGAGACAAAGGCGGCCGGGCGTAGTTGTGTGTGTGTGTGTGTGTCCCTCACATCACTTACCCCCAACAGCCTGCTAAAGATGCACGGGGATCGTTGTCGTTTTTGCTTGACGTGTGGACCGAATTAACCGATGAACACGGCCGGCCCGGGTTTGATACCCAGCAGAGAATAACGTGAACCCGATCAGACCGTCTCCGCCGTATTCAATTCGTCCTTCAATGGGTACGCGGTGCGATGTGTCAACTTTAGCACGGGCAGATAAAGGCGGCGGCCGGACGGGTGCGATGGTTTCTCGCCACGCCACAAATTTTAGTGGCTCGCTCGCTAACGGCAAGTTGCTGTATCGGTCGTAAGGCTCAACAGTGGATACTTGAGTTCTGTGCGCGCGTGTGTGTTTTTAATTGAGCGGTAGTGTAGAGGGTAGCGCTGTGGTTCTCGGAACCTGGCCACCCGACTTCGATTTCCGCTCACGGCATACACCGGTGGCGATCATCCGAACCGGTCCTGGACCTCCCCAAGGTCGACTCAGCCTCAAACAATTACCTGTTGCCGCTGGGGAGACAAAGGCGGTTGGGAGTGGTGCTGTTCACGCACCCCAGCCTCGTGCCGTGCCGGCCTTCGTAGGTGCCCGCTAACAGCACTTGCTCCAACAGTCTATTCAGGCTACACGGGGGATCTTTGTCTTCTTCGTGCAATTGAGAATACAGATGATGCGTGCCCTGCCGTGATCCGATCAACGCCTTCCATAGACTCCATTGCTGCTTGCACGAACGGAGAGTGGGAACGGCTGTAGGAGCAGCAGCAGCATCTAATCAATTACAACCCGGGGCTCATTTCCATGAGTTAAATCAGATGGATGGGTGGGTGGGGGGGAGACTTGCTACTCTGTAGTCTCGGATTTAACGAATGTCAGCAGCCCGCGAGTGTGAATTGATGACCTCGTCGGCGCTATGCCAATCGATCACATCGCGCTGCAATTCTTCTCCGCCTTCCTTCTGCCAGTTTCTCCCTGCGTGCATCGAACATAAAAATATCGCTACTGCTGCTGCCCCGTTTTTGCTGCATAGCCATTGTTTCGTTGAAGCCGGTCGTGTCCGCAACAGCGACACGACCAGATGGACACAGCACAGAGCTCATCTACTGTTGTACTGTGGTGTGACCCAGCATCTATGCTCCTCCCCACCTTCACGAACCCGCTCTGAGCTGCGACCTCCACGGTGTAGGGAGGCCAGCATTGGATTGATCAAGGACTGAAAATTATGTTTTTGCTATAACTGCGTTTAACGCATCTCAAATGTTAAATGGGAGGTGGGGATTTTAAACAGTAATGTCTGCAGAGCTGAGAGTCTGCATCTGGGGCAATGCTTGGAGCGGAGAGGGGATGAGTGAGAGGAATAGCATCGGGAGTGTACACGCGCATCAGGGGGTAGTATCAGTATCGCAACGACATTGGCAGCTCAGGGTGTACGGTAATCGGTCGGGTGGGGACCCCCTTATTTGATTTGTCTGGCACGGTCGCACCTAGGCCATATATCGGGCCTCCTATTGCCTAATCACACAATTATGCTCAAGGCATCGAACATTAATCAGAATCAGAATATGTATTTGTACAGGAGGAATCCGATGAGCGATAAAGCTCTTTTGCACATATGTCCGGTAGGGGCGGTTAAAAACGTTACAACAACAAATAGTACACAAACATGACAGTAGTGCAACATGCAAGAAAGGTAAACAAATCCCCCAAACACTTACAAATAAAACTCCGCCTTGGCAAAATGCAGCCACTACAACTCCGTGGCACCTCTGTGCAATGTAATTGACACGTATTTAATGAGATAAATAATACTCCTGGTTACACCAGCCCTGAGTGGGGAGGATGGGGCTGGGTGGGGAGGGGGGGTGGGGAGGGGCTGGGTGGGGAGGGTGGGGAGGGGCTGGTTGGGGAGGGTGGGGAGGGGCTGGGTGGGGAGGGTGGGGAGGGTGGGGAGGGGCTGGGTGGGGAAAATGGGGCTGGGTGGGGAGGGGCTGGTCACCCCGTGGTGCCCTTATAAAACTCAACGTTTAACCTACTCACGCCGGCTTGTGCCCGCCCTCACAGTCGGGCACATTTGCGGAATACACCACGCCGCCGTTGACCCTGGCCATTGACCGAGCAACCCAACGTTCCTACCAGCTCCCTCCGCAGGAATGTGTTCCCGACAACGGAGTTCTATTGTCCATTGTTCTTTATTGAAGTTACCGTCGTTCAACGGAAATTATGTTTCGCTACGTTACATCACGTTTCTTTACGGTAAATAAAACTATTACTTCCAATATTTAATAGCTGCGGAAGAGTTACAAGAACATATACAGCAGAAAATTAATGCAAAACAATAATAGCCTTTCACAAAATTTTTTTTAAATAAACAAGAGGCCTATCCTTGAGGACTATATTATTTTAGAATTATTTTATCACAGCATGGATCCTACAACAGAAACGCACGTCTCGAACATTTAACTTTAACATGACTTTTCTTGTTTTGGATCATCAACAGAACTATATATATTCTTGGTTCTTTCAGTAAAGTCATGTAGAAGGGAAATAATAAAATAATAATAATATAAAACAATACAATTCTCACGACGTTTCGACTGCAACACAAACAATCATTAAAATCCACAAGTCAATTTGAAACGTCGTGAGAATTTTATTGTTTAATATTTTTATTTTATCATTTCCCTTCTACGTGACTTTACCGAAAGAACCAAGAATATGAATCTCTGCAGTCACGAAAGCTTTAAATCAGAACTATATATATATATAAAAATAATGAATTACATTGTCAACTCATCACAAAGATGACCCATCTCTCATTACTTCACAGCCCCATTCTTTAAATTTCGATTTAAAGCTTTCGTGACTGCAGTGATTCATCTTCTTGGTTCTTTCGGTAAAGTCACGTAGAATGGAAATAATAAAATAATAAAAATAAAACATAATAAAATAATTCTCACGACGTTTCGACCACAACGCAAGCAGCAGTCCTCAGATGGAGAACAGGTCTGTCGAGAAGACAGAGTCTGAATGACACACTGCAGGCTTGGAGCGACTATTTAAGCTGGGATGGAGGGGGAAGGGCGCCTTGACAAAATAATTTGCATATCAAGATGAATTTAGCATATTTATGGGAAATGCAGATATGCGATTAGTACTACTTCTGAAATGCG